CCCAAAAATGGTTCTCCATTCTCCACGATTTTCCCATGGTTTTCCCATGGTAAAACCCACGATTTTCGCACGGTAAAACCCATGGTTTTCCCTAAACCACCACCGGCCAGTTCCCTGGGTCCCTGCGCGCCAGGACCGGGTAACTTCGGCCTCCGCAGCCACGTTGCGGGGGCAGGGCTGGAACCCGGGCGCCGAGGGGAAGGAAGCCGTGCCGGGCAGACCCAGCCGGACGCGGAGCGGAGCGGAGAATTGTCAGATCAGATCCAGTTTTTTTTTGCAGATTTGGGGTTGTTTTTGTCGTGATTTGGTTTGGAATGGATTTTTGTTCAACTGATCATTAGATTTTGTTGGGTGTGTTGGTTTGGAATGGATTTTTACATCTTTTTACAATATACCGTTTGAACCTCTGCTTATATATACTTCAAAGAGATGGTGCAAGTACTGAAACTGTGGGCTAAGACAGCAATTTTATTGGTACTTGGAGGGTCTCTCTCTGTCTCTCTCTCTCTCTTGCTGTAATATATATATATATACATACATACGTATACAATAACTCTATATTATATAATATTAGATACAGTATATTAATTATTCACATGTTGACAATGTTATGGATATACATGTCTACGATGTTATTGTTGTCGACATTGGTACTGTTGATGTTGATGATGTTGTTGGAGAAGAGGAGCTGGACGATGGGGATGATCGTGATATGATGAATATTGTGAAAGTACCTTGACTACTTAATACGATGTTGATAGTACCTTCGTAGTTATGGTCTTGATTTTATGATTATCATGTTCACTATTTTACACCATGAAAATACTATTATGTGGTAAATGAATTTACACTATTGTGGTGTTGATTATGAGTTGTGATGATTTTCTTTACATGGAGCATTTTTGGTTTGAGTAGTACCTGGGACGATCTGAACATCCCACTCATGGACTACCCCCGGGTTGATCGTGGACTGTCACTAGTATAGGGGGGATAAAACGCGTCATTTGACTGGCTCCAAACAGAAAAAACAGTTGAGGCCAAATATGATGTTGAACATAACTTACATATGTAAATATGGTGCTGAACACAACACAATTGTGACCCATAAATGTTGGAATTCATGGGTCAGAGATAGAACTCCCTGCAACCTGAGCTCGGGTTTGAGGATTCCAGAAGAGGTAGCGGTGAAGAGGTGCCACTATGCTTGGCGACAATGGTTGAGCCAAATCAAGACGTCTTGAATTGTAGTGGTCAGTATATACCTGTTAATAGTGGTTAATCATGGCGACTGATTCGTTAATCATTGTAACTTAGTGGTTAATATCTATATTGTTTGGGTAAATTTCATCACGACCGAACCCTGTTCTCCCGAACCCTGGACTAAGTTTTTGGAGGGAAATCATCCCCTTTTATGGTCGCAAGATTCAGGTGAGTGAAATATTATAATTTACCCAGCTTTATGGTGTTTGGGGATATATTGGGGATGTACTGGGATATGGTGGGATATCCAAGGCTCAATGAAAGGTATATCGGTATATTACATAATGTTAAACCCCAACTAGGTGGGAGAAGGTGCAAACCTGGATAAATATCTATATATATATATATATGTGATATATGTTTTTTCACATGCATGAAATACTTTTCCGCATCTATTTGGTGGTGTTTTTGTCACAATGTGGTGTGTCGCTCCAATTTTGCAGAGTCCCTTTTGGACCAGTCCCTCGCCTTTCGACCCTTGTCAAACGTGGATTCGGAATCCCTGATGAAATCATGTGGAGCCAATCTAGATTCTGACTGTAGACGGTCAAGGACATGCCGAGGTGGGCAACTGAGGGATTTCATCAACGAAATGTGGAAGGAACAGCGGAGGAGCCTCACGGTAGTGGCAACTAAGTGGTATAGAAAGCCCGAATGGAACAAAACAGGATGTACGGATCGGCAGGGACTTTCAAACAAAGGCTATCATCCACCTGTTAACAACGGGGATTCTTATCCAAGAATCCCCCTAACAGGTATTCGAAAGAAGGAAAACCAAACCCTTCAATTTGAGCTTCCATTCCAGTACGAGAAACAATTACCTTACGTGTGGACTGTTTGGTTTCAATAATTTAATGATAACAAATCGAGAGATGTTTTCAATCTTCATCCCCATTCGCTAGCAGACAGACACTCACCATGTTGTGGAAAACCCACCATGGAAGGCCCAGAGATGATGAAGAGGAAACCAAAGGGAAAGGCCAATGGTTAAGCATTGGCGGAGGGGGGGGTCAACTTCACAATTTCCATCAGAAAGACAATGCTTACTGGTGCCCCAATTGAAGCTCTGCAAAGTGTCCAATATCTAGTTGGACTCTGGAAAGCACTGTTCCCTGTCTTCATGCAATATGTTTTTTTTTTTGCGACCTTGTGGATACGATCATCAACCTGAAGTTTGCAAGGATAAATCAGGATGGTTTTGAGTAGTGGTATGAGATCGCGTGTCAAAATCTGGAACCACATGTTCAAAATGGTTTTAAGGAGCAGTCATCGTTGACTCTCCCATGCCCAATATCTTGGGGTTTCCTAAAATGGAAGTACCCCAATAGCTGGATGATTTGTTTCATGGACAATCCCAACAAAAAATGGATGACGACTGCGGGTACCCCCATGACTCAGGAAACCTCCATGACTGCTACCTGGTAGCAACCTCCATTTGACCATCCCCCTTCGCTGCCGCCTTTAGGCAAAGGCAAGGAAGGCAAGGGAAAGATGAGTGTGAAGGAGTGCTGGGCTGGAGATGGTCCATGTTTGGGACAGTGCTGGGTTGGATTTTTTGAGAGAAAAAAACATGGGATGTGTTGCTAAAGCCACACCAAACCCACAGTCATTCAACATGTTTCTTCACAACCCAGTCCCAGTGACACTGTTCCCAGTGGGCACAGGAGTTGACTCGTTTGAAGCGCGACTCGACTGCAGTGGGTGTCATCTGCGTAATCTGAGATAACAGTAAATAGACATCAAGACATACTGTGGATGGAAGAAATCCTGCACCACCATGGATGGTTGAACTATAAATAATGGGACAAACCACCTATAAACTGGTTCAGGATTTCTTCCATCCACCGTATCAAGACATTGAAACCCACACTGTAGATTGAATTCGTGGTAGTGCAGTGGATGGGTCCCTCATCATTAACCAAATATGGCAAGGGCATACAGATGCATACAGTAGAAAATATTGCGCCAATTTACTATAGTGTTCACACTTGCAAGAGCAGTGTTTCATCATCGGCGGTCACCCAAGTCAGCTATGAAAGCAATGTTCTCTCACCCAAAAGTCTGAAACCACATGAGCAACAGTGATGTGAGAGAACATGTTGTGGACAATCAGGAACGCAAAGAAAACCAAAGAGCAGTACCCTCTGGTAATTTAACATACTATTGAAAATGGCCATTTATAGTGAGTTTTCCCATTAAAAACGGTGATTTTCCATAGTTATGTTAGTTTACCAGAGGGTATGGTCTCCACTTTCAAAGCATAAACAAATCAATCACCAAGATGCATGGCAGTGGCTCTTCGAAAATGCTGAAGGTTTCAAGGGCCAATCCGGTATCGATCACAACGGCAAAGTCTGGAAACCGGAGGCACGAGCTGAGCTCGGGCGTGTTTGTTCCCCAAAACCTGGTGAGAAATCACGGGAAAAGCTTGGGAAGGATCAACATCGAGATCCCATGAAGGGTTTGTCTGAAAAAATGAATGAACATGTTTTCATGGCTATTCCTCTGGATTTGTGAATGTTGAAATGGAGGTTTCTCGAGTCATGGGGGTACCCCCAAAACATCATCATCTTGAATGGGATTTTCCATGAAACAAATTATCCAGCTATTGGGATTTTCCCCTGTGACTATGGAAACCCCCAAATCTGGGAAGCCACAAAAACCGCCAACACTCCGCAGATTTGGATGCAAATGCGCAACGAGTTCGACTGAGTGACGCCGCGAGACGAACGGTGCCTTTGAAAAATCCACTCCTGGGGGTGCAGTTCCAGTCCTTACAAGTGGTTATATAACCATAGTAATATGGAGGTTTCCTGAAATAGGGGTACCCCCAGTCATCATCCATTTTTCGTGGGATTTTCCCTTATAAACCAACCAGCTATTGGGGTACCCCCATGACTATGGAAGCCCCCAGACTGGGGTTATGTTCCGACTTGTGTGGGTTTCCAAGCACTTGGGGAAGTTGACTAGCAAACAGTGGAGTATGCGAAATAAGACAGCATGTAAAACCCTTCAGAATGAAAGGCCCCAGATATGATTATCTGACATATCTGCAATGAAATTTTCAATCCCAGCTCTCCATGTTTATCATACTGCAGGCTTCAAAAAGATGCAAACTTCCAGTTGCTTCGCTACAGCCGAGCGCTTCTTCAGCGCGCTTCGACAGAAATCCCGTCGCCACCGGACCGTTGAAAAGACGGCGCATCCATGTGACCCTGGCAGACTGCAATGGGTGACCCTCTAAATAGCCATAGAAATGTGAATGTAGATGTGTTTAAATGTGCTTAAATACCCATATATATATGTACCGGTACATGATGTTTTTTCGTACTGATATACTGTCAAATTAACCCTCTAAATACTGTTTCTGGTACTTTGACCCTATCTTTATAGCATGGGTCGAACGTCAAGACACGGTGACTCTTTTCACCATTTCAAGTTGTAGCCACGTCCATTAAGACAAATGATTATAGGAGGTATGTCACCAAGAAAGATGGATATACATAATTACATACATAATTACATACATAATTACATATATAATTATATATAATTATATATAATTAAATATAATATATATATATGTATACCATCATGTATGAACTGGGTAGATTGTATAACCAAACACACATTCTACTAAAAGTTAAATACATTGTGAAACCGTCAAGCAGGGGATCAGCAAGCTGGGACAACACCACCATCTCGATACAGCCAACAGTTCCGGGACTGTCACCGCGGGGCTCACAGTTCCACGGGTTCCACGGCTTCGCGACGGCGCGTTCCGCGGAGTTCTGGCTGGGCCCTGAGACGAGATCCTGAGATGACTGGAAAATTGATCAATCTTTATAGTAAAAAGCTATACCTTTTTATGTATGAATGGAAACTAAAGATTGAAATCTTGATTTTGGGTGAAATTTCATGATTTTTATATGCCCAATGTTTCTTGCCATGTCATATTTGGGTGATATGTATGCCTCGCAACATTCATTGCAATGCATATTGAATAGGTTCCTGATACTTATCAGAGTCGCTTCAACCCACTAATGTTGGTAAAACAATAATAACCATCCCCAATTGTAGGTGAATGATAGCGACTTTTATGGAAATATGAAGATGGTTGCTGTAAAAAACGGCAGCAACCCTGATCATAGGCTCGATAGACCGGCATGATTCTCTCAGAATTGGTTGAATCAGGTTGCATATGTGAAGAGATGATAGCCCCGTATTTCACAACCCGGTATATCTGTAATTTGATCTGTTGGGCCATGGGATATCATTATAGTGTTTTACAACAAAGAATCAATTGAGCAGTGTTCAAAACACACATTGTTTGATGGATTATAGGGGTTATACTAATCAATGTATTGGTGATCATCATAATCCATTGTGGCAATCCCTATGAACCAACGAATACAATGGAATGACCGAGGTTTTGAACACTGCCCATTTGAAATCATTTCAATAGGAAAAATGATTGATTAATCAATGGATTTAGACGTATTCAATTTGATGACTCAATATCTATGACAATTTAATACAATTGATGGCATACCTAGACTCTCCAAATACCCCAAAGAGTTAAAGGGTTCGGTAAACGTATCAAATTTTAGCAGCTAAAATATATCATGATTTATGGGTAGAGGGTCTAGGTCTTTAGTATATAGCCAGGCCCCAATGGCGATTGAGGCGCGGTGGGTAACCAGTGGATGACCAACCCAGCTGGTGGATATGCAAATTTCAAGGCCACGCAGTGTCCTAAATAATGTCAACCCCGGATTAATAAACCATGGTTTATTAATTAGGGGGGTACTTCTCCAATAGTCATAATCTGATACTTAAATGGTACCCTCCCAATCAAAGAGCAGGGGTGACATAGTATTTGTTACTTAGCTATGTAATCTGTTGAATGTTAAGAGCATGTTTTACTTGATTGTAATGTATTGTAACCACAGCACCTTTTAATCAAGCCACCTTTGTGTTCGCACTTTAGGCCGGCATAGGCGAAAACATCTGGCACGCTTCGTTCGTTCTTGACGGACACGGAATGATCATGCATATCAACGCAGGAATTGTCGGAGTCCAAACCAGTTTGGAATGCATTTTATTTATCCACTCCTATCTCCCGCAAGTCTTGAAGATTGCCAGGGACATTCTTCAAGAATAGAGTTTTGTAGTGACATCCTGTTGTTTTTCCACATACACATACAGGACAATAAATGAAAATAACAAACAACAACAAATTAGCCATAACTAAATATTATTATCCATTAGTTAATTGCCCATAGGCCATGTAGTCATGTACAGTAGTTGTAGTTTAAACAATAGTAGTCAATAGTCAATAGTCATAATACGTTGGATGGTTGCGAAATCCTGCAGTTGGTATGGTGTATAATATATATATATATATATGGTTTATACCCTTATAATCTCATTATATACAACTGGCGCAGGATTTCGCAACCATCCACAGTATGTCAATGTAGCAACCGCCCTAGAGATGCCGAAAAATGGGCGGAAGTTAGGGGGAACACATAGTCTACAAACCGTCCTGTTTTTTTTTTCGAAATCTGTTTGGTGATTCCTATAATGGTTACCAAGTAATAGTCATAACTATTGTAGAGATCTAACTCGACGACTTTACACTCATTTGCAGGACTCAGGAATACTCCATCAAAACGCCAATGATCATAATAAGTCCCATGATATTCCTCTCCCTGAATTTTCACAGAGTTTTATGATAGAAAATCCAAAGAATAACAATCATTAAAAACACGAATCCCATAGTAACCATAGTAGGAAGCCTATACCTGGAACTCAAATCAGCCATCAAATTTTGCAGGTTTTGACCCATAAAATGGACGGTTGATTGTCCAAAAGAGGGGACATTTTAAAGCGGGTTTCACGGTTTCAGGTAGAAAAAATGCTGCAATACTCTCCGAAACATTTAAACCTCACCGTCAAAAATCCCAGGAACATTGGAAAACACCATAGCAACAGTCAGGAGTTGGAACAGCTGGAGGAAGGAGGTCCCACGCAGTACACCGTGGCACAGGGCGTATGCTTCCTGAAACCCGATGAGGAGATCCCATGGGATCCTTCTGGGCGGTGATGGGTATCACTTAAGAAATCTGGGGTTAAGAAGAAATGGATGGGATAATATGAGATGATCATAGGACATTATGGGATAATAATGGGATAATGGGATGTTATGGGAAATGATGGGATAAAATGGGATGATATGGGATATTATTACAGGATATTATGGGATTATATTGGATTAAATAATGGTGTGATAATGGTTGATAATTGTAACTAACCAACTATTTATAATTGTGAGATATTATGGGATGATAACCAAGAAAGTAGTGATTTAATGGGATATTCATGGTGATATGTAGTGGGTTGTACTACCCCACCAACTATAATTAATCCCATCTCCCTTTCAGCCTTGAACCACTCCCTAGAAAAAGGGAATCAAAACATATATTTCGAACCATAGAATTGAGGGTGTTTAACATTACAGAGGGATGAGAGTATGGGAATGAATTAACATGATTAACCAACACACATGGGCCTGTGATGTTTATCAGTGTTAGAGATCATTGCGAGATTTTCCCATTTCCAGGTCAAGAAAAAAGCATGTGCCATCCACTCAAACCAACTGACACTTCCCAATCCTCGTTTGATCGCTGGAACTCCGATGCGAAAACCCCAGGACCCAACGTCGACGAAGATTTTGAAAGCCAAACGACCTGTGGGTTCAAAGATTTACAGCACAGGCGAGAGGTGAAGATTGTGTCAATGACCATTTCAGGTACCTACGGTAAATTGGAGGTAATGTAGCATACATAAAGCCTATGTTTTGGGCTATGTAAGGGGATATACCCCCAGAATATGGCTTTATATGATACAATAGCTCTGTTTTCGGGTCCTGAAGTTCCCATTGATGGACCTCGATTCTCAACCCCTCAGAAGTGGGGTAGCATCCTTCATAAGGAAACTGATCATCAACTGATCCACCATGGGATTTGTGATGATTGAGGGGTACCCATGTTGAGCACATGGCTACCCTATATGCAGATATATTCAGATTAACCCTTGGATGCTTGAGACTCCGAAAGTGAAAATTCGATGGCCAAGCCGATGGGCCCCCTCTTTGGACACCCTTTTTTATTCAGTCTCAGGTTACAGATTGCCAAAGCCAAGCCATCGCCATCTCGCCTTTTCCGAGATGTTGAAATTGGAAACCCAACAAAAAGACTCCATGAATAGCTGGTTGGTGGTTTCAAACATTTTTTATTTTCCAAAATATATGGGATAATTCTTCCCATTGACTAATATTTTTCAGAGGGGTTGAAACCACCAACCAGATAGGGTTTTGGTCCTGAAAAATCATCAAACCATATACGCAACTTTTGTCAATACGACGGCTGAAAAAACAACCACGGTGAATGGGACTTGACATCCACCGGTACCTCGGATTGTACAGAATGCTGGGAATTGCAAATGAGGACCCCACTAGTTACAGATAATATATATATATGACAAGTATGACCAAATAGTCAAATATAAATCACAGAGTTTTAAAAGTATATAAACAAGTCACTTAAGGATAACTTATAACATCTTATAACCATCAGTTTGTATATCATTATCAAATATTATAAACATAGTTGCTATAGTTAACCATAGTTCAACCATTAATGTACCATGAAATCCTGCCTGGCCTGGCAGGAACCACATGGAAGGGCCCTCAAGGCGGTCTTTGGGCAGAGGCGCCGCACCGCCAAAGGTCAGACGGTGTTTAATGGGATATTCATGGATATCTGAATATGTACATATATATATATGTACATACCGGTATGTGTATATATAATTTTGTTTCTTTGCTTGGAACTTGTGGAGAGCAAGTAATGTGTTGACGATATAGTTGCCAAAATGGCTATGCCATTTTGGCTCAAGCTGTCCCCCTGTGATCCAAACACTCGAAAAACGTTCCGATCCTCCTTTTTGCCTATGGCGTCTTCAAGTCCAGTGGCAAGTGAGACGGGCACTGTGGGTTCCTTCTGTCTGATTGGAACGGAAATGGACACAGGGAGTGACTACATGTTACTCAGCACAACGGAAACCGAGGCTGCGCCGGCCGAGGTTGTGACAGATTTAGAGTGTGATCCCAACCTCACAAAGGAGACCCTTGCTGCGCAGCTCCAAGAAATGGAGAAGGTGATGGCGCACCTGGGGTTGGACCCGAAGCAGGAGACGGGTGTGGCAGCTTCTGGCGCCAAGCCTCCTTCTGGCTTCGTCCAGGCTGCTTCATCAGCCACGAGGTCGACTCTGCAGACTTTGGAGAAGGAGACTTTGACGATCCACATGGACCAGAACACTGACACTTTCACCATTGAAGGTTGGGAATCCCTGGTCCCGGCCCTGCCGAGCTCTGCCACCAAGTATCTCAGAGACATCACTCATGGGGAACTTCGCTCTCTTTTGCATGCATTCCGCAGCTCTTCGTGGACGGCATCCTTGATTGCCAAGATCGCGGAGGTGTACTACATCTCGAAGCGAGAGGCCGCCCACACGCAGATGCTGAAGATTCGGCACACTACGCAGCGTGGTGGCTCCATGTCGAATTTGAAAGAGGAGGACCCCGGGACCTCTGCGGAGATTCAAATTCGACATGGAGCCACCACGCTGCGTAGTGTGCCGAATCTTCAGCATCTGCGTGTGGGCGGCCTCTCGCTTCGAGATGTAGTACACCTCCGCGATGTTCGGCACGCTGATCCTCACCCATTTCCTGTTGACTCTGGGGGGGAAATCTTTACTCCGTACCAGACTCAGCCTCATCTCGTACAATCAAGGCAATATCTTTGCCCTGTTGAACCAGAAGACGAAACATATGCCTACCTCAGCTTTCCTCATGCAACTCATTGCCATGATCTATGCTGCTGGGGTCCAACTGGCGCCTTCACACATGAAGCGGGACTACAACAAATGGGCTGATGAACTTACCCATCCTGACTTCACTGGGTTTCGTCCTGATCGACAACTACCAGTGAGAGAGGCCTTTTCCCATTTTCGCTTCCTGTGGGCTCTTCTGGATGACCAGATGCGCGCCCCTACCTTTTCAGAAAATTCGAAACGTCGTAAGACCGAGCATTATGCCACCTAGGTGTACAATGGTGTTTCCCCACCTACAACCTTGTTTTTCCTTCATTACTGCGCGAGCTGAACGCTCCGGCTTGACGTGTGACACCACCACTGCATTTCAGAGTTTCTGTGAAACCATTTTGTGATAGATGCGATTGGCATCTGACAGAAACACAGCCGCAAAGCCAACTGCATAGCAAAAGGTGCAGACGTACTGATGCAGTTGCTTTGTTTCCGTTTCTGTCATTTTCAATTCTATTCGGGAACACAAATGAATAAATGCATGAATAAATAAATAAATATATATATATACTATATATATATACACAAAGATACACACATATATATATATATATATGTATGCTGTATGTATATTTGGAACCCAAATGTACCCTTTTGGACAATCAACCTTCCATTTTAAATTGGTCAAAACCTTCAAAACAGTGGTCATGTGGGTTCCAGGTATATAATGATGTTTTTTTTAATTATGTTTTAATGATGATTTCAAATTACAACTAACCAACCAAGAAAAGGGTCATTGAATGACCAACTACAGTATATGTAATGATGACATATTGATGAATATTGTGGGACCAATTGATACCAACCAAGAAAAGGGTCATTGAATGGGATATTCATGGTGGTATATAAATATAATATATATATATATATATATCACCAACTATAACTAGTCCCATCCCCCGCTCAGCCCTTAAACACTCCTCAGAAAGCATGGTGCAGGGGACAAGGACATATAACTGGAATCATGGAATGAGGCTGTTCACTCAGGGGATCGGAAAGTTTACCAATGTGGAAATGTATGGGAAATGTATCTATAAACGGGGTTACAATGGGAATATCATTGGATATGTAATCTGGTGTGACTGGTGTGTCTGAAAATTGGTACCTTGAAATTTTCATGGTTTGAAACACCCCAAGTACTTCAATTTCAAACACACCCATATATATATATATATATATATAGCTTCTGACATTGATACCACCCAAGTAATCCCAAGTGTTTGTCAAGTGTTGTCCTGAAAAGAAAACGTTGGAGTTGGACCGGGCAGATGGTTTGCATGTGTGCTTACGAGAACAGTCGAAACAGTTTTTAGTTTGGACAATGTTGTGACAGGATTTTTATATTAATCTTATATATTACAGTATGTTATATCAATCTTATGTATATATAATTATTATACACATGTTTGAACATCATATTTTCCCCAGGCTTCCAAAGCTTGATCTTCACAGTTTTCACAATCCATTTTTCTGTGCAGCCTGGATTATCCCCATATCTTGGCGAAAAATATCGTCGGGTCGTGGTTTATGCGACGTTTTTCCAGGTGGACATTTCCAAGTCTCCAGGTGAAATGGGTTGCTTGGTTTGACGTGGGATGATCCAAGATGGGATAATTCAACCCGTTAGTGAGAAAATCGGGTGTTTTATGCAGATTCCCCATAATATTTAGATTTTTCCAATGGGTTGAATCGATTTGATGTCGATTTCATGATGGGGTTAACCCCATTGGAGTTTCATACCTATCAAACAGTTGCTGGGCATTGGTTGGTGTTTCTTGGCGTTCTCACACTCCACTCAGTCTTTGGTAGACTATCCATATATGTTTCTTTATTTGATGTTCTATGTCATTGTTCTACAGTTGGTGATACAGATATGAAACACCATTTCTTTGTATCTCAAACTGATATATTTGCTGTTTATGATACAACTGCTTTCCATTTTATAATTCGATCAGGGTTGAGATAAAATGATCATTATCTCAATCCTGATTTTCAGGGATGCATCCCCCCTTTCAGACCACGCTTTTGGCACATGGTACACGCTCCGGTTATGAAACCGCGAGACTCCCATGTTTCGTTCGATGATTTTCCCACGAACCCATCCCAGGTTGGGCCTTGGTGGAGGGTCCAGGTTTTGGACTGCGTGGGCCATGCCTGCCGCTCGCCTTGGACAGGTTCAACAGCAATTGGCTAAATTGTTGTGATAGAAGACTTGTATATCTTTTGGGATGTGGAAAATTTTAATCCAATGCCAATTTTAATCCAATAAGCCCCAATTTGGTGGTATGTACCACCCATTGATGCTAAACTTTGGAATAGTTTGTTATTGAGTCTACCACATGCATTTACCATTCATTGTCCACCCCATATTTTTACCCACACCTGTGCCTTGATGACTCAAAATGATCTTTCAGAATGTTTCAGACTGTTTCAGATCCTGAAAAATGAATAAACATGACACGTTTTGCCTGGTTTCCGAGTTGGACCCATACATTACCCGCGCATGTGACGCATTGTATCTGCGATTTGATATTTTGAATGAGGCACGCATGATGAAAAACAGGTCACATCAAGAAGTAAACCTGACCAGATCAGTGCTTCGAACATCATACCCAACAAGAGGAGGTCGCCACAACCATTTTGAAAACTGCAAGAATATCTCCAAAGCACATGCACTTAACCATACTTAACGAAATGAAGATTGTTTGCAGCTACTAGGGTCATGTTTTAATCCCAGATCACGAGTCCACAGTTCTATTGGGAGGTTTGAATGGAACCATTGAATCTTCCAAAGATCAGTAATATGGGGAGACAAAAGGTATTACAAATGGAAGGTAACACAAATAGAGAGATTTTATTTTATATAATTGCTTATATCATATAACGTGCTATTACTATGTCCTATCTAGTTAGATTTAACAATGGTATCTAACAATGGTCTCTAAACATGCTATGTTAGAAAACTGGTGCTCCACCAATAGCTATCTCCCGGCACCAGCTCCGCAAGCTCTGCAGCTCCACTTGCCATAGGATCGACCCGGACGCCAACGATGGACTGTCCCAGATGATCCACATTCGGCCTGGGAACTCAGACAACTGTCCCGGATATTCCCAGCGGATGAAGCCTCCATTTATAGCGGATGTTCAAGCTGGTGCCATGTTTGATTATCCTATTAAGTTTCGAATTAAATCCCATAAATCCATATTTTCAGGCAGCCACTTCAGGGCGTGCACCAATTGCACTCAGGTGGCTAAAGGACCCACCGATCTTCAACTGTTTGATGCCTAAGACCGCGCCTTACTGGCTGGTTTTGCCATGACTGGATCGAAGATCCCAATCTGGGATCTTTCTAGTAAATACTACCAAACACTAGATTGGGCACTAGAAATATCCAATTTTGGGTATATAAATTATGTGTAAATTATGTGTAATGGTTAAGTGTCTTAAGATCCAAATTTGGATCACTTAACCATAATATCCATAATCGTGTGGCATATTTTTTGAGTAAAGGCAAGGCAAGGCCATACCATTTGGGGAATGGTGAAAATACCACCCATAAACATGGTGATGACTCGGGGATGATTTATTATTGGCAATTGGGTTTACCTAAAATGACGGGAAACTTAAGACTTGAAGATGAGAATCAGGGCAGGTCTGACACAGTTTTCGGCAGCGGCCTAATTCATTTCTGATGAGATTCTTTGCAAGTCGTTGTTTTTATATAGTAGTATTGCACCATAACGGTCCACAACGAGAGCAAATGAACAACAATAATATGTTATGATTACAATATGTAATTATCGAAGGAAGTTTAGAAGCCAAACTTCCGACAATATGAACAGATGAAAAGCAGAGGTGGGAAGAGTCAGAGAAGAGAAGAAAAGAAGAAAGACGATCAGGGAAGAGAAAGAGTCAGAAGACAGAAGATGCAGGTTCGCGAAAAGGTACGAGTAGCAAAGTCGCGCAACACTGTGTTTTTCCAATGATTTGTGGCTCCGGAGGGTCGAAAAGTAGGCTCGCTAAAGCGGCGGGTGCGGAGCCATGTGGTCAGATGAGAGATGACAAGTTGCACGCCGCTGTGGCGCGAAGCACATGTCCAAGTCAAAATGTACAGAGCACACCATGCTCGGACCATTTTTGGAAGTTGAGATGTTGATAAAGTGTACGCCGTTGTGGCGCGAGGCACATTTCGAAGTCAAAAGTGTAGAAGCGACGGGTTCGGAGCACTTTTGGACGTTCAGATGTCGTTTTCCGTGGCAGGCGCAGAAGATTGTGCACCTTGTCTAAAGTGAGAAAAAACGTGAGAGTCCTGTAGCAGTTTCAGCTACAACCACCACTACGCTACACTCCACTCCACTACAACGACAACTACAATTACAAGCACAACTACATTACAATAATTACATTGCACTACACGACACTCCACTACACTACACTACATTAACTACAACTACAACGACAACTACAACTACACTACATTCCAGTACACTACGCTATTTACATTCCACTACACTACACTTTTTACATTCCACTACACTAATTACATTCCATTGAACTACACTACACCACACCACACTACACTTCACTACACTACCTACAACGACAACGAAAACTACAACTACAACGACAACTACAACTACAACTGCCACTACACTACAAAACACTGCACTACACTACACTCCACTACACCACACTACACTAGACTAGATGGGACTAAAATACACTACTGCACGCAACACTACAGCACACTACACTACACTGCACTGCACTACACTACATTACACTCCACTACACTACATTGCACTATCCTTATTACACCACACCACAACTGCAACTGCAACTGCGCCACACTAATTACACTACACCACAACTAGAACTACAGCTGCACTACACCACACTACATCCAGCAGTTGTGGGTGAGGTGACCGACCAGGTGACCACTGCAACCATTGCAGCCACTCCAAAAACACAGCTCCAACCACCTTTCGGTCCATCAGTGGCTTCGCTCTGTCATCCATGCATCACAACAACTCACCCCTCCTATAGTGTCCTATCTTTGAAACTTCCGCCACCGCTTGTGCGGTACTACTGGTAGTGTATAGATTAGATCCTGTCAGGTTTGACGGTTCCAAGGGCTGCTATCATTTGGCCCACTGACTATATGTGGTCCAACCTGCCCAAGATGGAGGATCTTGTTGTGGGCAGCCAGTCGTTCTTCATCGGTTTTGGTGGTATCTGTGATTGTCTTGTAATTATGGATGTCATGCTGAGTCATGCTGAGTCATGCTGAGTCAATTTTTGCTGTTGCTGTTGATTTTCTTCATGATATTTGGTGGTGCCCGCCCGCCCCTCCGTTTTGTTTGTTAGTTAGTAGACCTCATATTGACTAGTTTGGTAAAATTGTTATTGGGGTTCGCTTCACCAACTTAGCTATGTCTTTCTTGTAAAATTTGGCTGCAGCCAGCATCATCGAACGGCACGACCATCCCGTGCCAGTACCATTGGCGACTTGGTGGACACCTTCTGCTCTCGAACAGGGCTGAATCGCAAGGCGACTGGTCGCGGGAAGCCTGGGACAAAAACGTGAGCGACTTTCACCTTTGATATATAGATCCGCAATAGACACACGCAGTTTTCTGTGCATTTTTCCGACTAATCCAATGAACAGATCACCAAGATCCACCGGGAAGTCAAGTCGACCTATCCATTCTCCACCAAAACAACCCGGGCCAGATGAGCCAATATTCTCTTATGGTTGATTTTGTTTTTTTTTTAATGCCACTTGATTGGATTTTACTAAACAACCTGATGATTAGATAATTTAATCACAAGTGAGTTCTTGCATTGATTAATTTTGGAATCATAAGCAGTTCATCGTTGATGATCATCGATTCACAAATCATGATTTGTCCATAGTGTCTTATAAGATACAAATTAGATCCAAATTCACCCATCATACCGTATTTCATAGGAACATATTTCACGAACAGAAACATTCAATTCATTCCTCTCATGGGGTCGTGTAGAGTGGTTTTTGTCCTTATAAAATTCAATAAAGCCCCTAACACTGCTTAACAAGAAGTCCCCGAAGCTCTTTCGTAGTGTTCATAATCATAGAGACATTTAGCTGTAAATCCTCATGTTGCTGGTGAATTTCCGATTGTTGAATGGTATTTATCTACGGTAAACGATTGTAATCATGGAGCAAGATCAATTTCTAGTATATAGTTATATGGTAATATGGTAATATGGTAGTTATGCCCTGGTTATGGTAGTGAGAAAAACCCATGTGGCATGCCATGTGGCCGCAATTGTGGTAATTATAAACTAATCATTTCGTGAATCAGAGTCCAACATTCAACTATAACTTCTCATTTTTTCTGGTGAAATCACCATTTTTGCTGGTGAAACCAGCAAATCTGAATGGTAAATCTTGTGAAATCACCTCATTTTCTGGTGAAATCCCATTTTTTTAACGCAAAAGAATGCGTATCGACCATCCCTAGGAGACGATCTTGACCAAGGGCTTACCTGAGAAGGCGCCCAACGGCACTGGACAGCTGCTGCCGGTGGACTACACTGCTCCCAAGGCCGCGCCCATTCTTCGTAGAGGGTCTTGGTAGTGGGAAAGTGGGATCTAGTGACTGGTGAAACCGTGAAAACATGGAGTATATATCTATATATACATATATATATACATATTTAATTATATTTATTTATATTTATTTATTTAATCAGATATAGATATATGTACAGTATCACTGATATGTGCTGCTGTCAGCTTGCGGCGGCAGTAGCACACTTGCTACCCGTATTGAATAGTTCCTGTTTGTGTTTTGTGGCCCTAAAGCAGGGGCCAGATTCTGGACACAAAAATGGGACCACAATATTAAAAGTAGTAGCCCAGCTTCCAAATTTGTGGACCCAATTTTGGGCCTATGGTAAATGCGTTTGGCCTTCTGCAAAGAGCGCATTGAGCTGCGACAGGTTGCATCTTTCATTCATGTTTTCTTGCGCTTGGTGCCAGGATGCTGGTTTCACAGTATATATATATAATTATATAGATATAGATATATTGTATCCCATTCTAGGTGGTGATTATCTCTATAACTCAAGAATAGAAATATTGGAGAAATATTGAGATATAGTGGCGGGGAGCACCAAGAATCTGCTACTTTTAGCTGAATGAGTTGGATTCTGTGTTGGAATATACCACGCCAACAACTTACATCACGACCCTACCATGCTTGGGGTATATTGGAATTTGGGAAATTTGAAGTAAATCTAAGATTACGTGGAAAACAAATGACAGTGGGAAGTAGAAAACCAAGACATGAATGACTTTTTTGCTTGATCGGGAATATTTTTAAGTGGTGGCGAATGACTTCGTGTTGCGATTTAAGGCTATAGATACGGGAGAGGACATATATTTGTTGGGATCAAACATTGAGGATATTAATGTCGGTGATTTTATTCTTATATGAACTAAGAATTTCCTTTACTTTACTGCTATATCTCAAATTGTTGAAATGTTTAATTATGCATATATGTACAACAGTGATATCATTTGCCCCGTTTGATGGCATTGGATAGCTCTCGTCTGTAGTGCGCCATGTGAGCAGGTGCTGGTGTTTTAGGATGTTTTAAGCTGTACTGATTGTGGAAAGACATTGCAAATGAACACACATGAGAAAGTGGATCAAATGAACAGTCAGCAACCTTAACATTTACTTCCACTTCAAAACATGATAGAGCGCAGATGGAAATCACCTATTTCATTTTGTGGATGGTGCTCCTCTTGCGGCTGGTTCAATTTTGTACATTTTCCATCCAGTGCAGGATATTTTGATTTGGGTTTATGTTCGAAGCTAGTGTGTTGGTGATTTGCGTTCGTTCAATTGACGTGTCGATGTGGTTCTGTCCATCTAATCCCTTCCTAATATGAAACAGTCCCTATAATCCATGGTTTAGAAAGGAATTTACCAGGGAAATTCTACATATTTGGGACCCTACAATGGGTTGTTTCATATTGGGATTTTATACTTCCAAAATCCCCTTGGGATTCTCATGACGTCCTGACTGACTTGGCTGCAGGACATCCTCCTCCGAGAGCTTGGTTCTCAGGTCAAAATTATTTGCAAAACCCCAAAGTGATGTGGATGTGTGGACAAGAAATGTGTCGTGTATAACTATGGATATAGAATTATATTATATTATATTATAATATATTTTATTTTAGTATATTATATTTTATTTTATTATAGTATATTATATTATATTATATTATATTATATTGTTAGATTTCGTGTGTTTCTATAAAAGTATGTGTCTAGAACCGTGGGACAACCTGAACATTTTGACGTGTTATTTTTTTAATGGGGATTACGGTAGATTTAGGTGTCCAGGATTTTGGGGAAAGAACAAATCTGGAGGATTTCTGTCCGACGGCCACAGCATAGGGCTCCATTTTTTTGGAAAACAATGCTGGTTCCCATGCTAGTCAGTTTTCTGAATTGTTATTTAGTTTTCCAAGATCTTGATGAGACTAGTCAGATCTCTGGTGATCATTCATAGCAATTTGAAATCCACCATTGATCGATGATTTTCCAAGTAAAACCTAAGTAAAACCTCCATTTATAAGGGATTCCGGATAGCCAGCCACGTTTGATTACCGCAGGATATGTTCCGATGGATTTGCCAATTCCCATGCTGCTCAGCCATGAAGCTGCCTAATGACCAGGATGAGCATTGAGGAAGCACAGTGACCTACTCAGCTGGCTTGGATCAGTTGAAGGGCATCCAAATTGGGGTACCTATGAATCCACATGTGATATATGTTTACATGGGGGGTTGTCTAAAAATAGGGTAGCTCTAAATCCATTGATTTGTATTGGTTTGCCATCATATATATATATACACATATTTTCCATATGATTTGGTGGTATACCCCATGTTCAGACGCATCCACATATGTTTTAGGCTCCATAGAAGTTGACCTGCGACGACCAAAAGATTCCCTGCATCATTCCTTTTGGCATCAGAAAACAGCAACCCATTTTCTTGTAAGATTTATCAGATGTGGGAGTCTTTAATACACAAAATCAGCTGGAGATCCCTGAAGATTTGACATATTTTCTGATTGGTGGTTTCAAACATGTTTTATTTTCCATAATATATGGGATGTCATCCTTCCCATTGACTTACTCATATATTTCAAGATGTTTCTTGCACCACCAACCAGTTGTAGTTGCCGCAGAAATGGGCGTATGGCATTCTCGCTGGGTGTCTTCACCGATGCTTGTACTGTCGCTGCATCAATGATGGCCTCTACTACCCTCAGTTTACCATAGAAATCATACCATGTACCCATATTATCATATGTTTCAGTGTTTTGACCCATTTTTGTGGGTGCAAAAGGAGGGTTAAGTTGCCTAGCAATGGGGTAAGAATTATGACCCTCAGTTGGCAATTGCAAACCATTTACTCAACCCCAAGTCTTGACGTTTGCATGGTGCTGAACCCCAAGTTGCCCGTCTTTTTCTGGGCCCAGGGGCCCAGCACCGAGGATCCGGGACACCTTGAATTTAGTGGATCACTCAGCCCAAAACCAGTTGGATGAACGGCCTGGTAAGTTACGCTCTGACTGAAAATGGGCGTTGCACCCAAGTTACGGAAAGTTGAGTGGAAAAAAAAAATAGATCAGTGAATTGGCGGTACCGTATTTCTATGTATTTCTGTCATCTGCCAATTAATTTGTTCATCAATCATATGGCGAGCTGGGATTCTTCACATCTATGTTGCTCATTGCTCATTCATCACCCAGTTTTGATGGGAAAATCCATGGTATCGTATCATTTATCATGACGCCAATGATGCCACAAAATCTTGGATTGGCTCAAAGGAAATCTACAAGATTTAGCATTCAACTTGATATTCCAAATGTTCATGTTCGCCAAAGGAAGGCTTCAGCAATCTTGTTTGTTCTACCAATGGGTTTCTTTGAAAATAGGCTACCCCCAATTCCCATGGATCAAATAATCACTATTTCCATGAAGATATGGAGATTTGGAGGGTATGTAAGGTATGTATACTCCATTTTAAGACACCAAATCAAAGCATTGCGCTTTCCCTTCAGGTCTATGTGGGCCATTTCGACGAGGATTACAATCCCAGTTGAGTGGCCTTGGCTGCGCGGTGAACGATCGGAGTGTCATGTGCCGTACGTGCCACGGCGCGTGGCTGTAACCAACCGCGACAAGAAGATGTTCCGTTGAAAAGCGTGCAGTGGAATCTATATCATGAGGGTAAACCATGGTAAACCTGTAAATGAGAAAGCCATCAATTTGGCATGTGATATTGACATTGAGATATATCAAGAGGGGTTTCTAAAACATAATCCCTTATGAGGAAGTCGATGGTGGTTCTGTCTTATATATCACATGATTTCTTTGAGATTCACATGCAGCCAGCTGTGGAGTATTGATGAGCATTGATGGAAGCAACATGTCACACAGCAATATGTTGATTCATATTAACCCATAGGATCCATGTATGCTATATATGGTAACATTTACCATCAATATACCCCAAATGTTAGCATATATACCATACATGGATCCTATGGGTAATTTATGGAATCGAAAGAAGAGACCGTTTCCCGTCTGAAAATGGGTACCGGTATACCCCCAACATGGCCATTGGATCATTTTCAGACACCGTCTGAAAATGGCCACAGCAGTGCTGATGCTGCCGAGTTGGCTCACGGCCACAATGTCGATAACACGTTTTAAAAGCAACCCTGATTTTCCTGGACTTTTCATCATCATTTTTGATCATCAAGCACAGCTGAATGTAGCCGTGACATTTGCTTCCATGTTTGTGTCCACTATACAAAAATGGTAGATAGATTGATATAGATTGGAACTTGTCCAGCAGCATCACAAGTTTTATATGCGAGGGGGAATTTCGTTGAAGATCGTTGGTGCTTTTCGCCGTTGCCATGCTTGGTGCCATGCTTTTCTGGAGATTTCTATTGATTTGGCCTGTGCTCAGCTCAGTCTTCGCCGGTGGCCAGGGGATGAGTTCACCTGTCAGGATGTAACCCAATATCCAGCTATACGGGATGTGTTTCGGGATGTAATATCTAACATTACACGTATATATATATAATATGTATGTAACAATATATAAACTATATATGCAACACGATATGACCCAATTGCTCACCAGTCAACTTACACTCCAAAGGCTCTAGGTAGCAAAGTCATCAGCCTTCGCAATTTTTAGATAGCTGGGACATGAGAGAAGTGATTATGTTTTTAAAGCAGCCCTTGGAACTTTCTTTGATGGGGATTACTTGAAAAATCCTGAAACTACTTTGACTTTACATATCGCGATGTGATGTGATGTTCTTGCACCATTGTTTTTTCTTTCCTTGTATGCGCCCCGGGAATGCACTCGACAAAACACAGCGAGCTTGATGTCGCAATAAATTCAAATCCATTTGCTGCGCATGTGTACACGCATGGTATGTTCATCAATCATGCCCAGTCTAAAATCATCATTGAATGGTCAAAAATCATCATCAATGAACATACCAGTCATCCAGTCTATGGTGTGTTTCTCTTTTTGACCTGGTCATAGATTTGGCACCGCTGTTTGGAAATTCGTTGCAGGTTGCGAGTTTTGATCTCAGTGGAATCCTAGGGTTTGGACCTCAGGATCTGCTGGAGTTCCATGGGGTTTTCCCAGCAGGTGGTGATTGGGGACTTTCCAGCCATGTTTCGTTGAGGCTAACGACATGACAACATTGAGATTCCCGGAAGTGATAGCATTGACATGCACTGACCAGTCGACTGGCCATGACTGGTGTGTGATTTTTTGATGGCAAGTCAAGTCGACCGAAGATGCCTGCGCACAGCTGGCACTGGAGCTGAGGCAACATGTTTGGAGCCCAGTCGGTTCATGATCTCTCAAGATCCATTCGGGTTGAGATAACATGGAAATCGTGTGGTTGCGGCGGGGCCAGCGCTAATTCTTTGGACACGGCGCCTGAACTAATGATAACATGATAACTATATCATGGACAGAAATGGAAACTCATAGCAAGAAAGAAGACAAGTTGAAGCGACAGACTGGTTTTGGTCACGTCTCAAGAGTTGGGTTCTTGGATTTCCACAGGATTTCCAGGTTGGAATTCCAGGTTGAAAACTCATGGGTATGGATGAACAACTGGCTTTACAATCCAGTCAGCACACGAATCCAACATGATTGGAGAGTCACCAGTCCAGCATCTAAGATGCAGGACAAAAGGTATCCAAGACTGGATCAACAAAATCCAGATCAACAAAGGCCAGTTCAATCCGAAGTCCAGTCCAAGATTTATTTGACAGAAATATTGGATCCATTTATATCCATTAAGCATCATTAAATATCATGAAACAATAATTAATCCATTAAATATCCATTTATTGATTCATTTATAATGTATGAAAGCTGAATCCACTCCATCCGCAGCATCTCAGCCTCTGCGCCCAGGCGGTAGATGAGCTCACGGACAAGAGCTTTGCTCAACACATGAAGGAACGGAGCCATGGGAAAATCCACCATGGAAGATCTGGAGAATTTTCATGGGAAAGTCATTAGTCAACTAGTGGAATGACCCAATGACGAATGTACCGCAAGGCAAAATCATCCAGTTTACCATGTTTACCATAGGATCCATGGTGCTGGTATATATGCTAACATAACTGGGGTATATTGATGGGATCCATGGAGCACCATATATAGCAGCACCATTGAACCTATGGGTGTTTACCATTGCCAGGAGTCGGGAGGGATCAGGTTTCCCATGTACATGGCCGGGGATACGAACCATGGGCAAAGCCACGTACAAATTGTGAGATATGAACCATTGCGAACCAGCCATTATCAACCATTATTGGGATATATCTATAAGAATATACCACAAAATTGTGAGATATGAATCATTGGGATATCAACCATTATCAACAATTTGAATATCCCATGATTCACCATGAATCATCCTCAACCATCCGTTCGCATCCCATTCTTCACCAGCTGCGGGCAATAAATCGGTGGTTTTTGGTCGGCCTGTAGAGGACAATCCGGTGACAGCGATTTTGTTCTATGCGCCCTGGTGTTTCTACTCGCAACAGGCACCGGAAGGGGATCACGGAAATCTCGTTGGGACTGTTGGGATGGGAAGCTTCGCGAATGGTGGAAGGTGATTCGGAGATACGACTGATACTGCACCCCTAAAGATGGAACGACAGGAACGACGCTTCTGGGTTCAAAGGCTTCGTTCAAAGATGTTGTTCGGGATTTGTGCCGTGAAGAATTCATAGACTTTCAAGGTTTCACCATGTTTCACCTATCCGGCTATGATTTCTTCACCCTCACAGGCTGAATCTCGCGTAGGGTGCAGGACGTCAGTCTCATCTTCTCTTGTGGATTACCTATTTGGGGAATTTGGAGACCTTTGCCAGCGCGAATTCCCCACATCAGACAATGAACTAATATCAAATGGGTATGTCTGACAACGGGGTAATATATAAATATAAATATGTGTGTATATCAGTATATCTATATATTACCCAGCAACTAGTAAATTTAATAGGGACAGTCTGGAAAGTGATGAACCAGTGGATGGCATGGGGTACTCAATTTTCAGTCAAACCCAAATAGATTTCGAGTTACACTGTGCACCTCTTTTTTCATGTTTGTCCGCTTGTCCATGTGCTCATTTCAAATAAAGGGTGCCCTATATTTGGGGTCTGAGTCTGAGCCAAAACAGAGCAGTCAAGAAAAGGGGTAGTTCAACAGTGAAATTTCAAATCACAAATCTGTTCACTGATGTTCGCTGTAAATGTTGTTCTACTAGCTGTGTAAGCTCGCTAGTAGCTGGTATGCACAGTCACTGGGTTATACCGAGTTTTACCACAGTTGCCAACGAATAATTACTAGTCATCACTGATATTGCTATAGAAATATAGAAATATTATGATTCTTTGGTTCCAAACAAGCTGTAGCCACCATTTGACTCTCCGCAGCAACGACAGTTGTGTGGCTCAAAGGATAGCCACCCGTTGCCACCGCGGACCCCTGGGAGGTGGCTCTTGCCTCGGAACTTAGCAACTTCAAATCCACGAAAAATGCATGTTTTAATGGGGAACATCCACTATATATTCAGGTTTGAATAGGAACATCCAGTATAAATGGAGGTTAAAAAAGCTGGGAACATCGTCGAACTAAATGAGGACATTCCAGCAAGCCACGTTTGATTAAACGGAGGGAAGTCAAAGGGGGGTGTCATGAAAAAATCTACAGTGTCACCCCTTCATAATACGAAAAAAAACGGCATCACTTCATTAGTCTCGATTTATTTTTGGGGTTGAAGTACTGTATCATGGTCACAAGTAGTTTAATTCAGGTGATTATCGAACATTGACCGACATTTCTTTGTTCGACAATTCGAGAATGGCTTCAAACATCAAACTGCCTTTGCTTGCTATGTCGGGTGCTGAATGATCAAATCTCTAGAAGGAGCCAACATGTAGACCGCACATGGTGCTTTTCTGATTTTCTTACGAACATGTTTGATTTCTCTAAGAGAAGCACATTTCCAAGGAATTAGGTAGATGTGGGTAGAATAAGAGGACAAGACTCAAAAATGTGGCCAAGCACTTGGTTCAAAATGCTACAGTGCCCATGTTTCCTCCGCCGCTCTTTGATGCGCAAAAGGTTTTCTCAGCCTTTCAAGCATGGAATACAACCCCAACAGATTCAACCATTGAATGAAAACATAATAGAACCTCAGAAATTGTTCCCTAGTTGGAAAATCTTTATATGTCGGTAGTCCAACGGATGGTTGATAACTTAGTAAGACTTTAGTACTTACATGTACTGACTATACATATCTATGAGCATGACTACTTATTCGCAAATTCATAGGTCTCAAAGATTTCCATATATGCGTCACCATTGCCCAACTCTAACTTGGATGCTTTAGACCATAGTACTACTTAAATCCAGTTCGCCCAAATCCAGAAATTTAGTGGATCCCATATTACCATGGTCTAACATGGTCTAAGTATGGAGGATTACCCGATTACAAACGGTGGCCAGGATGGCTTTGGAGGCGGAAATTTCGGGTGAGCTGGGCTGGAAAATGTGGGATTTTAGCTGTAAAATTACCCATATCAAACCCCACCATAGACTGGTTGCTAGTTGAACACATAGATTGTTTATTTGGTTGGTGGTTTGGAACATTTTTTATTTTCCCCATATATTGGGAATAATAATCCCAACTGACTTTCATATTTTTCAGAGGGGTTGAAACCACCAACGAGTTATGATGTTTGTTTTCAACCTTATGAGTGGGATGATGATCTCCAATGACGAATCACTTTTTCCACGGGGGTTGACAGGGTTGGAACAACCACCAACGATCCTTGAGACATGTTGAGATGTTTCCTTTGAAGTTGGGGCTTTTCCATTCCAAGGTTTGTTTCCTGAAGAGTATCGACCTTTGGAACAAAGCCTGTTTATTTACAGGCGCACTATACAGGCGCACAGACACAACGACATCAGGAAACAGATCTTGCAGGTGATATAGCTATTTGGTTGGCTAACTCAAGAAAGGATAACTTCCCAAATTTCAATTATCACCATCACCATGTTTGGCAAAACAGTGATGATTTAGGGACCCAAACCCAAAGATATCTCGCCCGGTTGGGTTATCAAAGTATCCCAAGCGGTAGGTTGAGCTTGTGGCATCGGGGTGTTTATCACAGCATTCTGAGTTTTTTGTGGCTCTATTCTAGCTGATTCAACATGGAAATGATGAAATGGAACTAGAGTTCGAGGGGTGTTTAATCCCAACTTATGGGAAACATGGAAAAACCATATGGAACATATGGGAAAAATGGAAAAACCATATGGAACATATAGAACTAGAGTTTCAGGGTTGGGCTTATATATATTATATATATATATATTTATTGTGGCTTATTGCCAGTTTCACCCATACCTCTGTGCAGGTGGTCGGAACGTCACCTTCGGCCTGGGATCCACTGAAGTCAACCTTCGAAGCTCGGACATATGGACCCTTTTCACGCTGTGGATGGTTACGAAATCCGAGAAACCACAGGTGCTGGTTGCCATGGTGATGGGAGCCGATTATCGGCCATCTCTTTGTTGAAGATGGTTATGGATGGTTATGGGCCCCAACTGTCAGACGATCTGGCAGGCTACATAGGGTGAAGAGTGGTCAATGGGCTGATTTGTTTGAAGCCAGCTATACGTAGCTCCAAGATGACCAAGTTGAAGCTGTGAACAGCATTTTTTAACTTTTTTTGAATACACCCATGTTATCCCATGTTCCACTTTGGTCAGCAAAGATGGCAGGGCAATCACCCATTTAAGTGCATTGTGTTACAATTGCATGATATGATGCTGTATCGATAGCCACTGCCACGTTAGATCGTATATGATTATATAACAAATGGGTTTAGGTGTATGCTTTTTTGCATGCCTCAACGTATGATCACACTTGGCGCATGCCGACTGACAGATCCCACGTCCATCCAACAATCTAAGGACTGCGATCGACAGAGTTGCAGGTGCTGCTGTTGTTGTGTTTTGCTTTAGCAATCTCCGCCTTGTGAGTGAAGATAGATATTGAACAACCGATGGTAGGAAACCATCTATATCATGCTGGGTTTTTATGGGCTTGAAAATCCGGGATACCAGGATTACCAGGATACCCATAAATGGGAATTTTCATGAAATGATGACAAGCGAAGGGGTCAAACAAAGCGATAGGGGTCAACAAAAATGGTCCAGGGCCCAGAGGTCAAGAAACATGGTGCCCATGACAAACGAGTTGTGTACCCGATCATCCCTCACCATAATATCTCAAATGTGTATACTGTATATATATATACTACAATTGTAATCAGTTCTATTAATATATAGATATTAGTCATATAAAATCCTTCATATTATGTCTCACACATATATATATATATATATACACTGCATGTATATGTTATATATATATATATTGTAATTATATCCACCATCCATCCAATATCCATCCACCATCCCCAGGTCCACCTCTCTGGGTTCTTCGATGTCCAGCTTCGCCTTTTCGCGCGCCACGGAGACCGAGCTCGGCTCGGAGAGCGTCTGCAGCTTCCCAGCGACGATGCATCAGACCTTCTACGGCAGGCTGCATCGCAGGGCCAGCGCGGTGAATAAGATCAAGGTTAAGGTGCCCAAGTTGTATGACACTTGGGTTCAGCTATGGCCATTTATGACTGGTTATTTCTACGGGATTATACATTCTATGAATGGCATTATAAGTACTTAGAACTGGTAAAGGGCCACAACTGTTGCGATCTATATCTCAATGGATTGGCTTGGCTGGACTAATGGATTTGTTTAAGGGAAAATCTACAGAAAAAAAAAGAAGCATATTTCATGGGAAAATCGATGGTTTCCTGTAGATTTTCCCTTAAGCAAATCCGTTGAACCTCTGGCAGGGTTGATGATTAGCTTGGGGGATTTTACGAACATATATTGGGAATCACTAAAAATAATCATCAAGCTCATCATCCATTTTTTTTTGGGGTACACTATATTGGATATGATCACTATATTGGGAATCACTGAATCACTATATAATCCAATAGGGGCATTGATGGTATCCACTTGGAGAATGTGTACCCGACCCGGATGTTACCCGACAAATCATAGCTGGGATCCATCCCCGCTTGGATGTTTTTTGGCAGTGGCTACACCCCTGGCAGGGTTGATTAGTTTGGGGATTCTACGAGCCTTTATATATATATATATGTATATATATATATATTACACTTATAATCCAATAAGGGAAATTATTTTGATAGTTTTTCTTTTATTTTGGAGAATGTCGGCTGATTGTTGTGTTTTTCTGACACTTGGGGAATATTGTTTTGGTGCCTGGAGTTGGTTTCTGCGTGTTTGATGATGTTTGATGTAACGCGCCATGATGGTATATAGGGACTTGAAATGAGAGGTGTTGTGCCATTGATCTGGTCATGTGAGTTCATAGGCCTTACGGATTGTAGGTGCCTGCAATTGAGGCACCTGAATGTTCCGCTCGGACCATCTGGATGTTGTTTGGGAGTGTTTTTATTTACCTTTTTGGCAATTTGACATAGTTGTAGAAAATCACCATTTATATAGGCAAATCATCTAATGACATGGGCATGCGGCATAGCTATGTTACCTGTTGCCAGAGAGTACCCATGTGTGTTTTTCGATCACCTTTATGAACAGCTCTTCTCTGAGCGCGTCACTCTTTGGTTTCCTGCGCTGCAGTGCGAGTATCTTGTGATATCTTGTGTACAATGGAGATCGCATTTTCAAGCCGATCAGATTTAACACAGATAGGTTGTGATTGGATCAGATTTCGGACACTCTTTGGTTACGCCGATCAGATAAAATTCATCACATCATGTTGCCAAGTCTGAACCATGCTGGAGACAGGATGAAACTGTGACCATCCACCTTACAAGGTGGAACTATCCGCGATAGCCAAGTTGGCAAACAGAACTCCAACAATTGTTGGGTCCCAATGGTAGATATAATAACTATTTGGAAGTTATAAGCCCAACATAAACAGTTCGTAACTATCAACTGACTCCAATTTTATTATCAAAACTATTGCTAGATCTACTAGATCATAACTGCAGTCTAACTATAGTTCATCAACATTGTAAATCATCATAACTATTGGTAGATTGATTATCATAACTATTGGTAGATCATTGATGACCCAGCATTATCTAACTCACCGGTTCGTGTGGATTATGCGCATCATCATCACTGGATTCCCACCTTTTCGTCATCGCCACTCAGGACAGTAAGCGAGTCTTCCGATGCCTGGAACAAGAGCTCTGGCCAAATCGGAAAGTCCCCTGGCGCGCGCGGAAGGTGTCCAAGCGCTGTGTTTGTTATGGGATGAGAATGGGATAAAAGGTGGATCTATTTGGATATAGTGGGTAATGAAATGGGATAGAATGGGATAAAATGGTTGAGATTCAACATATAGAGATGGACAGAGTGGGTAAATAGGTGTGATATAAGATATAATCTATAGTGGTTGATCATCAATATAGCCAGTATGCGATGGACTATGTATATAATGAGTATATATTTGGATATAGTGGGTTCACGGGATAGAATGTGATAGAATGGGGGATAAGGATATTTCCAACAATATGATGGTTCAGGAGGGACAATTACTGCTTAAGGGCGAAAAGGTTAGCTTGGCGAAGAGGTTACTAAAATGGGGATTCAATGATCCAAAATGAAATAAAATGGGAATATCACCCTTGATGATTTGGTTGGGCAATTATTGTTTGTTCTATATAATATGTTGTAAGTATGTTATTCTTCAACCATACGTGGAATATTTTGGGAAAATTAATTCAGATGACGAGTATTTTTTTTGATCGGTAAAAGCCACCAAACAAATGTCCACACTAACACTAAGCTTTTGCCCCCGTGGAAAACTGACGTCGCTCCTAATTTCGGATGTCATGTTTGTTTTGTTATTAATGCTCATATCCCATAGGATCCATGTATGGTATATATGGTAACATTTACCATCAATATACCCCAAATGTTAGCATATATACCATACATGGATCCTATGGGTATAGAAATGTTTTAAACACATCTAGTCAAAATCTGAGGCCATGAAACCTAAGCATCACCTGCCACCAAGGTCACCAACTACCAACTCTGCTACGGCGCCCCACGACCGCCCAACGGTGCTTGGATGGCCCCAGCGCGCCTTCCAAGACCGGTGGCAGAGGTTCCGTTCAAAGGCAGAGCGGTAGCACCCGATGATTCGACCCTCAGCTGTCAAATCCGCAGGTTGATTCTTTCTTACCCATGACGGATCCATGGTGCTGCTATATATGGTAACATGGATCCCATCAATATACCCCCTTTGTGTTAGCATATATACCAGCACCATGGATCCTATGGGTTAGTGACTTTAATCTTTACATCTGAGTTCATCTATAGACTTACTTTAGTGATGGGGGGGGTATACAAGTCCATGAAGTCCTGTGCAGATTCCATCATGGTGTTCCTGTTGGATTGAGCAGCCCTGAACCAGCCACACTCGGCAAGTCTACGACGTGTAAACCGTTCACTCCATGTATATTATATACGTATATATATATATATGTGTGTGTGTGTCAATCAAGTGTTAAGAAATTATCCACCAAGTTCAAACACGTTCGTTTTGTCTCAACCCTTAAAAATGAAACCTGATAAAGCCTTTTTTTCTGACAATCCTTGATTATCTTGATTGCAGACAGGATCGCCACATTTCTTTCTCCACTCCCTTCAGAAAAACGACATGTTTGTTACCCTGTTTACAACATGTTCATTCCATGTGGTACCTCGTTTGTTTGGTTTACCTTGGAGACACATCCGTTTTAAAACCACTGTTATGGTCCTCTACCACTTATCCGTCAGTAAAAACCCCCTTTTTATGGAATGATAATCCCATGTATCATCAGTTGTAACTGGTAAAGGGCTTGAACTGCAGGTGATTCATGTTCCGCCAGGAAAAGCGATGTCTCCCCACCGGTGTCGGAGTTGGGTTCCCTTCCCCTGACCGACGTCGCCGTGTCGCCCTCCGCCGTGTGTTCCACGTCGGCATCGAGCCGAGCACGGCCGCGGTCGGCCACCCCGCAGACGAGGGGAAGCTCAGCGCTGAAAAGCCTTGGGGCGCGGTGCTCGGAAGGTGGACTGGCATTGACTGGCACTGGCACGACCCCCTCAAATTTCGATTGGCACCCTTGAAATAAGTGAATACTTGGCAAACAGAACATAAGTATGTCCATTGATTTTTAAGTATTGCCAATATTGTTTGGTGGTAGTGGTGGTGTTATATCATGTTATATCCGGTATATATAATTAGAATATAATGTGTAACCATGTGTAACCACATGAACAATAATATGGGAAATGGATGGAAATGGAATATATAGAACCAAATCTGGCTGAACAATTGTCCCTAACCTCGCATCCCCATGGATGTCTTAGTTGTTTTATCTAATTTGCCATCACCTCCTGGTAAATTGCCTGTTGAAGAGTTTGAGTTTTGTATGTTTTTGAAAAAAACAATCGGGTGAATATGATTATGCAAGTCAAATGGTGGTTTTACAAACAAATGGGACTATACAACTTATGGTATCTTATAACAAGTGTCATAACTATCCACCTCAGATGAATAAACGGGCTGATTAAACTCAGTGGCACCCCCAGAGCCCAGGGCTTTCTTGCTACGGGTACTCGTATATTCTGAGACAGGTATGCACCTACACGCAACAGATACAAAACACATCCTGCTTGGCAGTTCAAAAGGATTATTTCGGCATTGGAAAGTGGTAATTTAGGGGTTAAGTGACCTGAAACCAGAGACTTACTCATGTTTTCACTTTTTGTCAGGTCTTGACATAATCCCTTCCTGGCCTTTTTTTTTAAATACCTTTCCAGTAACCCTTTGCGACCTTTTCGCAGGTCGCCCGCAGTCAGCCTTAGCATCCCGATGTCGATCCAGTGGAAGATCGGCGACTGCGACCGCGACCAGTGAGGCGATGCCTGCCATCTAAGGTGTGTTCTTTCATCCAACAAATGGCTCTACCGTAGTAATCCATTGACCCTCCAAATGCCCAACAAAAATTATGCGCTTTTAGCAGCAACATGATTGGGTGAAACATCATGTTCAGTTGGGTTCGTTTCACGAAAAAGGTCATTCTTCGGGTACATGTTGGTTCACAGCATTTGGGATGAAAAAATCAACGGCAAGTCATGTGCGTCCACCCTGCCCATCCTATTTTTGAGTCCATAGACGTAGTTTAGTGGGGGATGCAATGCTGGGTATGGAAGTACAGGGACGATTGTCCCTGGTGTTGGCTAAGTTGTTACCCTCTGGTAAACTAACATAACTATGGAAAATCACAATGTTTATTGGGAAAATCCACTATAAATAGTCATGTTCAATAGCTATGTTAGTCATTACCAGAGGGTATTCACTGGGTCACGAACCACTGCAGGAGAGAGCATTGCAGTGGGGTATGGTCTTTTTTGTCACAAGATGATTTGCCCGAAAAACCATTGTTGTTTGAACTGAGGGAAATTGATGGAAATTATGGGTTGCAACCAGCCATGGAAGAAGCAAGCATCAGTGTCTTGTGTCAACTGTGTTTTCGCAGAAATTCAATCCACGCATTTGGTAGCCAAGATTTATCATTCAACAAACCTGACACAACCGTCAGTGCTTTCTACATCTCTGATGAGCTCTTGATTATATAGCTATTGCCACAACAATCCCTCACAATTTCATACTATCTATAACTGCCTAGCTACTGCTGCCTTGACCAAAGTCCTGGAGGCCACTGCCGCCACCTTTGGCGCCACTTCGGTTCCCAGCGCCGCACCAAGCGCCGGCGTTTCGGGGAAGGAGAACCCGGCGCCGTCGACGCCGGGACTCGAGCGGCTGGTCGATGTGGTCGAGGAGGGTCGATGCCCTGTGAGGCGAGGTCTGGGACCCTACTTTTTCGGGGCGATTTGAAAGCACAAAGGTGAGAATCATGAGTGATTCATCTGTAAGTTTTTTTTTTTTTATAAAAGGATTGTGGTAAATGTTGGTGGGTATATGCGGGTAATTATTATGTCTGGGATTTATATTGGAAGGTTTTGTAGAGGGGACTGCCAAAGTGAGAGCTTGAAGCAGCTTGGACGGCATTCAGTTGTGGGGTCTTTCAACTGTCGCTGAGTCCAAGGTGAAAGAACTAATCTGTAGTGGGTTTTAAAGCCTCGATTTGTTTGTTGGCTTCTCCAGTTATCGGATGGTGATCCAGAATGACCAGAAGAACACGACGATCGCAAGTCGTGTGCACCCGCGGAGTTTTGCACCAGCTCCAGCCGCTGCAGCCAGGAATCGCAGCCGAGTGAAACATGTAGGCTGTATGAGTTGGATTGAGTGATGCAGTAGGTAGGCCCTTGACCCTTGGAAGTCGTGTCACCCTTGGTCTAAGTGCTGAAGATGGCCCTGGATGAAGGAAGCCTGGTTGTTGGATCTGAAGGTTAAATGGCTCCATGGACTGGAATTCCAAATAAGGGACTTGAGTAATTTTGGGCTAAAACTACTGGTGAATTTCAACGTATACATTGACTTTTTTTGTTCGGACCACACATCTTTGGAGCTTGATCATACAGTGCCTGCCATTCTCGGACCCACCCAAGTCCGATTTTCTGAATTTGTTGCTTGATTTTGAAAGAACATGTTAAGATCAATCCAGAACTCAAAGTCACCTGATTCTGGACGACTGTTCTTTGACATATCTGATCTCGCAAAGGGTTTTCCATTGGCAACCCGTGATCCCATGCCATGGTGGTGCAATCGGACCTAACTTCCGTAAGGGACGAGGACAATTTGGGCTCAGTGAATCGCGTTGAGTCCCTGAATTCACGGATTTACATCAGCTGTGGGTCGTGCCGAAGTTAAAGCTGGTTGATAGGGAGATAATTAAAAAGACAAAACAAGAAATCAGTTGTAGAAGGGAATGTGGAACCAACAAGCATTTTTTTTATCTGCGTGAGAGCAGGATACACATTCATAGCACCAACATATGATTTTAATAGAGAAAATGATGATAAATCATGATAAATCATGCTGAATCATTGAAATTTGGAGGTACCCTATTTTTAGACCTGTTGAGATGCTGCTTTTCAAAGGCAAAAAGAGCCAAGACCTATATAAATATATATATATATTTTTTTGGCAGCGTCCCATAGCTGTAGCCTGGTGCCTTGTACAAATGGTGGTTTCCATAGTCATGGGGGTACGCCTTTATCGCTGCATGGTTTATTTCATGGAATATCCTTCCATAAGGGATGAGAACTAGGGGTATCCTCTGGTAAACTGCTCCGTAACTATGGAAAGATCCACCATTTTTAATGGGTAAATCCACTATTTCTATGGCCATGTTCAATAGCTTTTTGTATGTTTACCAGAGGGTACCCCATTTCAGGAAGCCTCCAAATGGTTTCGGGGCGAAATTTGGCCCCATGCCTGGCCAAAGGTCGAGCAATCCGTTAATGCTTTGGTGAAAATGAAAGGGGCCTGCACGAAACAGGAAGGAAGGAACCAACCCCATGGGCCAAACATGTATATGTTGAATCATTATGTCTACAAACTGATGATGATGATGATGATGTTGATGATGATGATGCTGATGCTGGTGGTGGCGGCGGCGGTGGTGGTGTTGATGATGCTGGTGCTGATGATTTCGACTTCGAGGTAGACGGACTTAGTGGTGATATCTGCAAACATGATTCGGATTTTCGTGTTTGGATGCATGAACCACAATTCTTCATGTTTCCTTTCACTAATTGGACACATATGTCCTTCATGTTGATAAACATATCTAAGATCCATATGCTAAATGGAAACAGATGTCCTAAACATAAATATTGAGAACCACAAGTTTTAGCTAAAAAACTGCGTGCAAACACATATCTGGAAGATCCCCCCAGGGATGACCATTCCAAGGATTCACGGGATTCACATCTTGCCGGTGGTTTTTTGTTCTGGTTGGAACCCGGATTTTGCCTGGCCGAAAGCCATGGCGAAAGCCAGCAAGTTTCCATCATTGCTATTGTTAGTTATCAACTTTACTTTACATACTTTACATACTTTACGATGTGTGCCATGATCATTCCATCTGGCGCCAGTTTTTTTTACCCTCTGGTAAATAAACATAGACCCTGAAAATCACCAAGTTTTAATGGAAACTAGTCTTCCAACCCCTATCTGCCAGGGTCTATGTTAATTTACCAGAGGGTAATGATTCTGGGAAATCAACACAGCAATTGTTGCTTATTGAACCAACTGAAAAGATAGTGAGATAGAACAACATCAAACTAACCAATGAACTGACCAAAATCTTCGGACTCCTGATCATGCCCCTTATGAACATTGTTTTCTTTTGAACAAAAGGAAAACACCTTCAACTCAAATTGATCTGAGTCAATTCAAGTGAAATCAACTCAGAATTAATTGTTTATCATGTCAACTAAATCAGGCCAACTAAATGATGTAAAAAAACAATAACTGGTTGGTGGTTTGGAACATGAATTTTATTTGTCCATATATTGGGAATGTCATCCCAACTGACGAAGTCCATCATGTTCCAGAGGGGTGGCGAAAAACCACCAACCAGATAAAAATCTATAGATATTATAGGTACTATAGCCACTATTATGATATATAACCCCATTATAAAGATGAATACTGTATCCCATTATAATCCCATTAACCAGATATAAATCTATATGTCGACTATAGGCTATAGCCACATTTGGCCATCCCCTAAGGACTTCAGTAGCCTTCATCTCTGACCAGGTGATGCCCGCATGGGACTTAGCAGCTCAGAAGCTGCAGATTCACGAGCCGTTTGGGAGCCTGGAGCCGGAAGATGGAGATCGGCCATTTGTGTACGGAAAATGGATGGGGAAAGTTGTTTCTACATGGGGATATCATGGGATATAGTAGGATAGATTGTGGGAGGTGAGGATATGTGGCATAATATACATATATATTTATATGATTATAAAAGAGTCTATATGTATAATTATTATATATATATGACAATAGTATGCAATAGTAAGATATAATATGGCCATTTAAGTAGGGAACATGAATGTACAAACCAAAAAACATGGGGATATAATGGGAGTATCATGCATCGTTTGCCATTCTAATATCAATGGATTGGTATTGTGTGGGAACACCTTACGCAGACACCGACATCTGACACAGCTGCAAGGGTATTCTGCAAATTGTACCGTCCCGCAATCCTGGGATAATAGCTGTAAGATAATGATAAGCCATTTGACTATGGTCTCCATCAATGGAGCTTGGAATATCAAAAATATCTTCGGGGAATACGCACTATGATGATGACCAATGATCAGTGTCTTAGGTAAATTCGTAGTATTTCTCATAGCCTATGATGATTGGTTAGTTTCCCCGCCATCCACAAAAAGTTGGTTCGTATGTGGGCATAGACAGTTTCAACTAGACAAGGCATGGTCCACAGTTAAAGCCCTTCAGCAGATATAAATGGTTGTAATTTGGGTTATACGTTTCATAAGTAGGGTTCTAACTGACCAGTAACTGGTAAAGTGCCACAACTGCAAGAATGTAATACCGGCGTTGTCAAACTATGCGGTATATGAAGTTTTCCATCCCCACACTTTGGCAGGATCATGATCGAAAACTCTTCCCACTGATTTCAGTGACTTTCATTCCAAATGGCAGGAAAAGGATCGGAAAGACTTCAACCTCCAACGTTCATCCCAAATGAAAGAATAGGAAAGAAAAGAAACATTCTGAGATACCAGGATACACCGTAAATGTTCATCAAGACATAGCTGGTAGAATCTGTTCATCTATATTTCAAAGCTGCTCAAAAAAATCCAGCACCATTCCAAATAGGCCCATCAAGATGGCGAAGATCGATGCAAGTCGATATGGGTCTCGAGCCTGAGATGGGGCGATGGTGGGATGGAAGGTTGAAGCCTAAAGTGAAGATCCGAAACTTATGATTTCTATATATATTTCTACGGAGTTTTTGCCCACCTGCCAGGTGAGGGCCTCTATAGATTTTCACAAAGGTGTGCCTCACTCCCTCGCTCGCTCACTCCTTCACTCCTTGCTTGTCCTCTCCTTGTCATCTTTCTTCGTCCCTTGTCTACCCCTGGACCCAAGCCATATCTCGAGCTCGGGACAGATGCCAGATAGAATGCCGGAATAGATGTCAGAGAAGGAATGTCAGAATAGATACGAGATAGAATGGCAGAAAGAATGTCAGAATAGACTCCAGAAAGTCTATCAGAAAAACTGTCAGACAGAATGTCAGAGTATATGCCAGAAAGAATGTGAGATAGTCTCTCAGAATATATATGCCATATATATACTTCCAGATAATATGTCAGTGTCAGGGTGGAACCCAGAAAATGGATTGCTGGATTCCGTAGCATCTGCAATGACATGTTGCAAAAGTCTGTGTTTGTCCTTGAAGGGAAACATCTTTGCAAGATGAAGGACAGAAATTCATTAGCAACTTGTCACTTGGAATATGGATGTTTCCTTAAAAGGGGGGTACCCGTAAATCATCCATTTATAGAATGATTTTCCATTATAAACTATCCAGCTATTGGGATACCCTAAACCCCGGTTGATTTATTCCTGCCGAGGTCAGTGGGCGAGTCAAATGAGGTCCGTGCATATCCCACGATGAAGCTGTTGCTGGCTTCGGATTCAGTTTGGTCAAGGGAATGTCCACCAAAAAGGGCTGATTGGACCGGACCTAAAGCCGCTCTTTTGATTTTTGGGTTAATGGTTGTGAAGGTCCTAAAAATAATCACAAAAATACTATAGGTGGATGGTGTTGTTATGTGTTGTTCAATGGAACTCGTCAATCTCGGCAACGAGACTGGGGAGCTGTGTTTGGGTGAAGAAGTCTTAAGCGATGGTTGAATAACACTCCAACTACCGAAAAAAATAAGGTGGTTCGACTCAATTTGAGTACTTCAATATACTTACACGGGGGTTGGTAACTGTCCCATTTTGGGTATATTGGACATCACCTTATAGTAGCCATTATAGACCATATACCTAATGGTTGGGTGATGTTCAATGAGGACATTTAATGACCCATGTATTACAAAAGCCAATTTTGTCATGGATACCTGGAGTGTCTAGAACTCGATGACCACTTCCTGCGGCAAAAACCGACTGAGGTTTGTGGATGGCACCGTCTTTGAATACGACGTTCAGGGGCGACAGCGGGGCGCCCAGGAAATCTGAGCGTTTGGCCCTGGGTGGGATCAACACATGGATTTTTTTTAACACCAAAATTCGGAGATCTGGGACAATATGGGATATTCATGGGATACAAAACGTATGATATGGGGATTTAAGGGATATTTATGGGATGTTCATGGAATATTGATGTGATATGGTTTGAAGGATTCCAGGCTGAATTGCCAAGTTTCAGGATTCCAGGCATTCATTTTTGAAGGTGAAAAGATGTGAAAAGAAATGAGACACACCCAGATATCTTCCAAGTTCAGCGCAGACACTGCGTGGTGGTGTCATATGTCTCATAATGTTCAACACAGGGTGGTGCCCTAGGTCGGAATCGCTAACTTGGTTTATAAATCCAAAACTGTTGGGTTTATGGTACTTGGAATATATATTATTACTGGTTGGTGGTTTCAAACATGTTTTTATTTTCCATAATGTATGGGATAATCCTTCCCATTGACTTTCATATTTTTCAAGATGGCTAAAACCATCCAGTCATTGGATTGAGGGAAAATCTGCAGGAAACCATGGTTTTTACCATTAAATATTGGGGTTTCCTTTAAATTTTCCCTTAAACCAATCCATTGAAACCACCAACAAGATTATATATATATTGACATAGTTAATGACGCTTATCATTATATTGTATAAGTAAACAAGTCATGTGAGGTCACCACAACCTATAGGTATATGTTTTTTCCCGCTGGACACCTCCGTGTTTGATGTTTGTTTTTCCCAACTAGATGGTATGTCAATCGATATTCCATGAAGATTCGAGGAATATGCCATTATATTCTATCATATTTCCATGATATTATTAGATGCACATGGCTGTGTTTTTGTCGCAACCTTGTCCTTAGTCACCCGAAGGTCTTCCCCGTTGCTGTCCTTAGTCAGGTGGCAACATATCGTGAAGTGGGTCAACAAACACCTGGAGAGAGACCATGTGTTGAAGTCCGTGGAGGATTTTTCAACCACGGGGCATGGGGCTCCCGGACGTTTCATCGAATGGGGGAAGCATCCTCAACCTTGGATGACTTGGATGGGTCGTTCAATTGTTTTTTGCTATGAATAGAATAATAGGAATCTCTACCAACCAGCTAACAATTTTATGTTTGCATGGTATCTAGGATGGGCAATGAACTGGAGGAAGTTCGCCCATCAAATGAATGTGAATCAACCACAAATGGAACGCGGAGTTTCAAACTCCTGGATGTTTCGTGTCGGATTTGTTTCAAGAAACCAAAACTCGGTGGTTTGTTTGGCGGAAACAAAACCATCTAGCCCAGGATGAAGAAACCATTTTGTACACCACTTCTGGTCGTGCAAAATCATATCAAAATATACAATATGGATTAAGCTAGGGTAAGAGGAAAATATGTAACAAACAACTGTTTGTTTGCGTCAAAAGCATCCTTTATCTTAAACAATCGTGCTTTGTTGTGGTTTGGATGCTGTGGTTTTTTTGGCATTTGTTTGCTTAACTATATAGCTCAAAGCAGAACATCTAACATTTTCGGTTTGTTTTCAGAGGATGAACATGCGTTTGGGGTCGCCCACGTTTGGGTGGCTGATTGGGCACCCTCGGATCATAGGCCTGACTCAGGCCCAATCCCATATGCTCTATGTATAGTTCGCCACAGCTCCAAATTCCATCCTATTCCCATCCCTGTGGATCCAAGTCCCTTCGGAAGGATCTGGGATTATCATAGGAGATATGAAGCCAACAAACTGCCTTTTTTTAACCAAAAAGAACAGACTTTACATAATCATGAATAATCCCTAACCAGTATGTTCCCACCATTTCAATGGTCCAGTTATGTATTGGCTGTGAAAACACACATTATTGGCTAAGTTGGGTATTAGTTTTTTTCTTTTCCAGATCATATATTGTATAAAATCCCTATTGCAATCCATGATGTTCATGTATCGTATACCTATTGTCAACATACATCTATGGTATTACCCATAGGATCCACGGTGCTGGTATATATGCTAACATAACTGGGGTATATTGATGGGATCCATGTTACCATATATAGCAGCACCATGGATCCTATGGTATTATATTATCATACCTATAATACTCATTCATGTTCGCATCATTTTTCCAGGACGCTGAGACCTACTTGCACGACAACGACCTGGCTGTCGTGGGTCTCTTTCCGGAAGGCGCGAGGTGTGGGATAACATGGTGACACCATTTGGTAAACTATATATATAGCCATTGAAAATGACCATGTATAGTTGATTTACTTATCAACAATTGTGATTTTTTCCAATAGCTATGTTAGTTTACCAAAGAAAAAGTTGGGATATATAGAATAGAATAGGGATACAACTGGCTATTTCATGGAATATCAATGGGTATGTCACAAGCTATCCATATAGTTGTATAAATAAATTAAAACAAACTATCCCAAAACGACCTTATTTCAGTGAATTATTATAGTTTATCTAGATTATATAGGTGATTCAATCAAGGAAAAGGGATCTTTAGCCAACAGGACATTCATATTTCACGGAAGATGGGGAACGATGTTTAACGAGCAACACACAGGGATGAGTTGAGGCCTGTTGGGGGCCTCACTGACTTGACTTCTGCATGTTCCCGCAGAGGTTTTAACTCTGGCGCCTTTGGGAAGGTGCGGTCGACTTAGAGTTGGACGTGGGGTCAGGACGTCGCTGGTCTAATCTACTGCGATATACCTTGAACTTTACCTCAGAACAAACCAAACGGTAAACATACTAAGATTATGGCTAAGACACCATGCAATTAAATGTATATTAAATGTATATTTGGATGATTATTTGGAGGATCAGCCGGTAATTCTCAAATTGAATGTTTTGCCAACTGTTGCAATGGATCCAGCTGAAACTGACGGCGACTATGGCGACTTGTACTGGCGCAGGTGGGCGCCTGTTGTCTCTGCAACATGATGACTGGATATTAAGTGGCAACCCACAAATAGTTGTTGAAATGTTGGATACCCCGGATATTATGAGGAGACATGTGTTTCAACTTTCTTTGACATAAGATATCTAAGTGGTAAGCATGCGTGGATTTTTACTTTTTTGCTATAGTATCATGACTGTGCGCATGTCGCATCCTTGAAGCTCGGGAGGTTAAATCCAGAGATTTCGATCCGTGGTCGGAGCCAATTCTCATCAGCCCTTGTGATTGATGAAAATAGATGGTATAGATGGTTATAGAGTTATAATCCACTATAATCGGGGGTTCTATAAAATATTGGTTATTATATATATATATATATATGTTAAGATTGTTATATATATATATATGTATGTATGTATATATATGTATGTATGTGTATATATATACACTGGTAGGACAAAAGTTGCGCTTGTTGAGCTTCCCACAGTGAACATGGTTGGTTTCTTCTTCTGCACACCCTTTCCCCGTAGAATCCTAGCATGGAGCTTTGTCGTACCCCGGTCGCATTTTCACCCTCCAAAAGCTTTAAAATCTTATATATTTAAAAGAGGGTGATAATTGACCGTCCCACACCTGCCACGCAAAACGGACTTGAAAATGTGATCCGCGGGTGACCGAAATGGATGTTTTGTAAAGCTTTCAAGAAGCATAAACTTTGTTCCTCCTGAAGGGTACAAAAAGCTTATTGAGTGGGGATTGCCAAGTCATTTGCTGATTTTTGCACCTGCTTCAGCTTGGTCATTACTCCACATAACATGCCTGTCTCCATCCTCTTTGTCTGCACTGCTACACATGTGCCGTGACGCACTGGTAGGACAAAAGTTGCGCTTGTTGAGCTTCCCACAGTGAACATGGTTGGTTTCTTCTTCTGCACACCCTTTCCCCGTAGAATCCTAGCATGGAGCTTTGTCGTACCCCGGTCGCATTCCCACCCTCCAAAAGCTTTAAAATCTTATATATTTAAAAGAGGGTGATAATTGACCGTCCCACACCTGCCACACAAAACGGACTTGAAAATGTGATCCGCGGTTGACCGAAATGGATGTTTTGTAAAGCTTTCAAGAAGCATAAACTTTGTTCCTCCTGAAGGGTACAAAAAGCTTATTGAGTGGGGATTGCCAAGTCATTTGCTGATTTTTGCACCTGCTTCAGCTTGGTCATTACTCCACATAACATGCCTGTCTCCATCCCTCTTTGTCTGCACTGCTACACATGTGCCGTGACGCACTGGTAGGACAAAAGTTGCGCTTGTTGAGCTTCCCACAGTGAACATGGTTGGTTTCTTCTTCTGCACACCCTTTCCCCGTAGAATCCTAGCATGGAGCTTTGTCGTACCCCGGTCGCATTCCCACCCTCCAAAAGCTTTAAAATCTTATATATTTAAAAGAGGGTGATAATTGACCGTCCCACACCTGCCACACAAAACGGACTTGAAAATGTGATCCGCGGTTGACCGAAATGGATGTTTTGTAAAGCTTTCAAGAAGCATAAACTTTGTTCCTCCTGAAGGGTACAAAAAGCTTATTGAGTGGGGATTGCCAAGTCATTTGCTGATTTTTGCACCTGCTTCAGCTTGGTCATTACTCCACATAACATGCCTGTCTCCATCCTCTTTGTCTGCACTGCTACACATGTGCCGTGACGCACTGGTAGGACAAAAGTTGCGCTTGTTGAGCTTCCCACAGTGAACATGGTTGGTTTCTTCTTCTGCACACCCTTTCTCCGTAGAATCCTAGCATGGAGCTTTGTCGTACCCCGGTCGCATTCCCACCCTCCAAAAGCTTTAAAATCTTATATATTTAAAAGAGGGTGATAATTGACCGTCCCACACCTGCCACACAAAACGGACTTGAAAATGTGATCCGCGGTTGACCGAAATGGATGTTTTGTAAAGCTTTCAAGAAGCATAAACTTTGTTCCTCCTGAAGTATATATACACATGTATATTCAACCCCTTGTAATAATTTGGGGATTATCTCAATCCGCGAAGGATCGGAATCCCGAAATGTTTACCAAGGCTTCGACACACTACGATGACATTTTGTTCGCTGAGGCGCGTTCGCGAGCGGGTCTTCCTGCAGAGTTTGTGATAGAAAATCATCATTACGGTATTAATTATTGATGATGAATGATGATTTTCTATCATATGATGGTATTATTGATGACATACCAAATGATGAAACCATTAGTGATTGATGATAGTTTCCTATATTGATGATGAATTTATGATGGTATTAGATATTCATCGGTAATTAACTAGATATGATTCTAGAATCATAGGTAACTTATTGAACTAAATGTGGGCCATGGCTTCCAAATAACATCAGTTTTCGAAGCAAATGGGCCATGTGCCCATTTTCCTTTTCGCAAACTGTGAAATTACCAGATGGTAACGGTTACCACGTCAGGCTTGTTTTGCCAGATTGATTAGGGACAAAGATCCAGGAACACTATGTCCATTGCCAGATTGGTTTACCTTTGGTAGTTTTTAGTTTTCCATGGCCATTTTCCACGGCAAACTGTGAAATTATGATCGCGGCTACATCGGTTCTCCTTTGCCAAAAACTAGGTTCATTGAACCCATAAGAAAATGAAAAGAAAAGAAAAGAAAAAACAACAACAACAACAACAACAACAACAACAACAACACAAACAGCAACAGCAACAGCAACAGCAACAGCAACAGCAACAACAACTCAACTACAACTACAACTTCGACCACAAAAAACACAACAATTACATAAAATTAGAACAAACATAAACAACTAGACATGATATATCCATGATGGTCCATGATATAAATTTATATGTGATATGTGTATCGACCAGGCCCGAGGCGAAGGCATCGCCAAAGAGATCGGGGATCATCTCAGCAGGCTGGGCCGGTCTTGGGATCCATGGATCCATGGGGGCCACGCCATGGAAATGGTGATTGTTCACATATCTTTATGGGAATGATGAGGATTAATCCGTCAGAATCCGACATAACATATTTTGTTTCACCATGTTAATCTGTTGGATTAAATTAGACATGGTTTCAATTACGAGTTTACAGGTGTAAATCTTTCGAGATTGGTGACTTTTTAAGAGTTTATAGTAGGGGATTTGATGCGATATCAAAGGAATAACAATGAGGAGATTACATGGGATTTGAACTCATAGATGTCCGACAAGGTCCCACTGTTTGGTTGATGAATGTGTTTGGGTTCCCCCAATGAAAAGCAACCAGTAGGTAGATGATATATAATCAACAGTTTACCAAACCGGCCCCCTTTTCCCATACTATGGATGGTAGAAGTTGGTTTATAACCCCCATCAACTATGATTTTCCATATATTGGGAATGTCATCATCCCAACTGACGAAGTCATATTTTTCAGAGGGGTAGGTTGAAACTACCAACCAGTATACCAAACCGGCCCCCTTTTTTCTCTTAAAACGACGACATTGATTTCATTGGGGACAGAATCCATTTTTTTCAGGGAATATTAACATAGATATGATGGGATGTAAGTATCCAGAAATACGTGGTGGCTTACCACAGGAATCGTACGTGGCTTAGTTCATCCCATTTATAAGCAGCAGAAGTAAGGGCAATCTCCAGTCACAGCTGGTTTTACAACCCACTTGTGATTCCTGGGCTGAGCCATAAAGTAGTTTCATGGGTCAAGCGTTAGCAAGAAGGAAGCTGTAAAGTGACCAGCTATGAGAAAATAAGCTTGTTGTTTCTTAGTTTTACATTGAAATTGAACATGACTGGCTGTAATATTAGTTGTACAAATAGGCATACAGTAATGTTTGAAATGTGTGTGTTATCATGTTAGTCGCAAAGTACCAGTTAATATATTTGGCATCTACCGAGCAAGAATATATGTTGTTTTTGCAGACTATCTAAGATTGGCCATGGTAGAATCTACAGCATTAAGTCTAGTCCTTGGTACAGGTTTAATTGGGTTTACAGCCAAATTGAAGTAGTAAAATCTAGTAAATAACATTGAATAACCCCATTGTGATGATTACTCATTACATTCTTCCCCATTTGGTATACCGTTGAGCTGTCATGAGGTGTCAGGTCAAAAATGTCAAGATGATGTATTGTAGCCTGTAGTTCCAATGCATACAATTGCTGGTTGGTGGTTTCAAACATTTTTTATTTTTCCATATATTGGGAATAATCATCAGAACTGACTATTTTTTTTCAGAGGGGTAGGTCAACCACCAACCAGATTGAGATTCACCAGTGGGCTGCAATGTATTTGGTATCAGGGTTTCAACAATGGCGGCGGATGAGTTTATGTTTGTCGGCGGTTGTACTAGCCGAAAGCATGTTGCTTGGTGATTCCCATCATCCACAACTAAGAGTCCCCATAATCAATACTGGGATTGTCCAATGGCTTTCCAATTCTTTGTTGTACCATGATGTTTTCTCGAAAAATCACCATGATTTTATCACAACAAAACTCCTTCATTTGTGGAGTAACTCAGTTAAAAAAAAAAAAAAAACACAGCCTCGGAGTCCCGGATCAGCAAGTTTCTCCGTCACACTATATCCCCATTGGTTCGTTGGTTTAGAACAACATCTACCAACTCTGGCTAGTTCGTGACCATGAATTATGTTTATCAACTTAGACATCATGTTTATCAACAACCCAAATCCCCACGTAAGTTTCTTGGTCCATAAAACCATTACTTCTATGTCAATATATCTACCATAGACCATGACCTCAAGCATCATATTTTGAACCCCCAGGCATGCGCGGCTGCTCTGTGAAACAATCACGGTGGGCACTAGCAACTCCAACACTAAGGAGGCGACAGTGAGAGGATGGGGGTTCACCAACGAAGAATGGGGGTGAAACCATGTTAAAAAGTTGTTAATTCAAACCATCAGAAATAGGGACTGAATTACCTTGATTTAAGCATCAGACCATGTAATATCATTAAAAATGGGGGTTGAACCATCACAGGGACTTTAACCAGCAATATGGTGGTATAGAACCAACAAACATGGTCGTTGTTTTGGAGAAGTATGGATTCACCACAAAGAGTCTAGTTGAACAATGTCAATGATAGTGAATCTAGTTGACAAATATCATTGTTGGAAACGTTGGTTTATTTAGTAATACGTCCGTTCATTGTGAGATGTGAGGCTCTCATAAAGTTAGTTCTATTTGGTCTATGCGACTAAAGCCTGCAATCAAGTGTCATGTTACTGTCTAATACTAGTGGTAACAAGTTATACTTGATTGTAATACCTATAGGTTACTTATTAGTACCTAATGTAATACCTATCATTAGTACATAATGTTACTGTTGTTATTACTACCCATGAGTTGGGTCATGTACTAACAAGTTAGATACTGCTGGTCCCAAAAAGGATACTGCATAGCGTGTCGAATGGATGTCAATAAAATCATGTTTCCTCCATTGCTTTAAACGGTACCCGTACCTGTTCAATGACTATTGGTGCAGGTGCTCTATATATAATTGTACATACATATATATATACACATATTATGTTTCGGGGAACCACATTATATGGCTACCAAGTTTCAAGTGTTTCCACCTTTTCAAATCAGAAAAAAAACGTATAAATAAACAAGCAATTAGATAAATAGATGAATAGGAAAATCAATAACTAGATACATAGAGAAATAGGTATAAATAAGTAATATACATATATATATATATATATATTGTATATATATATATATACATATATATATATATCATATTAATATATTATATATATATATATTTGAGACCCAGTTTAAGCGCGTTATTGGAAGATGTGAGGTGGAGCTGCCCAGGGCCGATTTGCGCTGCGAAGACAGTCCCAGGAGCTGGGCGGGGGATGCGCCGGCGAGGTTTTGTGGTCGATATATCTTTGGTTAATGTCAAGTTATAGGATTAATTATACATAACCTTAGTTATAGGAATTACAATACCATTTATAGCTGTTAGTTGGGCCACAACTGTATCATAGCGTTGACAAAAGATAATGTTAAGTTAGGGTGAATAAACTGCCGAATCATGTTTCCTGCGTGCTGTTTGATGAATCCCTAGTAGATTAAAGAATCCTAACTTGACATTACTAGGGTTCATAAATCAACTTGCAGGGGGTTCACCACAATTTCCATAAATACTTGGTGAATATTGGGTGAATCATTCGACTATATGGAGAAAAGTCAACTCTGGGTGCCGGCACCGGTGCCGGAATGGTTGGTCCCTGAGCCATGGAGTTAGTCAACTAGTTAGTAAATGGATTATTTCATTGGGATATACCACTTATATTGAAAATGACCACTTATAGTGGTTTAATGGGATTTTATAGTGATTCAATGGGATATTAATGGGATATATCCTCTGGTAAACTAACATTTTGCTATTGAACATGGCCATAGAAATAGTTGATTTACCCATTAGAAATGGTGATTTTCAAAAGTTATGTTAAATTACCAGAGGGTAATTTGTGGGTTATAACTGACTTAACCAGGAATCCCCAAGCCCATGGCCTAAGGAATCTAAGTATTTTGTCATTGCCCAATCTGGAATACTCTAGCGGAATGTAATGGCATATATATATATATTGCGGTGTTGGATTATCCTCTAGTATAGCTGAAACAACATATCATATTTGTGCTCCATTTACAGTCAAATATAGCCCAACTAACAGTTATAACAATTATAACAGTTTTAACAGTTATAACTGGCATATAATTTTCATGAGTCATATGAGTCATAACCAACTAGTGATAGGAATTCTAATACCATTTCAAGCTCTTCGTTGGGCCATACCTGCAGCGTTGAACAAAAATCGCCTCGCCGAGAAATCCCCAACGACCCGAGTGGACGGACAAGTTCTCTGTGGCCGTACAAGGTGTGGCGGCTTCACAACTTTCAATGGGAGAATCCACAGGAAAACCCCATATTTAGTGGTAAAAACCATGGGAAAATCATGGAAAATCTACAGGGAACCACAGGAAAGCCCCATATTTCATGGTAAAAACCAGTAAAAACCAGGGTTTCCAGTGAACATGTTCCCTTAAATCAATCCGTTGAGATTTGAACAAAAGTTTTTTTTGGGTTTGGGAATTATAGATAGCTTCTGGTAGTTGAACATAGCGAACTGGAACATGCTCACTTGTAGTTGATATATTGAACATGTTGATGTTCCATAGCTATGTCAGTGTACCAGAGGGTAATTCTTGACAATTTGATAATCTGTTGCCCATTCTTGGCAATTTTTAGACATGTTTTGCTAGATGTTCTGCAAACTGAGTAATAAATGGACACAACTGGGTGCACAATGGATTGTAACTCTTTTGTAACCCATTTACTAAGCAGTCAACTATATAGCTCCATGGCCTATCTTAGTGCGGAAACTCTGGCAGGCCAAAGCATGACGGTGAAACGAACTGACAAGTGCGGAAGCCCGGCGTCACCTCAAATGATTGGAATTGAGTTGGCGAAATCATCCCCAAATATGGGATACAGTAATCAGAATATAACCAATGATGATCTGGTTGGTGATTTATGTGTTGCATCCTATTTTGGATGACGATCCCCGTTGCCGGTCATCATATTTTCCACAATTGTTGAAGCCGCCAACCGGTCTTATTGCAGCTTGGTGGGCACATGATGCCAGGGCACGATTTCACGGCGAACACGGGGTACCCTGAAAACAGACCTTTCCAGGGAGCACGGAGGTGTTCACTCTCTGGAGGGTTTCTCCAGACATGTAACCGGAGGCCTATGGGTTTGACATGGACAGCTGAGATGATCAATGCAACTTGATGATTTGGATTACTACAAGGGACATATTGCATCACACCAAAAAAACCTCTAGGTATGCATATATGGAGCTTTTCGAAAATGGGGGGTTTCCCTTAAAATCGATGGTTTATAATGGAAAATCCTATTAACATGGATGAGAACTAGGGGTACCCTATTTTCGGAAACCTCCATTTTATCATATTTGCTGGGTCACTTTTTAGGTCAATGTTGATGAATTGTCCATAGTTACACTTTACCAGGAGTACAGAAACTGGGGTATCGCCTCAAATAGCGATTCTAAGAAGGAAAATGGCAATCATCCATTGGATTTTGCAGTAATTACCTAATTTTTAGACTAACCCACATGCAAGGTGGCCCCCCTTGGTTTATAACCTCATCTAAGTATAGACACTATACATATGTCCCTGAAATAGGCACTAGATATTGTAGTATTTCAAGCAAGCTAGCTATCTAGTATCTAGTTATCCAGATTATCTCCAGCATATTCCCATGACATCCTCATCATACCACCATTTTTGATGGTTAAATCGGGATCCCACCGTGTAGTCACTTCTGTCTCGAGGTCCACGGGCTGGGCTCAGCTGGTACAGATCAAATGCTGCGACGATGAGAAGAAGGTGGAAAAGGAGCCCAGCTGGGGCGGTTTTGGCGGTAAGAGATATGGAACATGTAAAGCTATGACTTAGATGGGCGTAGATATATCTATGTTGTTGGCGTTCTGAACCAGCTCATATTTGGATAGCTGTGAGAATAATTGGGAAAGATGATGGATTTGTGCTGCTTTTTATATGGTGGATATATGAAGAATCCCTTCACCTTTCTAAACGAAACCGGGGATGAGATAACTGGTAAATGTGCTGAGCCATCGTAGCTACAGGTACTTATTAGTCAATGAAAATCATCCACAACTCTGGTTATAATTTGTTGGTAAAGCTTGAAGCACAGGACGTTTATGACCATATTTAATAACACTGGTTGGAGCCAAATAACAGGACATTATATACCCAGAGCAAAAATGATGAGGTGCAGAATTTGTTATGTTATTGATGTTTGCTGTGTCCACACCGTCTTTGTGTCAACAGAGAAACGCACAGATCTTGAAGTCTCCAAGTCTGAGTTTGGTGTGTCAATCACCACCATCAGTGGTAACCCTGGACAGTAGGTCCAATGATTCCCCAACACACAGGACTTTCCATGGTCGACCCGTGCTCACATCCAGGAGCACCCAACTTTTCCGATTCCTTCCGTGGTGATGTTGGCATCTTAGTATCGCAGGCTCCTGGAGCTCACCCAGCAGCATCCACCCTTTGTGCTTCAAAGTGAGGTTTTTGAAGTGGACGACTATACTGACTATACGTCATTTTCCGAAGTAAAAGCTTGCAAAGCTCTGATTTCAGTGGACACAATTGTATACAATTGTCACAAATGTCCATTTTCCCAGAAGCCATCTGGAACTTCGGGCGTTGTTTCAGCAATTCGTCAGAAAGGTTCTTCCCCTATGACGAGCGCTACGCTGTCTTCGATGGGGATCTCCAAAGTTTCCATGTCTTGGACAAGTCCGAGACTCGGGGAACACTGCCCACGCCATGGGCGAACCGTCGGAGAGGAGCAAAAACCTGTGGAAATTGAGGCATGGCAAGGAAGGATGATTCGCTGCTTGATTTTGCCGATATTTTTTGGGCAATGTATTTACATATTTGTTTTTATTTGTTATTATGTGTTTTAAAATTATATAATATTATGTATATATATATATATACACATACTATACATATTGTTGAATTCAGAGGGTCCAAAAGCATCATAGAAAGCAGCAATCATGTTCATCCTTAGCTCACAGCAGAATTGATGACTGTTTGTGGGCAGATGTTGGGAAGCCTGTATGTAGCTTCAAGCAATCAGTTGTGAAGCAATCAGTTGTGGAAGAAATATGAAGAAATATGTCCCAAACAAAAGGCGTTTTCCATGCAACCGGAATCTCTACCGGTAAATGGCATGGGGTACTCTTTAATACCATTGGTTTCCGTATCGGATGCTAGCCTGGGCTCCCCCGTTTTCAACAACCCCTAGAACCCACTAGCATACCTCCAGTTGGGGGTGGTTTATATAATTGTGTATCACTCATGTCTGAACCATTGCCCAAGGTCTACTTTTGGGGTTTACGCATGATTTCATACCCTCCACCACCCCAAACAACTCTAAAAAGTGTTTGAACACATTTGAACTATGAGACAAAACCCATTTTTTCATGGACACAAACGGAGGGTCGGTAGTGAGATACTCAGCACTTCATTGATTCATCCAGGTGGATCAATGGAAGGAAGACGCCAAGCATCATGCGTGCGGACACCTGGGGCTGAAGTCAGCTGGCTGAAGTGGAAAGATCAGCAAAGAATGGAAAGATCGTTTATGTATGTTTATGTATTTCATCCAACCTGGCAGGTACAGAAATGTTGATGTCGTTTTTTGTGTTTTTGACTTTCCATGACTTGTCCAGCATGGACCACACTTGAAACATCATTTTTGGGATGGCTGAACAGCCAGCAAGTACACAACCTTGGGGTCTGTACCCTCTGGTAATCTAGCATTTAGCTACAGAACATCACCATTTTCAATAGGTATAGTCGGTATAGTATATAAATCATCCAACTAAATAGGCCATTATAGCTATGTTATATATTCCCAGAGGGTAACTTGGGGGTTCATTCCTCGACAGCGCCTGCAGCGCCTTGAGGGATGGACCAAGACGCCATGGAGAAGATCTTCCAGCCGCAAGCCGACAGTGTGCCGGTGCCACCTGCCCAGCTCGAAATTGGGACGACGTGATCCAACGTACATGAGCGAATTGACACCCTACAGTTATGGCCATTTATTAGTTATAACTGGTTATAAATGGGATTATACATTCTATAAATGGGATTATAAGTACTTATAACTGGTAAAGGGCCATAACTGTAAGAATTGAGGTTTCACAGAACTGAGGCTTTAAGCAGCAAAAACACATGTTTGCTGATCAGCATTTCACCAGCAAAACATGAAAATAACACATTTTGAGCCATCAGATCTGGATGCGAGAAGAAAGATACCAAGTGGGAATGACCCACAGCAATACTAAGGGTCTAGATTCTAGATCTTAGCACATCCAGGAGGCGGAAACAGTCAAGCTTAGGCTGTTCACTTCGGATTTCAGCAGTCCTGCACCGAGGACTAAGACAAGAGACTTCCCAATGTTTAATCCCGATGCGTATAGGTAGTGATATACATTAATATCTGGTTGGTGGTTTGGAACATGGCTTTTATGACTTTCCATTCAGTTGGGAATGTCATCATCCCAACTGACGAACTCCATCATTTTTCAGAGGGGTAGGGCTCAACCACCAACCATACGTATACATATATATATATATACATATTATAGGTATTATAATCACTATTATGATATATAATCCCATTATAAAGATGATTATCCCATTATAATCCCATACATTGGTTAAACGGACGAGTTGTGTCCAACTTAGCCAGGTCAGAATGGTCAGGGCTCTGGATTCTGCTGTTGCGGTCTCCACTGTTCCGAAGAAACCTCAACATGTGTATCCATAGCATATGCTGTTTGTCCATGTTTGTCCTCCATCATAGTGAAAATTAATGGATAGTATAACTTAATATATAACATGTCTATCTAATATATTAATTAATGTATCCATATTAAACATCTTCAAACTTATGTCAGTACTTTTTTATTTCTTCGGGCGATTTGGAGAGTAGACTCCTCCACCAGAGAGATCTCCTGCTGAAGGCTTTGGTACTGATCACCGAGAACTCAGATACTGAGGAGGAGAAAGTCTTCAGGGAGGCTGGTCGCGAAAAGTCGAGCCGTAGAAATGAAATGGCTGGTAAAGGCTGGTCAAATTTGAATGTGTATGAGATATGATGAGAGATATGATGGGTATAGTAACATCTAGTAACATCAAACATCCAGCTACATGCCGCTGGGAAATGCCTCCAAAATGCTGGGCATGGGATTTTTTTTTTGCAGCCAGCTGGTGGATTGTCCTTTCCACATTTAGTTGATTGGCAGAGGGATATTTCGAGTACCCAAAGATGACCTTTGGTGATGGTGACTGGCAAGAAAAATGACCTGTATTCAGCTTGAAACTGGGGATATAAGCCCAACGCGCTGGTCAGCTGGTGGCTTCATCAGAATCCACTATATACATCTATATACATGGTATGTTTTTTTCATGGGGATCTTATTCCATAAGGCGGATAAACTGTAACTCAATGTGTTGATGCTCAAACTTTCTCATGTTTGTATGTGTGGATAGATCAAACTCGGGTGCTCACCGAAGCAAATAGGTTCCATTGGTTTCATACTCAAAACGAGAATTACGTACGTGCTGTAAAAGAATTGGGCAAACCAAGTTGGCTTCAAATGTAACAATTTATTTTTTTTTGTGTAATATGTAAAGTGAACTGGATAAATCAATGTGTTTCATTTTTTTCAACCACGACCATTTTATATTGTTTGGATCCAGTCCTAAATCGGAGCCGGCTTTCTCCCGGCAAGCGACTCCCGTTCTGCGATGGATGGATCAACCACCTGGGAATCCAAAAAACGTCGTGCCAGGCGGCCAAAAAGCTTCGCGGTCGAGTACACGCCTGCATTTCTGCGGCCCAGCTTGAGATGGTGGTTGGAACTCTAACTTGGACAAAGCACATGGAGTACCAAAGAAATGTCCTGGATATAGTTGGAATATAGATCATGAATGATCATGATATGGTGATTTCCATAAATGATGGTATTCCAATAGCTGGATGGTTTATTTCAGGGAAAATCCATGTTTAAATGGATGATAACTAGGGGTACTGTAGCCCTAGTTATCAGAAAACCTCCATATGTGCTGCTTCTATGGTCCCCGTCCCCGGCATCCTATTGGGATGCTTTGAAGAGATTAAAGCATCATGGTTTCCATCATATATCTTAGTATATAATCTTAGAATTCTGAATTTCAAGATATCTTAGATTCTCAAGATATCTTAGTAAAACCAAGAAATGATTATAGATATGATACAGACTATAGAAATCATTCCAGTTTCTTAGAATCAAAATATTAGATTCAATCAATCTTAGAATTCTAAAATTCTTATTGCAATAAATAATTGATAATGGATTCCATCATAAGCATTATATTCTAATAAGTGATCTTAGAATTTAACGTATACCACTTTAAATCATTGTTGAAGTCAATCATCTTCTACTTCGGTCACGGTTTGCATACGTTTCGATGTTCTTATTAATTATTTTGATACTGTACTGTAACTGGAACGATGAAATTCTAATATATTCCGTTCTAGAAACATCTAAGATGAAGTTCTAAATCATCTGAAGTCAAACATCTACTTCCGGCCATGGCTTGTTTTTTTTTTTTTGTGAAGGATTCCCAGAGACGCGGGCCCCTCCCCCGAACCGATCCAGGGCACGTCTAGCTTGGTGGAGCAGCGCTTGGTCCAAGCCGCTGGGGAAATGGTGCCTCCAACCCTCACACTGATTGAGGTGCCAGAAATGATGGCTTGAGTGGTTCGATGTCGAAGAAGGTGGGGGAAAAAGAATATATATATATTTGTTGGTGGTTTCAAACATTTTTTAGTTTCCATATATTGGGAATAATCATCCCAACTGACTAATTTTTTTCAGAGGGTTGAAACCACCAACCAGTATATTATATATATATATGGGATGATTGTGGGATATCTGATATATTCTGATATGACATTGATTGTTGGATTATTATTTTTGGGATTTGAAAACGGGACTATTATTGGTGATTTAGCTGAAGCAGATGGGAACGCGCTGATGGAATGGCCAACATTGAGGGGCAAACACATATATGGTTCACTGAGATCACATGATTTTACTCCTGGGGGAAAAAAATGGAAAAAAAGATAGATGAAGGGTTGATTGAATGTGTTTTTGCGGTACATTATGGGTTGCTTGCTTGAGTAAAATATTTTAGGCAATGTGAGGGAGGATTAGCAATAGATCATCCATGTTCAGATAGCCGGTCAGCAGAAATCAAAAGGTGAAAGCCGTTCACCAAGCAGGGTGGCAGCAGGTGGAGTTGTCTTCATCCACAATCCAGGCATGCGCAAGACATGTGCCAGCAGGATATCTAACATCTCTTAATCTCACCTGCCAGTGGGAAACATGTTTGTTTCAATCGGGCAGAAACTTCTAGTAACGGTGGATATGTTTTTGTTTTGAACTTATTATATATAATTAAATCTATGATTGTTTATAGTTTTAGCTATTTACATTTTCTACATACACACATCATATCTATATATCTATCTACCATACGTAATACAATACATTCATTTGTTTACATACCACAGCAATTTGTCTATCATGTACTGTATCGGATTAGTTCCCTTTGCAGGTGCCAAGTTACGAAGTGACGGAGGGGCACTACCACATCCCCAAGAAGTATCGTCTTCCACTGAAAGGAGCAGATCTGATGATGCTATTTTAGTGCGGACCTATGGAACATATGGCCAATGTATAGATGATTCACCTATGCAGGATGGTGATTTTGCATAGTCATGTCAATTTACTAGATGGTAGTCGAAGATTTATCTGGTCATGTTCATTGTCCACTACTAGTTCAATTGTTTGAGTTGTTTTGTCTTGGTTTTCAATGTTAACAAACATGGTGAACAATCCCCATAGATCATTGCTTCCGGTCACCGTGAACAACCACAATGACCTCACCAATATAGGACATTATAGGACAACAATTGGGGGAGTCCTAAAATGGGGGTACGCCCCAATCATCCAAAATTATGCAATTTTAGTACTGAAACCTAGGGTTGTTGGGTACCCCCATTTTAGGAAACCTCCAATTCTTCAATGTTCAATGCTTCTTCGCGCCTTTTTCGTGACCTGATTCATGAGAGTCCCCAGTCAAGGTGGGCTCTGTAAGTCATAATTTGGTTTCAAAAAGACGGCATCTATATCAGTGCTTTATAGCGCTACATGTCCAGCCAGGTACGTAAAGCGAGTTCTAAGTGGATAAACCATACAGGTGCTTATCCCATCAACTCTAGATATATTACACTCTAGATTATATAGTATTGTATATACAGTACGTATATATATAATAGATATATATATATATGTGACAGATTTATAATATATATATATATATCAAAAACCATAGTTTTTCTATATAGTGTAGTTATTTCAACCATAGTGTTTCTATGTTTCATCACTTTTTCCGCCGCCATCCGCTGGGGGCCCCACTTAGCCCAGGAGTGACTGCCGAGAAGATGGTGAACTTTGTGTCCGACTACGAGAATAAGAGGTCGACGGAGATGGTGAAGATGAGTTGGCTTCAGGTTTCATATGGATATACCTTGAAAATTGAGAACTATGGAGGAGTTATAGACCTTGTTGTAGACTTTTTGAGGGGTCTTGAGGCTTTATCCTCCAGCAAAATTAACATAGAACTTGAGCATTGGCAAGTTTTAGTGATTAGTGGAACATGATTGTCCAACGACCCAAAAATGCCAGGGAGTGCAACACAAATACTGTGAACAAAAACAGATCAAAGCAACCATCATGCAGTTATGGCCATTTATTAGTTATAACTGGTTATAAATGGGATTATACATTCTATAAATGGGATTATAAGTACTTATAACTGGTAAAAGGCCATAACTGTGGGGAATGAATGAATAGGATTCTTATGGAATACTAAAGCCAACCACAATCACGGGGATAGAATGGAACACACAACCAACAAGACAAAATTCTGGTATAGCCCATTAAAAAACCATGTTTTAAAAGGGGTATTTTTCTACACCATAAATGTGGATTTTAATGGGGTACCCCTCTTTAGCTGGATGGTTTATAGTGGAACATCATATCAAAATACATCATATCAAAATAGATGATTTGGGGGTACCTCCCTATTTTAGGAATTTTAGGAAACCTCTCAATGGGTATACTGTATAGATATCAAGATGCTCCTTGATCCTCAAAGTACCTATAATTTTTATTAATAGAGAAGAACAGATGAAAACCCTCTGTTGACTTTGCTGGAATAATCACCTCGGATTTATCTGAAAATTGGGTATATTGGTGCCCAAAAACAAACCAATGGTTTACTAAGAAAAGACATCAGTTCCCCATTGAAACATTATCCATGAGAAGATCCCCGAGGCTGAAACCCTGGATGAAGAGTGAACCGGAACCATCTCCAGAGGCCCCTTTGATGGCGCGGCCATTTCCCGATGAGTTCTCACGAAATGGAAGTTCATAACGGGATTGAGATCAATGGCAAACAACATTTAATAGTTAACATCTCACCAGTCTCACCATAGAACTTGTTACAGTTTGTTGCGTTCCCCATCCTTCATGGTTCTGCATATTGGATCAAATTGGATGGTTGATCATTTTTGTATGAATCCCACCATTTTGTTTGGGACATGCATGATTCAATCTTCGCCAGTTGTGCGAGTTATATATATATATACAGATATCGGTCAATCATCTCAACATGTTAGTTGTTCACCCTTTTTTCTTGTCAGCAAGTTAAGTATCAGAGATTGTAGAACATGTGACAGCCAGATAGCCATCACAAACGTTGCTTTTTTACCAACTTTCATGCAGCAGAAAATTGGAAACGGCGAGGCGGACCAGGCAGGAAACATGAAAATTTGGCCTGCAAACTAACCATTCGGAGGCTTTCTAAAATGGGGGTGCCCCCGAATCATCCAAGTCATTGGACCATCTTAGTATTGAAACCCGTGTTGACTTGGGGATCCACCATTTTAGGAAACCACCATTTGATACAATGAAACTCCATAACATGACGTTTTTCCACTTTGGGCCGCGCTCCTTGCTCCGACAGGACCTGAAAATTGGCGCCGTAGTGTCCTTGGTCGGAACAACTTTCACTGCGGCCATTGAAAGCGAGGATGAGGAGAAAATCTATGTGTTTTTTTTTGTTTAATGGCCTCATCAGGTTGATGGATGGATGAATAATTAGTTGATGGATGATTGTCATAGTTGATGAATGCTCATGTTTTTTTTTTGCGGAAGAGCAGAAATAGCTGATACACATGGGTTACTCAACATCAGTTTGACCGGTTCAGTAGTTTGTCTGGCTTCGGTGAGAGAGATCTGAAATTCCGTCGAAGGCCAGCCGCCAGCCCCGGTATTTGTCTCATAGCTTGAAGCAGGTAACCATGAGTTTTGCTATTTTGGAAACCGTCCTGAACACGAACTTTTGAGGTCCCCCAAAAAAAGTTTGAATCCCCATGTTTTAGATAGTGGGGATCGCAGCCTTGCAGGATGTTCTGGTGGATTTCTTTGCTCCTTGGTGACGGCCTTAACTCTTGCAGCTGAGCATCAAAAATCCGCTGGTGATTTCATAGGGATATCGTTCCTTGATTTCACTGACTGAACCATCAGATAATATGGGGATATCATCAAGGCTCTGTAGGCTGATGGTTGATACATCTTTATTAGCTGTTGTGGAGGTGATTGACCTACCAGGTCATTTCTTGTTTGTATTGGGAACAGTAGTGGAAGACTCCTCTCGGAATGGATGATCCGGGTTTTCTGTGAGGCGAAAACCCCATGCTGATCCGGTGTCAAGCTGGAAAAATCCCACCATTTCGATAATTTTCCACAAGGAAATCTCCATTTACTGCACTGGTTGGTGGTTTGGAACATGCTTTATTTTCCCCAATAGTTGGCATGATGATCCAATCTGACTAATATTTTTCAGGGGGGTTGAAACCTCCATTCACTGTAGTTTGGGGATTTTCCAGCCACGTTTGAGTACCAGAGGCATCCAGAGGCTATGTGTTCATTCATGATCATTCATGTTCATGGAACAGAAAAGATCAAAACAACCATACTTGGGCCATCTTGGGCCATGGGACTGGTTACATCTGGTTACTGTAACTGGTTAGTAACTGGGATACAACTGCTATAACGGTCTAACCAGTGAACATCAGTGAACATCAGTGAACATCAGTCGCCCATCTGGGGGGCATTGTGGAGCTTTCACCCCGAGCCCTTCCATACGCGGCAAGGTGCGGCCATTGTCGAAAATTTGAGCCACAGTACAAGCAGCTCGCAAAGTCCGGGACTGAGAAAACAGATTCGCAAACGCGGCAAGTTATGTGGGAAAATCTGGTGAGCAATTTGCTTGAAGATGTTCAAATCTGGTATCTCAAACGACTCAAACATGTTGCGGTTGTTTCCTACAGGGGCATCGCAAACAAACCATCCAAGTTAGATTTGTTCTCTGGGATGATCAGAATTGACTTTGACCGGGACGACAGCCATTAAAAATTATGTTTTACCGTAAAAACCCATGGAATCTACGTTTTTTTTTCTGCTCTCTTACAGTCGTTGCCTCTGTCTAGGCGATTGAAACACGTGAAGTCCTTGAAGATTGCCAAGATCGATGCCACCAGAAACGAGGCCATGGCTACTGGAGACTGCGGTTCTAGTGTCGTAGGTAAGGCCGTTGGAGGAAAGAATTTCTGTTCTGATATATTTATGTTGGATATCTATAGTATATACATATATATATATATATACACGGTTAGATAGGTAAGTTTGTTATACCTTACTTATAACTAAACAAGTATACAAACTGCAGCCTCATATAACTTGGTTTGTTGGGTATTTATGGTAGATGTCGAAGTGATGAATGGGGATTTACGAACCAACTAGTGATGTCTGTTGTTTAAAGCTACTCCATGGACTCAGCCATGATGTATCGATTTATTCAATAGTTCAGCCAGTTATAAACCAACCACAAGTAGGGGGCACCAGATTCTAACCAGAAAAAGAACCATAGGGGGATGAACATCCATTAGGAAACCAGCGCATTTTGTCTGCGACATCGGTCGCAGAGGTGGAGGGGATTCAGATCACTGGCTTTCCCACGGTGATCCTCTTTCCTGCTGGCAAGTCGCCGAAGAGACGCGTTTCTTGGCCCTTCTCCGGGCGGGGGCGCTGTGTTTCATAAGGTATAGTGGTTTTTGGTTCCCGGTTCGTGATCGTGATGTTGGTTGGTTGATGTTTAGTATAGTAACTTGTTCCATATATCTACCAAAAACCCAACAGTGGAGTTCTGTTCAGCAACTTTGCTACGTAAATCATAGTAAAACCCACTAAATCACAGTTAAATCACCATAAAATCCCATAAAATCCATAGTAAACACCAACTTCGCGAAGCCCTGTCTCGCATCCAGGTCTATTACCACGGCAGCCGTGAGCCGGACGACATGATTTCCTGGCTCCACGATGAGTGCAGCAGCAAGTTCGATGACAGACCGCCGCAAGTGCCGGACCGATGGTGATGGGTGGTTGGTTTAGTGGCCATGGGGACATGGTGACATTTGGTGATTTAAGCCAGAAATTCATGGTGATTTACCCTCTGGTAAACGAACTCACTAAGTTTGCGAACTGGAAAGATCCACCATGCTATTAAGAACGGTAAATCAACTATTTCGACTGGGCCATGTTTAATATCTATGTATATCTATGTTAAATTACCAGAAAGTAACCAACAGAAATTGGGATTTCATGGGGGTTCCCCAACGTTTCACGGCCATCAATGGAAACCATGAGACATTACCAAGCAACAACATCTGATATGGTTGATGATTGGGGAACCATGAGACATTACCATTATGGAGGTTTCAATTTATAGTGTTCTTAATGAGATATAAACGGGAACGTCATTTAACTAAATTGAGTTGGGGAAAAGATATGGAGGTATAGACCCCCAAACATCCTTAAAATTAATGGAGGACCATGACTTAGGATTGTTTCAAGCCATCGCGACCTCGCGACCTGGGGATCCCCATGGGTCGACCTGGTTGATGGCAGTTTAAGTGACGAAACAACAAAAGGAGCTGGCAATGAAAAACTGATCTTGCGCTCGCAATAAATTATGAGATTTCAATTGAAAATAAATGGACCTTAGATTGGAGCTTAGCTGGCAATCAATGGATGTTAGTTATACCGTATAAGGTTTACATGGCAATAGATGGTGGCAATAGATGCTGGCAATAGATGGTGGCAAGAGATGGAAGTTTCACTGGGAGTAAGTGGGAGTGGAAGTTGGCAATACATGCGGCCATGGGGATTTAGCCAGCAATCGATGGGGATTTAGCTGGTAATAAATTCGAGATTTAAGTGGCGATGCTGGTTCAGCTGGTCTCACGGATTGGGGGTTGGATAGTTTCGTGATTCGCTGTGTGTGGTCAAAAAACATGGGGGATAGTAGCCATGTAGAATTGCGTTTGGAGGTGGTGCTCCACAGTTCGATGAGTTGGTTTATAACCAGACTAATTGGAACATATCGGAACCATAGTTAGACGGGGTTATGAACCAGATAACTAGGGGGACCATCTTGTAGATATCTAAGGTTATGTTTGCCTGCTTTATTTGAGTCCTCCCACCGGAAGCTACCAATCAAAGAGTTTCCCTGTGTCCTTCTACTAGGAAGTACCCCAATTTGTTGCTACTTGAAGGCCAGGGACTGGTGCTTCATGAGGCTTCCCCAAGTAAAAGTTGTATCCATGTCTTAGGTTGTTCGACTTATGTTTTGTATGTGTATTGCGTTCCCATCAATTTTGTAAGGTGAGAAAGGAAAATCCCACCCCATGCCCATCATTGTGGTGCCATCCCAGGCCAGTAAAAAACAGATCAGTTTGGTATGGAAAATTGTCAATTTCTAGATGATTTACCTATTGAACATTGCGATTTTCCATAGAAAACTCGGAAATGACCAGAGGGTATGCCACTATATCTCATTGTATCCCCCCTGTATCTATCATAATTCATAAATATGTATAACATCATGATAATCCCAACAAATATGAAGCGTTTTTCAGCATGAAACAACGCCATAGCGGTCAGGAGGGCCAGGGCGCTGAAAGTGGGCTGCTGGACTGGGAGCAAAAAATGCGAAGCGGGAAGCGAGTTACTGTGGAAGTTTCCTAAAATGGGGGTACTCTCTGGTAATTTAACATAGCTATTGAACATGGCCCATTTTTAGTTGATTTGCCTATTAAAGATTGTGATTTTCCATAGCAAACTGTTAGTTTACCAGAGGGTAAATTTTCCATGAAACATCCAGCGATACAAGGGTACCCCCATGACTATGGAACCCCCCATATATAGTAAAAATTGTTTATAAACCAACATAACTGGAGGTTCCGTCCACCTTTTAGTCCATGTCATGAACATTCATTAACAATGTTTCGTCAATGTTCAGTCAGTTGTTCGATGTTGAGTCGATACGTAGTCAATGTTCAGCAATCGGAGTGTGCCGTTGGTTAAAGTCTAGTCAACTCCGACTGGCGATATGACCATTTTTCAGTGGGGCCCCGGAACTTGTTTGTTGTATAGAAATATCTTTAGCGTGTCATTACCCACATTGCAGAGATGTTTGCGGACGGAACCAGAAGTTTTCATGGAATTTGGTTCTACAATATAGTTCATTGAACTTTGGGGGAAGCATTGCAGGGTTTAACCTCACATGTTGCTTGTAAATCCATGGTTTCCGGTGGTACAATAGGTTACACATGTTCCCTTAAAACAGCCCATTGAATCATGTCATGTGTCATAGTAATCTAATGTAATCTATAAACACATGATAACTTATGAACACAACCAAGATGTCAAGTCATCGCTTGTGTTTCTTGGTGCCACGTGGCACCACTACCAGGACCCCGACGAAGAGGATCTCTAAAGGTGCGGCGTTGCAGAAAAAAGTGGTGCTTGCGGCGTCAACTGCGGGACATGGCCATCCAATGATGACCACCGTTTGTTGTTTTTCAGTGTTGAACTAGATCCATATATACATATATATATAGCAATGCCATGTGAGCAAACATCATATTTAGTTGGTTAATCAATGTTAATCATGTTCATATCCCAACATTATCACATATATATATAATTATATTTGCATATATATATAATTATATTTGCATATATATATAATTATATTTGCATATATATAATTATAGTATACATATTATATATATATAATTATATTATATAATTATAATATATATATATTGTTTTGTTCGGGGACATTGTGCAAGGATGTGCAAGGTACCAGGGAAGGCCAAGTAGCCCCATAATTGGCTTACTAACTTGGCTTATTTCACTAAGCTGTTGGGTTTTACTGATTGAAACAACCCTTAAGTCCTTAAGTCTGACAGGTTTATATTACTGTAAGCAACAGGCATTTCACTGCGGGGGCTCAAATGCTCAATGCATGAAATCCTGATTCCTAATGGTTAGATCCCTATTTTTTGGTGCAAAATGAGCACCACCTGGAACGGACTGGACACGACGCGACACGAAAAGGAAGGCCAACACCATAAACCATCCCCATGCTTTACAAGAAATAGCTGAAGTACACATTAGCAACCTTCCCTGAGGTTTGAAGGTTCTATTTCAGAAAATTCGCCCTTTGGGGGCACGACCCATGGATGCTGCACCATTGTACCCAAGAATCAAATGTGTAGTCGATATAGATGGAGGACTTTCTCGCGGTCTGAGCAGTCTCTGATTTTTTGTTCAGCGTAGCATAATATTTCATCTTGCAAGATCTTGTTCTGAAACCCTGAAGATCCCCACAACAACTTTGCGGATGTAATGTGTTCAAAAGTGTGCCGGGTGAAGGCCATTTAGTTCAAATTCAGGGAAGTGGTCCGTTCACACAGAGGTATCTCCCTTGCTGAATAAAACATGTTGCCACTCACAGATTTTCGGGACTTGAACAAAGATACTGTAATTGTTGGCAACCGTCAACTCTATAGATTTCTACAGACCTTGAAGGTTGTGAATAGCGACAATTCAACTTATCAAACCAAACTCACAAAATAAACACATGGCTGGCTGGAGACACTTCCGCGCTGCTTGAAACTCCCATTCTTCCGGAGAACAAAAAAAATGATGATCCAACATCTTAGCGGGTCAAAGGCCTGAAAAATTGTGGATCAGAGATCTTTTGGTGATTTTAGCTGGTCATTTCGAGTCGTCACCCAATCCCTGGTCAATAGAAAATCCCTGGCCATGGCTGCGGAACCAGAGGCTTGGGTCATTCTTCGGAAGGTTGCTCTGTTTCGCTGATTCATCCACAAGATAGGGAGATCATATAGCTGGAGACTCATGGAACAGTAACATGTAACTGGGATATAGTGGGACATATCCCTCACATACAGTAGATGGACAAATAATTATTCAAACCCCTATCCATGAGTTATAGGCCAACCCCTACCTCCCCTGAATTTCAATGTTATGGTTTCGTAGCGCTGTTCCTGCTCTGGGGGTTTGATATATTTCGTCCATTCGAAGGAACGAACCAAGCAAGAAAATAACATTGATATTTGGGGTGAGAGGGGTTGCTCTATGTAAAAGGGTTTGAATAATTCGTCCATCTACGGTATGAACCAGCGCTTGGTCGTAAGTGCGGGCAGTTTGAATGGATAATGCCCTGGTTCATTCATCCCGTTAACCTTCATGCGAGCTTCCACGCATACTTGATGCTACTCTGCTGGTGAAGTGGGGTGGGGCGGGGTGGGGGTTGGAGACAAAGCCTTCGAAATCCAGACCATTTGTCGTTTTTGTTCAACATTGGCACATATTGTACGAAGATATGAATTAGGTGACAGACGTGCATTGAACATTTTGAATTGGTCAACTAAGGCTGATGATGAAGATTTTGACGAAGATGACTTTTGGGTGATTTTTAATGATGATGTACTGAAAGATATTGCGCAAGTGCGCTTTTCTGTTTCACATCTGTGTTTGTCCTACCTACTTGTTCTTGTTCTTGTTCTTGTTCTTGTTCTTGTTCTTCTTGTTGTTGTTGTTGTTGCTGTTGCTGTTGCTGTTGTTGTTGCTGCTGTTGTTGTTGTTGTTGTGGTAGTTCCCTTTCCTGGGCGTGATTGAAAATGCTGTGTTTTTCTAGTTCCCTTTCCGGCCGTGCATGCCACTGCCGTGTTTTTCCAATTCCCTTTCCCGGGTGTGATTGAAAATGCCGTGTTTTTCCAGTTCCCTTTCCCAGGCGCGATTGAAAATGCCGTGGTTTTCCAGTTCCCTTTCCCGGGTGTGATCGAAAATGCTGTATTTTTCCAATTCCTTTTCTTCAGCGTGTGCGAAGTGCTGTGTTTTTTCCAGTTCCCTTTCTCTTTCCCAGTTCCCTTCCAGTTCCCTTCCCAGGAATCTGGGAGCGTCAATATTTCGGAGACAACATAGGAGTCTTCCGATGTCGCTACCATAATTTCTCCTTGGTGCAGCTTGCGCCCCCCTGTATGTGTGGCACTAGCGCCGTCTGCTTTTTGCTAGATATATTTGACAACCAGTATGTAGTGGCAGTGTGCTTTTGTTGTAGGCAAGGCTTCATGTGATTCATGCTGAAACCTCCGGAAGAGCTCTTTTGGTTAACCGCGTTATACAGCCAGTAGTTATTGTTCGGGCCGGCAAAAAGACAATGTCGGAGGCGAGGCAGGTCGAAAAGAACAAATCTATCAATTGAATTAAATCAAAGCTTTGAGACCTTCAACGCTTTCACAAGAGGTGTGGCAATTGTGCATTTGGCTTGCGGTTTCTTTTTGCCAGCGATCGTGAGGCACTGGGCGAGCAAGATGCCTTGCGGGAGATCGGCAAGTTACACGAATACGAGAAGGCAGGGGAGCACCAAACTCGACACCTACGTCAGAGAGGCGTGGCACGTCACGTTTTCATTGTTTGCATGTCGTTGGGTAACCTTGTCCTTGGAGCTCTCGACTTGCCAGCTGGTGAGCGTAGTTCATGCGAAAAGATTCTTGAGCAGCAAGCCGGCAATGCCTGGCTCATTGTACCAGTGAAAAGATTGCAGCTTCTGGCTTTTCCATGATGCTGCTAATTTTTCATTTGGGTTGGCACCCCAAAGAAGGCCACAGCAAGTCATAAAAACTTGGGTAAAATGTGGGGATAACTGTGTATTCTTGAGACTTGTTGGGGTCTTTTTCGGTGAACTAACCCAAGTGGAGACTTGCCACATGATGCCAGAGCAGCTGATGCGCGCAATTTTTGTTTCTGACAAGAGCTTTGTGTGTCCGCAGCCGCTTTGAGCATTCGAATCCTCGAGTCAAGGATGATGCCAACCCCTTCAAGAAGCGCAAGACTGGCAATAGCCCATTTGACCAATGAGTGATTTGCAACCTTAGTGTCAACAAAAGTCATCTTAGCCGGGGGGGAGCGCATGACTCTTGAGCAGTTAACGTAGGTTTTTCAGTTGCCAGAAGTTAGATTGTGCTTCACAATGAATAACATCGATCTTGTTTTATCAGTATGTAACTTCGCAATGTCTTGCAATTCACTTGCCAAGCGGTTGGAGATAGACACGTTTTCGCCAGACTGTCAGCTTTGTGTTTGGCTAAAAGTGGATCAAGTAGGCTATGGATCCTCATTTCGAGGCCCGGAGGGTCGATGACATGAATTCTTAGTGAGCTGGATTCGGTCAAGTGACTGTCTCATTTCCTTCTTGCTCGGTTTTCAGAGGTGACTACCTTTTTCATCTTTTGGATAGCATTGGCCCGGAGGCCGTCTCTCGTGTGAGAGATGAGGGTACATCAAAACGTCATCTGACTGACTTATGCTGAGGCCCTGGTGAGAAGTGTCCCTCTCAGCTGTCTAGTTGCTGACAAGTGTCAGAGGAGTCGTGATACTACACACTCAAGACTCAAGAGAGTTTCTTGTGGCTGGTGGCATAGCTTCAGGTGAAGCAAGACCACAGCCGTCCTGGCCTTAGAGACTTTGCAACCATCTCTACCCTTTTGGGAAATGGTCACTGCATGGGTGTGCTTGCTTGGGTCCTTTTGTCCATAAACGTGTTATCTTTGAACCCCTGGGCCCGACATTTGGGAGCTCCGTCCTTTTGGCCATACGATTCCTGCAAGTGCAGAGACTGAGCGTCGACTTTGAGAAAATGTACTGTTCACGTTAAACACGAGAAACTAGGACAGATCGGCTGGGTGGCTCAGAACGTGCGCATGCATAGACCCTGTGTGCTTGTAAGGTGCCAGACCTGACCGCGGTCCGAACCACGGAGTTGTTTCAACTTGATGCCTTGAATAGCTTCCGGTAGTGTTGTACTGCATTGAGTGTCCCATACCAATACTAGCTCACCGTGTGTGGGTGAGGTGCCCGACATGCCCATAAACGGGCAAGCTGGCGCTTCCAGCGCAAAACCGAGACGAGAAAGTGAGAGGAGAAGCTTGCCTGTAGGGCCCAGTGTTGGGACGTTAGCAGTGATGCTGGCCAGCCTGCTGGTAGAAGGAGGTGATTGGCCGAGAGTAATCACAAAATATCAGAAGCTTCTCTTAAAGAAATCTTTCGCCTTATGGGGGCGCCGATCTTCCTCGATCTTTTTGTTGACTTTTTCCAAGAGCTTGAAACGACCAAGTTGTGGTTTCGAAGCAATCGTGAGGAACACCCACATAGATTCGGGAGTCAAGTCCCCCCGAAAAAGATCACCTCTGCACATGGAAGCCAGTCTTGGTACGTTGAAAGCCGAATGTTCTCCTGTCTTTCGGGCCTATCCCGATGCATTCATTGAGCTGATCGATCATTTGATTATCACTTTTGCACAAAGCCCGAGGAGGAGCAACTTCTCAAGTATTTGCTGGAAGTCAAGATTCTAGCAGAATCTTTCTTGGAACACTTGAGTTGAATGACATTGGCCTTCCAGTAGCCCGGATGATGTTTTTTTTTGCTTTGCAGCAAATCTTTATGTTCTTTATGTTCTTTATGTTCTTTATGCCCCCTCCGAAGTCGACCCCAGAGCGAGACCGGCCCCCGGGGAGCGAAAAGAATATGGAATCCAGAGCTTGAACCGTCGACAGTTTTCGAGATCTTCTCCTGTTGCATGACGCGTTGCGACCAAGCGTTTCAGTTTCAGCCTGATAACATTTTTGAGCTATCAAATTGCGAACCAGCGTGTGAAATGATGTGGCCATGATGCTTTCGGGCATCATGTCATAAGCAATCCGCAAACCTTGGTACGAACGCAGAACATTTTTCAGACGCTTTCATAAGTACAAGTAATGCTAGTAGCCGCTCTTTGCTCCATGTGAATTCACTTGGGCGATTCAACGTTGCATGTCTGCGCAGCTGCCATTTCAGCACAACCTCTCAACAAGCTCATCGCCGCTCTGTGGGCCCCTTGGAAAAATGCTGGGGCCTCAGATTTTCATTGGGCACTAGCGGCACTGTATCATTCAAATTTGTGACATACGTTGTTCTCACCGCACACGTGCTTGTGATAGACATGGATTCAAACCAAGTTCTGCGCCAAGGTTGACACACAAGAACTGGCGATGGCACGCAGACAAGCTGTTTCCTTCAGAGGTCCCGCCACTTCAATGACAGTTCGTTCTAATGGTGTTGGCGGCGCAGGTGAAAACAGCATCTTGGGATTTGGATATTCCAGATCACCTCGATGACTTCATGGTCACCTTACCGGAACCCAAGGTGCGGTATTAAAAAAATGTATGTCATCACTCGGCGGATTTTTTCCCCGAGAGCGTCTGAGCGCAGGGTTCTTCCAATAGTGGGGGTCTGTAAAACATCTTCTCCTCTTCACATTTTCTCATCGTCACATCTTCCCATCTTCACATCCTCACATCTTCACATCTTCTCATCTTCACATCTTCACATCTTCACATCCTCTCATCTTCACATCTTCACATCCTCTCACACACCTTTTCATCCTCACATCTTCTCCTCTTCGCATCTTCTTATCTTCACATCTTCACATCTTCACATCTTCTCATCCTCAGATCTTCTCATCTGCTCATCTTCTCATCTTCTCATCTCCTCATCTTCTCATCTTCACATCTTCTCATCTTCTCATCTTCACATCTTCTCATCTTCACATCTTCACATCTTCTCATCCTCACATCTTCTCCTCTTACCCTCTTGCCCTCTTGCCCTTTTGCCCTCTTGCCCTCTTGCCCTCTTGCCCTCTTGCCCTCTCCTTCTTTTCTATTTCTCTCTTGAAGGCGCGGGGCAGTGCCAACGAGACGGCACGAAACGCAACCTTTTCGCACGAAATGAGGTTCGATCGCCCAAAACTGAGGTAAAATTGCGATTTCAAGTTGTCCGGAACAACCCTTTCGCACGAAATGAGGTTCGATCGTCAAAAACTGACTCAAAATTGCGATTTCAAGTTGTCCGGAACAACCCTTTCGCACGAAATGAGGTTCGATCGCCAAAACCTGAGGTAAAATTGCGATTTCCGGGTTCCCGTCGCAACCCTTTCGCACGAAATGAGGTTCGATCGCCAAAAACTGAATTAAAATTGCGATTTCTTCTGTGTGCACAAGTCCCTGAGCATCGGATATTGAATAGGATCAATTGAAAGGGTATTGCAAATTATTGATATTTTTGAAACAAAAAAAATCAATATTTTTTGGGTTGCAAATTATTGATCTGAAATTGATTTTTCTATTGAATTTTTTTGGGTGCAAATTATTGATCTGTCTATTGAATTTTTTGGGAGAATTATTGATATTTTTGGGGTCCCTTTTTCCACCAAATTTTCCTCAAAAAACTATATATACATGCTGAAGTTTTGGCTCAAATAGTGTTTCAAAAAGCGAAAAAACACCTGTACTTGCAAGACCTTCCTTGGAAAAGGCTTGTCCTTGGAAAAGGCTTTTCCTTGGAAAAGGTCTTTCCTTGGAAAAGCTGTGGGGTTCTGCCTTGGAAAAGGCAGCATGGCTGGAAGGGGAGGAGCCAGAAATTATCCAAAACCCTATGTGGATTCTGGCCTTCTCTACAAAGCTCTTGCTGCCCATGAGGACCTGGTGGCAAACTTGGGCTCCTATGAGCACCTGTCCAGGTCAAATGCACCATGCCCAACTGGGTTGGTCAGGTGCCTTCCTTTGTGGAGGGCATTCTTAAAAATCGAAAAGAGTGGTGATATCCACAGCTCTCCCTTAAGGGTTGCTTTGATTTCCCTTCTGGCTGAAAAGCCACAGCTGAACCAGTCTGGCCAAAGTGGCCAAGTGTGGGCCAACTTAAGGGCTGAGAGGATAGTCTGCTTATTGAACCATGTGAGGGCTATGAGCAGGCAAAGCAGCCTGCAGACTGCTGCCAGCAGGCTGAACAAGGATGATTTCCTGAGCTTGCAGGAAGGCCTCAACATGGTGGCAGCTGTCCCTGAAGCCTTGGAAAAGGCTCAAGCCTTGGAAAAGGCTCAAGCCTTGGAAAAGAGCAAGGCAATGGAAGAGAGCAAGCCCTTGGAAAAGGCAAAGTCTGCTGGCAGCAAGCTGCTGAAGAAGAATGATAGCAACAGCAGTGCTGTTTCCATGGATGCCAGAGGCTTCCCCAGTATGTTTGCTAGCAGCCCAGAATGCCCCAAAACAGCAGCAGCTGCATCCAAGCTGCCACTCCTCTCCACAAGAAGGCCAGGGAGCAGGGTGCAAACTGACACAGATTCCTTGGAAAAGGCTATGGGGTATGCTGCATGCTCCAAGAAAAGGCCAGCTGCTGCCTTGGAAAAGGCTCAGGCAAAAAAGCCATCAGCAAAGGCTTTGGGAAAGGCCAAGAAGGGAAAGAAAGCAGCAAAGAAAAAGGCAAAGCCTTTGGAAAAAGGCATGAGGATGAAATGGCTCAAACTGAAGGTCACTTCTGCAAAGAAGCCTAAGCCAAGGGCATATTTGACAGGAACCACTGAGGAGGGTGGCAAGCTGAAGCTAATTGTGGAGGTGACTAGCAGCATGTCTCCACACTTTGCCCAAATCATTGATGATATCCAAAAATCCTTGGAAAAGGATTCTTTGACAAAGGCAGAGGCTTTGGATATGAGGGCAAGGCTGTTGGAAACATATGCTGCCAAGTGAGCCCCCACAGCCTTGGAAAAGGCATGCTCAACTTTGGAAGTTGCATGCCAAGAAAGACCAGCCAGTAGTGGCTTTTGCCACTACTGGCTGGCCTTCCTTTGCATGCACTTCTAGGGCTAGTTCCATGGAAAAGACTGCCTTCCTTGGTGTATCCTTGGAAAAGGATAAAAACCCTTGGGAAAGGAAAAAAAACCATTGGAAAAGGGATATATCCTTGGAAAAGGAAAGCTGTGGCCATGGAAAAGCCATGGCCACTACAATTTTGTACATATAAGTTTCACCTATAGGAGTACCAAAAAAAAGAAAAACATGCTGCCTGGCAGCTGCAAGTCATGGTCACCATGTGCCAGTGCACCCTTGCCTTTGCAACTAAAAACTAAACCACCTCAATGTTATATGTGTCTTCAAAAAGGCATGGGTGCAGTGGCAAAAACTACATGTGTCTGCAGCTGTTTTGCTTTCAGCTTAGAGCCATAGGTTGCAACATGCCCCACTGGAGCACCACAGCAGCACCACAGCACCAGCACAGCAGCACCACAGAAACTGGATAGTAATTCCTAGGATACAAGAAACCGCCCACAACACTGTATACAATAGGCAAGGCAACCACACACTCACACATCAAACTTTTGCCTTAGCCCCTTGCTGTGTAGGGCTTGGAAAAGCTGCCTTGGGAAAGGCAAAGATGGCACAACCCCCCCCAGGGGGGTTTAACAACAAATGGAGGCCATCTGGCTCTGGCACTACTTCCCAAAAGAGGAAGGAAGCCAGGGAAGCCAAGCAATGGTCCTTCCTGGAAGGGGACAACCCTTCTGGGAAGAAGTGCTTGGAAAAGCACCTGGCTAGCTTGGAAGCAGCCAGAAAAAAGTGCCTGGACAAGCTCCAGCATGCTGAGGAGGACGAAGCCTTGGAAAAGGCTGAGCAGGCACACAAGAAGGCCATGAAAAAACAGAAGAAGGCCAAGCAGTCCTTGGAAAAGGAGTCCTTGGAAAAGGATGTGGACATGGAAGAGGTCAAGGTGGAGGCTGAGCCCTTGGAAAAGGGCAAGCCTGGGAAGCATGGTCCCAGGAAGGCCTCCCTGGTCTCTGCTGACACCTTGGAAAAGGAAAGGCAGCTCAAGGCAAAGTTGCATGCTTCCTTGGAAAAGGAAAGGCAGTACACGGCAAAGCTGCAAGAAGCCTTGGAAAAGGCCAAATCTGCTGCTGGTACTGGGGCCAGCAGCAGCAGCAAGCCAGCTGGCCCCATGCAGAGCATGCCCCTGGTTGGTCAGCTTGATGAGGCCTTGGAAAAGGCAAAGAAAGCCTTGGAAAAGGCAAAGGCAGAGGAGGTCATCCACATCTGTGTGGATTGGCACAACACCTTGGAAAAGGATGATGATGTCTCAGCTGACAACATGGCAGCTTTGACATGCCTGCTGCAGGTGGCAAAAGTCCACCTGATCAGCTTTGTGGGCAGTGGCAGCAGAAAGAAGCAAGTCCTCAAGGACATGAAGATGCTGCCCCAGTATGACAAGCTGTCCACCAGCATGGCCATCTTCAACCAGCTGGGGGAAGATGGCAAAGTCGACTGGGCATGCCACTTGGGCTGCACAGTGATCTTTGATGATCAGCCTGAGATCATCAAAGAGGCCAAGCAGTGGGGGCTGGATGCTTATGGCATTGCACACCCCAAGGCCAAGCACAAGGGCCAGTTTTGGGCCACCTTTGCTGAGGCTGTGCTGGACTACTTGGACAAGCTGGCCCAGTACCAGTAGTTCAGTGGCAGCTATTCCTTGGAAAAGGAAGCAGCAAAGGCCTTGGAAAAGGCATGCCCAAAGCCCATGGAAAAGGGCCAAGCCTGTGCAGCCCAAAGCCTTGGAACAGGTTGCCCAAAGCCTTGGAAAAGGCAGCAGCTGACAAACCTTGGAAAAGGTAGCACATGTTTCACCCACCTTTGCATGCATCAATTAAAAAATGTCCAGCTGGCCAGAATTTGTTGAAATAAAGACATGATGAACAACTATATAACATGTGTTAAATCATTGGTTTGATATTTATTTCTTGTGTTACTTGTGCAATTCTTGGCCAGCTGGACATGGAAGAAGCATTGGTAAAACCCCTTGGAAAAGGGGCCAAAACATGTACAGTCTAGTGTACAGATTGCTTCCCTGTAAAAAGCAGGGAAGCATAAGAGACCAACTAAGCAAGAGAGAAAAAGTGAATAAATAATAAATAAATAATTTAAAAAATAATGAGACATATATAATTAAAAAAAATAAAAAGTAAATAATTAAAAAAATAAAAATTTTCAGTAAACATTGAACCCCAAAAATGCAAATTGAAAAGTATTTTTTTAGGTGAAAAAAAATGTTTGGGAAGAAACCATTTGTGAGACATGAGGAAAGCCAAATGGAGCAAACTGCTTTGTGAAATAATCTTTGTTGGAATCAAATGAAAAGAGATCCAAAATTGTTTAGCTTTTTGAAAAAAAGAGCCAAATGCCAAAGATAAATTGCAATCTTACAAAGAAAAAGTGCAAAAAATGAAAATGAAATCACCTCAAAAAAAAAACTGCAAAAAATAGGAACAAAAAACAAATCTGTTGAAATCTGTTGAAATCTGTTGAAAACAAGGATTTCAACAGATTTCAACAGATTTCATTTTTTCTAATTTTGGCTGTTTTTTTTTCCTTGTGTTTTTTTTTTCTGTGGTGCTTTTGTCTTGTTTTCTTCTGGTTCTCCCCTGTTCTTTGTCAATTTTGGTTTGGAAATTGATGTGTTTTGTGTTTCTCTCTTCCTTGTTCTTTCTTGGTATTTGTTGGTTTTGTTTTTTTTGTTAGTTTAGTGCTGTTGTTGTTGCTGATCTGTTGCTTTGTTTTCTTCAGTGGCTTTGCTTTTTCCCACACTTTGGTTTCGGATTTTGCCTGGTTGTTTTCAAGGTCAATGTTTTCTTGCAGGACCATCTTGGCTCAAAGTTTTGTTAGTGCTACAGCAATCAAACACTAGCTATGCCGCCCAAAAAGGTAATGAAAAAACATGTGAAGAAAGGAAAAGGAAGCAGCTTGGAAAAGCAAGGCAGGCTTGGAAAAGCCAAGGCCAAGGCCAAAAGCAAACTTGGAAAAGTTTGCAAAAGAAACTTGGAAAAGATGGGAAAGCTTTCCCTCCAGGAGAAAGTCCAGCAAGCAGCTGAGGCAGCTGAGGACCCAGAGGAGCAGGCAGAGCAGCTCCAGAAAACCCTTTCCACTGAAGAGAAAAAGGAAGTTTGGGGGAAGCACAACACTTTCCTCAAGCACAACCCCTTGGAAAAGGGTGACCATAACCAGCTGTCCAAGAAGGACAAAGGCATTGCTGCATGCCTCTGGTTTCTGAAGGAGGAGGGGAAGAGATTCATCCACACCAGCCAGACTGTCAAGGCTTCAGAAGCCTTGGAAAAGGAAGATTTCTGGATGACAGAAAAGCAAGCCTTGGACAAGTTTGGTGAAAGGGAACTCAACCTCCACATTGAGAGTGGAAGGGTGGTTTACAGAGAAGACCCTTGCACCTACAATGTCTACCAGTACAAAGATCTCCATGCTTGGAAAAAAAGGTCCAAGTCAACAGAGGGAAGAAATGGCAATCTGGACAGGAATATGAGCCAGAGGAAGAGGACTTGGAAAAGTTCAAAGCTCTCTATGATGAGGATGCCATGAACTTGGACCAGCATGAGATCAGCCAGCTGGAAGGCAGAGCCAAGGGGTCTGGAAAGACCAGTGGCAAGCACCTTGGAAAAGGTAAGACACACCTTGGAAAAGGTAAGACACACCTTGGAAAAGGTAAGGGCAAAGGGGCAAAGGAAAAGCAGCTGGCCATCAAGGACAAGGAGCCTGATGAAGAAGATGTCCCTGAAGATGAAGCTCTGAAAGATGCCTTGAAAAAGGTCAGGAAAGCCAGGGACTCTGTGTCTGCTGCCATTTCCAACTTGGAAGAAGCCTTGGGAAAGGCAAAGTCTTCTTTGTCGAGACAAGGCAAAGCAGTGGCTGAAGGGTACATCAGCCAGCTGGGTAAGAACCTCCAAACATTGAAGGATGTCCTGGCTGGCAAGAAGGCTTGGAAAAGCAATGGCATCAAGAAGTTCTTGGAAGAAGTTGCCAAGAACATCAAAGGTGCCAAGGATGAGGCCAAAGAGCTGAAAGCCTTGGGCAACAAGGCTGCTTCTGTTGCTGGCAGCAGGAAGTCCAAGTGAGCTTGGAAAAGGCAGCCTTGGAAAAGGCAAACCAGCTTTGGAAAAGGCAAAGTAGATAACCTTGGAAAAGGCTAGCCATTGCTACAGCCCTAACACAGGGCAGGGTAGCTCTTAGATATAAGACACATAGCTTTGGAAAAAAAAACATGCAGCTGCTGGGGACCAGGGGTTAACATGGACACACACACACACACCTCCTGCAGCTGTTTCTGATCAAGTGTGTAAGTGTAGCTGTTTGCAATTCAGGTTTAGCTTTGCATCTTGCCTTGGAAAAGGCTACTCCTTGGAAAAGGAATGGCCTGCAAAAGGCTTAGGGGATGGCAGCTGGAAATGGAAAGTGGGAGGCCTAGCAAGGCCAAAACCTTGGAAAAGGATACCTTGGAAAAGGAGTCTGCTTTGGGCAACAAGCTTCTAAGCTTGTGGGCACATGGTACCCTTTCAGCAGTGATGGTGAGAGAGCTGGCCCACCTTGCAATTCAAGATGGTGCCAAGGGGGAAGACCTACACTGCATGGCCAAAGCAGGAGATTGGGGTGGTCGCCCAGGCAACTGCCACAGAGACATCATGGCCAGATTTTGCCATCATGTCACTTTGCCCCAGCCAGTCAACATCCAGGTTGGATGCATTGACCCCAAAACATCACAGCCAGCCTTGGAAAAGGCTGCTGTTTTCCTGCCACACCAAGTGTGGGCAAGCCTGGGTCACAACTACCCCTTCCACTTGGAAAAGATGGGGAAATGCTCCCTTGAAACCTTTTGGTCAAGGGTAGAATCATCTAATGATGATAAGCTCCTAAACCACCCAATGACCTTGGAAAAGGATTGGAAGGAAAAGAATGTACCCTTATTCCTCCATGGAGATGGGGTGGAATTCCAGAACAGGGACACTCTCATGTGTTTCTCCTTTGGTAGCCTGTTGAGCAACATGAGCTCACTTGAAAGCCATTGGCCATTGGCTGTGTGCAACTTTTCCCAAAAGTGCCACATCTGATGGCACATGGCCACCAATCTGGAAATATTTGAGATGGAGCTTTGATGCCCTTGGAAAAGGGTACCACCCTTTGGAAGACCCAGATGGAAAGCCCTTGGAAAAGGGATCACCATTTTTTGACTGTAAGGGTCAGCCCCTGCACCCACAAGGCCTTAAAGGCACATTGTGGTCCATTATAGGGGATCAGGAGTTCTTCTCAAATGCCCTAGGCCTTCCTCATTGGAATGCTCACTATCCATGCCATGAATGTGATGGGCAGAACTGGGAAGGCTGTGCCTTGGAAAAGGCTGTGAAGGAAATCCGCTTGGAAAAGCAGAACTTTCAAGAATACAGCCATGCTGAGCACATGGCAGAGCCTGCCAGTGACCACCCCTTGTTTCAATTGGATCACATCTCCTGCAAGAATGTCAAGGGGGACCCCCTGCATATCCTTTTCTGCAAGGGTTTATATGGTCACCTGATAGGCAGCATCCTCCACTATTGCTGCTGGAGAGAAGGCCCTGGAAAGGTGTGCAAGAAGAAGCCTTGGGAAAGGCTGTCTGTGTTGTTTGAACAAATTCAGCTGGAATATAAAAGCCAAGAGTCCACCACAAGGCTCACAAACCTCAGGCTGAGCATGTTCACAGACTCCCAGAAACCTTGGAGCAAGTGGGCAAATCTTGATGTCAAGGGTGGTGAAGCTAAGCACTTGCTGCCAGCTTTGATCCCTGTCATCAAAAGACTCTTTGCCAACAGCAGGCTGCCAGAGGAGATGAACATGATCTTGGCAGCTGAAAGCTTGGAAAAGCTTGTGAGCCTGTGGGATTCTATGGAAATCATTCCCACTGATGCTGAATTTGCAAACTCCATGGCCTTGGGAAAGGCATTTCTGGATTCCTATCATGAGTTGAATGTGTGGTCCTTGGAAAAGGACAGGAAGAGCTTCCACAAAGTGCATAAGCACCACACATTCCTCCACCTCCTGAAAAATTCCAGACATATGAATCCCAAGCTGCAATGGTGCTTCAAAGCAGAAGACTTTGTTGGCCATTGTGCCAAATTAGGGCATTCAGTTTCCATGGGCGTCAGCAGCTGCAGGCTAAGTTTGAAAATATCAAACAAATACCGAGTGTTGCAGCACCTGCTGCTCACTCGCAAAAATTTTGTTGCTTCTTGCAACAATATGTTTGGCCTGGAATGACCTTGGAAAAGGTTGCTTGCTGCTAAGCTTGGAAAAGCAGTTTCCTTGGAAAAGGTTTCCTTGGAAAAGGCATGCTTTAATTAATCTTGTACATATCCATAGCCATGGCAAAGCCCATGGCAGGTCTGAAAATGGTGGAAAAAATGTCTATTTTGGGGCTCTGAAATGGTGTTTTTTCTATTGAAATTGAAGCTTCAAAACATAGGTTTTTTTATTGAAATTCATGCTTCAAAACAGAGGTGCACATTATTGAAACAAAAGCCTCAAATTTCAATTGTCACTATTGAAAATCTAAGGGGTCAATATCAAGATATTGATCCTATTCAATATCCGATGCTCAGGGGTGTCTGTGTAAAAGCTTCTGTGTGCAGTGTGTAAAAGCTTCTGTGTGTAAAAGCATCTGTGTGTAAAAGCCTCTGTGTGTAAAAGCGTCTGGTGTAAAAGCGTCTGTGTGTAAAAGCGTCGTGTAAAAGCGTCTGTGTGTAAAAGCGTCTGTGTGTAAAAGCGTCTGTGTGTAAAAGCGTCTGTGTGTAAAAGCGTCTGTGTGTAAAAGCTTCTGTGTGTAAAAGCTTCTGTGTGTCAAAGCGTCCGTCTGTAACAGTCTCTGCGTGTGAAAGTGTTTGTGTAAAAGCGTCTGTGTGTAAAAGCGTCTGTGTGTAAAAGCGTCTGCGTGTAAAAGCGTTTGTGTGTAAATGCTTCTGTGTGTAAAAACATCTGTGTGTAAAAGCTTTTGTGTGTAAAAGCGTCTGTGTAAAAGCTTCTGTGTGTAAAAGCGTCTGTGTGTAAAAGCGTCTGTGTGTAAAAGCTTCTGTGTGTAAAAGCTTCTGTGTGTAAAGGCTTTTGTGTGTAAAAGCGTCTGTGTAAAAGCGTCTGTGTGTAAAAGCGTCTGTGTAAAAGCGTCTGTGTGTAAAAGCATCTGTGTGTAAAAGCTTCTGTGTGTAAAAGCTTCTGTGTGTAAAAGCTTCGGTGTGTAAGAGTGTCTGTGTCTAAAAGCATCTGTGTGTAAAAGCGTCTCTCTGCAAAAAGTTCTGTGTGTGAAAAGCTATTTGAAAGATACGATGCAAACTATTGTCTTGTACTTGTGCTATACTGTCTTGATACTCCTCTTCTCGTCTGCCTATAACACATCTTTAATATATTGTTTTGTAATATGGTGTCTCCATACTAACAAGAGAAGACCCTGCTCCTCTACGCTCTCGGGCCATCCGTCGTCTAGTTTTCATATGTTGCAGGTATATTTCCAGAAGAATAAGGATAATTATGAGTGGCGTGTTCTCGAATACGCCCCGTGCGATCCAAGTCAGAACCCCGAATACGTGTTATGACTGTGCACATATGTAATGTCTCTTGGTCGAGGCATGTCCACTTTCTACCACGGGACCGCGGTCATCTGCCTCCCGAGCATCTTGATGAACGGCCTGCATGATGCCATCAACAGTCACAACCTCATTCGTACCCTTCGTGTACGAAAATTTCACCGTCTTGCTGTTGTAAGGATGCGGGAAGGCATGAATTCACGCACTATGCGACGCCTACAAGGCGCATAGACAACACACGTCTGATGCACTGCGATGTATTGTATCCTTCAATGTCATGTTCTGTGTTGGAGATCAGGCTTGCAGCTGTTGGTGAATCCCCTTGGGCACCCTACATTCAAGCCGTTCTGGAGGTGCAAACCCGTGTTCTTATCAGAAATGACGTGAGACACTTTTGTGACATGTTGATATTGTGCCTTGCTTCGTTGATCCTAGGCTCAGCACATGTTTCCAGGAAGCGCCACGGGGAAGGCAACCAAATTATCTTCTCGCAGTCAACCGACTTGAAGATATGCCGTCATGACCTCAAATTTCGAACCTTTTGTATTGTTTCATTTCCCACAAGCCACAAACTTTTGTATTGTTTAAAAGAAAAAAGTCTGCAACGCACTTTCCTTGGAAAAACATAGGGAATCCGCGAAGGGAACTGGGAAGGGAACTGGAAGGGAACTGGGAAAGAGAAAGGGAACTGGAAAAACACAGCACTTCGCACACGCTGAAGAAAAGGAATTGGAAAAATACAGCATTTTCGATCACACCCGGGAAAGGGAACTGGAAAACCACGGCATTTTCAATCGCGCCCGGGAAAGGGAACTGGAAAAACACGGCATTTTCAATCACACCCGGGAAAGGGAATTGGAAAAACACGGCATTTTCAATCACACCCGGGAAAGGGAATTGGAAAAACACAGCATTTTCAATCACACCCGGGAAAGGGAATTGGAAAAGCACAGCATTTTCAATCACGCCCAGGAAAGGTAACAACAACAACAACGACGACGACGACGACAACAACAACAACAACAACAACCAACATGATGACACTTGTTAAAGCAATGTCTGAGTTCTTGGGATCATATGCGAAAAAATGCAAAAGGATGAGGAAAAAATAAACGCTTTAGACAGTAGATGGACAAATAATTATTCAAACCCCTATCCATGAGTTATAGGCCAACCCCTACCTCCCCCGAATTTCAATGTTATGGTTTCGTAGCGCTGTTCCTGCTCTGGTGGTTTGATTTATTTCGTCCATTCGAAGGAACGAACCAAGCAAGAAAATAACATGGATATTTGGGGTGAGAGGGGTTGCTCTATGTATAAGGGTTTGAATAATTCGTCCATCTACGGTATCACTATTTTACTGGGAATCTGAGAGAGAGAGAGAGATATATATATATATATTGTATAGTCCCTCAAAAGCAGTTATTAATATGTAACTGTAAGTGGGCTGGATATCAATGATATCCACTGGTTTGGGTTTTGGGACTATGATGGAGCCCTCCAAGTTGCTGGGAAGATCAGTTTCCAATCCATAAATCAATACAGGTACCGTACCAAGCATGTTCGGCTTATCTGACTCCGAATCCAGGAGTCAGATCAGGGTAACTTTACCAACAAAACCAAGCCCAGGACATATATGTTATTTGCTGGTTGAACGTCTTGTTTCCCTTTTGCATGGCATTAAGTTGGGGTGAATTTCCATTTTGTGATAGTCCAACAATGTCCAACATATATCTATTATATGTGCCTGCATATCCCATTATATTCCCATCCCCATACCATGGTTAGTTTCATTACAAAATTGCAGTCCTGATAGCGAACATGAGGATTCTCTACGTGTTTGTGGCCTGTTTTTCCCTAAGTTGTCAGACAAAACCAGTAGAATTGTGGATTTAAACAATGTAAAATGAGCTTAAGTCATCTTAAGTCTCCAGTTTCTGCGGTTTTACCCCATGTGTTTTTCATGTTTTCCCTGGCTTCTTGCCTAAGAAAAACGGCATCCTATCAGGGCGAGGAGGCGACAGAGGTGGACCAATTCGTTCCGGAAGACACGAACGAAGCGAACGAAGTGGCCGAGCTGCCACGTGTGCTGTGGCGCTCCGTGCGGCGAATCCATGGAGGGTTGTTTTTTTGGGGGACTTCAATCATGGTGGTAAACAGCCATAAACCTATATATACCATTTCAGGATATATATATATATATGATATACATTGATATACCCAATGGAATATTCTGGGAATGGGATAGCTATGGGGACAATGACGGAATTCCGATACACACAAACCATCCCGAACAGGGGCTTTCTTGCATGACAATGGGGGAGCCTAAGTTAGGACCCCTGGGGGCCTGGTTGTTTGGGGTCTGGAAGGCTGACTCAACATGACCTATCCCCCGTCTAAGGTGACCCCAACCATCGGTTGGATCAGTGATCACCCACTTGCCCTGGTTTTCGGGGTGGCTCACAATGACTGTAGACCTTGACCTGGTAGGTACCCAGAGCAATCAGGTTTTGTCAACATACGTCGAAATCCATGGTTGTCCCTAATCATTTTTGGTGGTTTTCTAACAACTCTAAAGCATGAGGGACATCATTCCGAATACCATCAATTGTTGCACTTGATTCAACAGCAAACCATTCATTGGTGTCGGTTCCATTCGCATTTTTCGCTTTTCTTGGTCCCAAGCAACTGCAGTAAACCAATTGTTGTATGGTCCCTCGAGCATCGGAGCACAAGTTAGGTACCACCGCGGCGACTTGACCCATTTGTTGTTAAAATGTGGTGCAAAAGCACTAGGCTAACGATTGGGCATGATTGATCTGTATATATATATTATATAGTACATATATATATATATTATAGTACATATATATATATATTATAGTACACATATATATATATTATAGTACATATATATATATATATTATAGTACATATATATATAAATATTATAGTACATATATATATATACATATCTATTATAGTACATATATATATATACCTATTATAGTACACATATATATATATATATTATAGTACACACATATATATATATAAATTATAGTACATATATATATATTATAGTACACATATTTGTATATTATAGTACATTTATATTTATATATTATAGTACATATATATATAATTTTATATATACATATTTATTATTAATTATACATATGTTATTACACTTTATTAAATTATATTATATTATGTTATATTATATTATATTATTTTATTTTATATTATATTATATTATATTAAATTGTGTTTTGTTATATTTATATTATATTATATTATAATATATTATATTATTTTTATTATATTAGTATGGTTGTTGTAATCCAACAAACAGAACGTTTGCTGGCGAGGCACCTTGTAGCACCGTCTTGTCAGGTGCCATGTCACATCTTCCTGCCGGTGGTGCCGGCAGCACGGGTTATTGGGAAAGGAGGGGCCAGTATCAAGGTGCGCTTTAAAGGGACAGCAGCTGGGAAGAGAAAGGGATGATTTTGGTAAGTGGCTTTCAAATATGTTCAGAATACCCAGTAAAAGAATCGAATTCAAATAGATTGGTATAAATCGGAAAATATATGATGATCCTATAGAATGCACATTGAATATTGGGAGTTTTTTTTTTTAAATTTCTGGCTGTTGAATAATCAGAACATAGTGACAGTAAAAATACCATCCCATCCACCAACATCAAATACCTCCTAAGAACGAACCCTAAGATGAATCGAACGAAGACATACATGACTAAATCAGGGGTTTCTGGGGTGCATTTATGATATTTATGTGTAATTCATATTTTTGGGGATGATATTACCACAGTAGCATACAATAGCACCTTTCTCCTAAGAACCATCATTTTCCCAGAAACCTTGGTGTTTGATCTGCTCATGCGAAGGGCTCCTATATTTGGGGGGGTTGTTAAGTATTTAGGTGATGGGATTACGTTTTGAAGGGAAACTTCATTATAGATGTTGGAGTTTCCATTCTGAATGGGGTATCAGATCTACTTCGGCTTGTAGGTGGTTCATCTCCTGCATTGTCATGGCTGTTGCGTTTTCTTGACCAAAAGCTGGGGGTCGAGGAGGTCAAAACTTGGATTCTCAGAGAAACTTTATCGGAAAGTTGCGGACCTCAAAACCGGTTGGCTTCCAAGACGAGTTGAGGCAGAAACTTAGTCTGAAACCTACATGAGTTGTACCCGACTGAAATACTTGTGGACAGAGTTGCTTCAACTTCTGGTAAGGTTGTCTTACATCTTCATATCCAAATTGCCGTCAAGATAGGTAAGTTGGTTTATGACCAGGTGGACTATGGTCAATGATAGATATAGCACCCCCAAAGAACAGTAAAATCCCACTACAACTGTATTACGGAAAATTGTGTTTCAATTGTGTTCTGTCTTTTTTCTTGGGTACTAGATCTTTATATCTAAATGGGTACTGATAAGCCAACGCTACCACAACCCTTTCCAGGCCATTCGTGAGCAAAGTCGGAAGCCTCAGAAGCTGAAAGTCTTGGGTTCTGGTGCCTTATATGGAGGTGTCCTAAGTCATTGGGGTATCAATCATCTAAGTCATGGATGACTGGATGACCAAACTAAGTAAATTGAAGCCATGATGACTTGGGAATCCGTTTTCACAAAAACCTCCGTATCTATATTGGGTAATCTTTTTTGCGATCTCTATTTTTCCCAATGTCATCGCGCAAGGTGGTGCCAGCCTTCGGGTCCTTCAGAAGGAACTGCCACAGGACGTTGCCCGTTGACGTTGGGGGGAAGCAACTGGGATGGCTAGGGATTTTACCATGGTTTTAACCAGCAAGATATGGGTGATTTAACATGATTTAACCAACAAAATATTAGTTTTACGGTGATCAAACCGGTCATAGCGACACCAAAAAGATAGGAAAGATATTTCCAGGATGGTATAGATGATGTGTTGCTTTGCCCTGATGAAAACCAAGGTTATTTGGTAAATTTTGCATGTCATACACATCTTAATTGGTTTGACTGAATATGCAATGCAATGCCCACGCTTCTGGCAGTTGAATCCTCTTAAGCCCAGATCTCATTGAGTCCGCTGCGGTGAAATAAAGGTATATCACGACACATGAAACATTTGTGATAAGATAGTGAATGTTAGTATAGCGTATGATTGGTCCCGGGTTAAGTGAACCACAGACTGGCTTTTCTATGGTTTTACAAATGGCGAGCCTATTTATCCCCATGTCTGCCGAAACAGAGATATACTATTTGTGTACTACATCAAATGTGTATACATATATATATATATCTACATACATTTGCTCTACATACATATATTGTCATCCCCCAAAAAATAGAAAAGTCAATCCCCATTAGTCAAATGACGATTCACAAACATTGCCATCTTTTTATTGCTTACTGTAACTACACATGTGATAGAATGTCTATCCCCACACGCACGATCAACCATTATACGTGGTGCCGATCATATTTAATATTTACGTATATGAATATATATATATATATGGATGTACATATGTTATGTCAACAATATATGTATAAGGTATGTAGACATAGCATATGGAATGCATATCATGATTTTGATCATTTGGTATACATTGGGTTGATGATGGTTGATTTTGTTTATGTTTATCCCTGGAACATAAGCATTCATCAACCCAATCATCGGGTAGACTTATTTGTAATCATCAATTGTAATGAAATAGAACGGTATACTCATTATTGATATATGTATACATTGGCTAAAGCATAATATACCAATTTACAATCATTATTTCAATATTTGTCTTGTGTCCCATATGTATATACAATTCTATATATAATTATACAACATATATATTACTATCATATGGGCTCAACGTTTCCCAATATATGATGAGTCCCCTTGTTATATATTATGGTTGTAATGTTAAAAAACAAAAACAATATATAATATATATATATATATTTATTTATTTACTTGCATCTAAACTCTTATTGGTTGTTGAACCAAATATATATATATATGTATGTTGTATCAATATATTTGGTATGTGTCTTATTTCAATATAATATGTCACTATATTTTGTGTCCGATAAATACATAATCTATATGGTGGATACCATTATGATTAACCATTACCCTCTCGTAAATGAACACCCTGAAAGTCACCAGCCTTTGGAAACTGAACTGTGAACTTACCGTAGGGTACATCAACCATAGTATCAATTGATTGAACATCATTTATCACCCAGATCAATAATATTGACATTAACATGAACTGAGCATGTTCTAATTTATTCACCATTTAATGTTCATGTTAGAGATGAAACACATTTATAGCATTATCCTAATTCTAATTAACATAATTGTGGATTAATCAAACTATCATTTCTGAGATGAAATTGTCCGCAAAAAAAACGTTATCAATCATGTTAATAGTATGATGTTTAATGTTAAATGTTAATATTCTAACCAAATCAGTATTATGATATTTAGTCGTAGATGAATTAACATATCATTTAGTTTAACATGGATGATAATTTAACTAATAGTATATCCAATATAAATGTTTATAGTATGAATTTCTGAAATGAATCACCATTTCTGGGGGAAGGAGATGCAGCGCCGTGAAGACCGAGTTGCAGTGATCACCGGAGAAGCACACCAGGTCCAGGAGGCGCCGGAAAAACAAAACCGGTCGACACGGTCGATGCTCTTTTGCCCGTAAAAACCGGTGGTTCAAAGGGAAATGTATCACTGGCTGGTGGTTTCAAACATTTTTTATTTTCCATAATATATGGGATAATCATTCCCATAAGGTTTTTGATTCACATTGATTCATCACTGGTTGGTGGTTTCAAACATGACTTTTATTTTCCATTTCATATATGGGATAATCATGGATGTCATCCTTCCCATTGACGAACTCCATCATTTTTCAAGATGGTTATTGCACCACCAACCAGATCATGTTTCTTTAGGTGACAATAGAAAAAGATAGGCTACTATGGCTAATATCATGCCTTTTTACCCGTGGTTTTGGGATGTTTTTGGTGTACTTGGAGGGTTTGAGTAGATGTTTGTTGATGTAATTATCGTTGAGGGGGAAAAATGATGGAAAACTAATGTTTTTAGATTATTGTTCACAATGAGAATTTGTCTCCTTTTACAGGACCACATATTAAACAAAAACTGTTTTCGAATAGCAACATGTTTTTTTCAACTATCACAGTTTTACTATTTTTTCTTATAGGACATGTTTTATCACAGTTTCGAGTATCAACATGTTTTTTTTTAACTATCAGAGTTTTACTAGGACAACTACCTTTTCTTGCTGGTTTTTGTCGGATGTTGGTTCCAACTTCTCAGGCCATTGCGGGTGTCTTGGAGCGTGTCTTTGACCGCTCTGGTTTGCCCGAGACGGCGGGGTGGAGATGGGATGAGATACCCAACTGAGAGGTGGGGAAAAGTGTTGGTTAAGTTATTACCCAAATTGGTCATCAGATGTGGCAATGGACAAAAATCATTTATAGATTATTTGAATAAACAAATGAGGGTGCATGAATCAGAATTAGTTGGACAATCCCATGAATACTGATATATATATATATATGATCATGGGATAGAATGGTTGTGTTAACGATGGAGATATTGGGTAGTATACTGGTGATTTAATGGTCATATAATGGTGGCATAAAAATGATATTATGGCGATTGTTTGGCCTTGTAATGGTGATATAATGGTCTACAACATACTCATATCTAAAACCCAAGACAAAAAACCACCATTTGGAAATGGTTTACATAGCCGATTCTGGTCGTATTGGGGCTGGTTCATTATTGGGTTGACTGCATTATGGTTGGTTCACAGCAGTGACTACAATGGTGACTATAATTGCAACAAACAAACAATAATCTCAATGATTGCTTGGAGACTAGATGTGTCGGGATCTTGTTCTTGACAATACCACAGTAACAAGAGAACCATGATACCTCAACATGAGTTTATTCTTCATGACCGCAATGGTGATAAGTCTTTTTTTGAGTTATACATGATACCATACTGGAGTTGGGCTATTGTTGTTGCTCATCCTATGGTGATATGTCTGTTACAAACAGGAAAATTAGCTTTTATATGAAAAACCTGTGATTTTAGATGGTTTTAGCAGAAGCAAACTATCTATAAATGGTGGGGTTTCCATCTCTATCTCAATTTACCATACGGTATCTCTTGAAGTCGTGGTTGTGGTTGTTCAACCGTTCTATCCCTCAGTGAGGGTTGCAGCGAGCTGTTATCAGTAGCAGGGCATCATCTAGTTTCTTAGGCCCAAGAACCATGTGTTTGACCTGTTTATGTTTTTGACTTGACGGGAGTTGCATGCAGACACCAGCACCTCTTACAATCAAAAGCAAGTGAGTTGTTCCAAGTGAGAAGGGACATATTCATTGTTTTGACATGTTTTGATCACTACAAGTTTCCCAAATATATATCATTAATAATTATTTGTCTTTTGAGAAACCTATATTCCTAGTTGGTGGTTTCTCAAACGATATATGCATTCTGGCCAAACTGGAGGGCAGCTGCTCTGATTAGAAAAGATCCAGAACTGGTGGAAGGAAGGCGCCTGAAAAATAATGGTTTCCTGAAAAAACAAGTGAACCTGACAAATAGGTATGGTCAGTGCCGGAATTATAGAACGGAAGTTGAGGAGGACGAAGGTACGGTTATTTACCGTACCCTGTTGTTCTATAATTCTGTTTTCCTCGGAAGGTATGAAAAAAAATGTATCTGATCTTCCTCCTAATTTTTTTCGTCGTTCTATAATTCTTGTCGGAGCGCTGCTGTTCTATAATTCTGTTTTCCCCCATTTTTCTCAGATTTCCCATTTTCGTTCTATAATTAATTTTCCCCGGGCCCCGTTCTATAATTAATTTTTCCGTCGAACGGAAAAATTAATTATAGAACGGAAAAAATAATTATAGAACGGAAAAGTTAATTATAGAACGGAAAAAATAATTATAGAATGGAAAAATTAATTATAGAACTATAGAACCTCTTCCGGGGTCCCAGAAAGAGCTGAGCAAACTGCCTTTGTTCCATCCCCCTCAAGACTTGTATTCTAAACACCAAAGTTCGGTTATTTATCGTACCCTGTTGTTCTATAATTCTGTTTTCCTCGGAAGGTATGAAAAAAAATTGTATCTGATCTTCCTCCTAATTTTTTTCGTCGTTCTATAATTCTTGTCGGAGCGTTGTTGTTCTATAATTCTGTTTTCCCCCATTTTTCTCAGATTTCCCATTTTCGTTCTATAATTAATTTTCCCCGGGCCCCGTTCTATAATTAATTTTTCCGTCGAACGGAAAAATTAATTATAGAACGGAAAAAATAATTATAGAACGGAAAAATTAATTATAGAACGGAAAAAATAGTTATAGAACGGAAAAATTAATTATAGAATTATAGAACCTCTTCCGGGGTCCCAGAAAGAGCTGAGCAAACTGCCTTTTTTCCATCCCCCTCAAGACTTGTATTGTAAACACCAAAGTTCGGTTATTTACCGTACCCTGTTGTTCTATAATTCTGTTTTCCTCGGAAGGTATGAAAAAAAATGTATCTGATCTTCCTCCTAATTTTTTTCGTCGTTCTATAATTCTTGTCGGAGCGCTGTTGTTCTATAATTCTGTTTTCCCCCATTTTTCTCACATTTCCCATTTTCGTTCTATAATTAATTTTCCCCGGGCCCCGTTCTATAATTAATTTTCTCATCAAATCCTCATTAAATCCTGATTAAATCCTCATTTTATCTTTATTTTATCATCATTTCCTCATCAAATCCTCATTTTATCCTCATTTTATCCTCGTTTCCTCATCAAATCTTCATTTTATCTGCATTTTATCTTCATTTCCTCATCAAATCCTCATTAAATCCTCATTAAATCTTCATTTTATAGATTGTATATGTACAAATATGCAGTAAATATCATGTCAGTGCCAGAAATTATAGAACGGAGCCAGGAGGACAAAAGTACGGTAAAATACCGTACCTTTGTCCTCCTCCCCGTTCTATAATTAAATTTCCCGACTCCGCTCCGAATCGGAACCCGGAGGAGGACAAAGGTACGGTATTTTACCGTACTTTTGTCCTCCTGGCTCCGTTCTATAATTCTGGCACTGACTGTATTCTGAAAAACTATGGTTTCCTGAAAACATATGTGAGAAAACGCCGGTTTCCTGAAACATGTTCCTTCAAATCAGCCAAAAACCGACTGCCAGTTTTGCTGGTCAGATCCTCACTAAAATGAAGGACTCCACAGTTTAATATCATTTGAATCAAAGTATGGAACCCCTAATGATCAAATTTACAGTAGATAATATGATATGAACGTATTAAACACTCCCTAGAAACTTACAGTATATGATATGGTTTAGTAGCTGATTGGTGGTTTGGAACATGACTGGATTATGACTTTCCATATATTGGAAATTTCACCATATTATTTCCATGTATATATACATATATACACTGGTTGGTGGTTTGGAACATTTGGATTATTTTTCCATATATTTGGGTATAATCATCATCCCAACTGACTTTCATATTTTTCAGAGGGGTGGCTCAACCACCAGAGCCGTGCATCGGGCGCATCGCCACCAGTGCCAGGCGGAGGGGTCCCTGCGAGAAAGGGATTACATCGTGGAGGCCGGTAGGGGTTTTGGGACCCATAATTAGATCAGTTGGTGCATACAACTCCAAAAACGTTGGTTTATGATACTTATATATACTTATAATATCTCACAACATCTTATATCATCTTATATCATCTTATCTTATCACTATAGATAATGGGGTTTATAAACCAACAAACATAACTGGTGGGGCGCCACTTTGCACGTCTGGCGGGTTCATCGTTGCCACAGTTATAGTGTGTCCAGATCTCTGGTACAAAGCTTGGATTGTCGTTGCCTATGCACAACTTTCAACAAAGTAGTTGTGGGTAAACTTTGGTGAATGGTTCGCCGTGTATTGTGGGCCATACATGGCAATACCGGGACCCACGCTACAAAAAATATCATGAGGATTTCATCAATACAGTTCAGTGCTATCGTCTATATCAGTGTGAGCTTGTGCATATTTTTTTTGTCAAAAACGTCTTTTGTAGATACGACAACTATGGCAATGTGTTTACTTCAGTTTCATGGTGTCAAAAAGAGAACGGACATCATCAGGCATGGTTTTCTATCCTGGAAGTCGGCACTTTAAATTAGGACCAAGCGACCAGCTTCCGGATCCGAAATCAACATCCCCAGGTCGACTTTCCCATTTGTTGGATGGTTTTGGATTCCTGCTCCATTCTTCTCTCCTATTGGCGGGAAAATTTGGATGAAAACTGCATACTTGATGGCAGTAACCATACTTTCCTCTACCTGATGCCATGGTCGGATGAAATAGAACTACCTTAACCCATCTTGACCCATCTTGGCGTTTGTACTTCTAAAAATGGGTAAAGCCGCTGAGATATTGCGGTCATTCTTTTTTAATGCGGGTCTAGATATAGCACATCGCCTTTTTCGTTGGGACTATGGCACTTGGGGCTGCTGTTGGGTTTGTTAGTGGGGATTCAACCCCCATAAGTTGGGATATGGACCCCCCAGAACTATGGTTCTAACACCGCCTAGACTCTCCAAATCACCCCAAAGAATGGTACAGTACATTTGGTAAATTCTGTGGTTAACACATGGTAAAACCGACATTTTTATGGGTACACTCCCAGAGGGTCTAGGTATCCAACTAAAAAACAGATCTGGCTAGTTATATCCTATTCCATATCCCCATCATATCCCTATCATATCCCGATGTTATGGGTACTTCCTTGGAGGGTCTAAGTTCTCGCACATTTCAATTTGCCATTAATCTCCCATAGTTTTTTCATCATTTCCCCATATTTCTCCATATTTTCCAATAATATATATATATATATATATCCACTGGTTGGTGGTTTCAAACATTTTTTATTTTCCATATATTGAATAATAATCATCCCAACTGACTTTCATATTTTTCAGAGGGGTGGCTCAACCACCAACCAGTATATATACTGTATATATATACACACATAATTATATATGTTCCTATGACATCCCCATTATTGTTCTGTTGATACCTCCATTTCCCTATCAAAATGACTATGTTACATAATATATTTAATAATATCTCACTATTGTTACAGTGCATACAATGGGTAATGCCAAAACCATAGGTCTCAATACTCAAATGGTCTAATTTCGGATGATTTGGGGATACCTTCATGACTTTGGAACCCCCCATATGGGCACATATCATTGCTTAAATCTCATTATATAAATCCCATGAAATCAATATTCGTGTTGCTTAAATCACCATTCTTAGGTAACTCCAACAACTTGGGTTTAACCAACAAACATCACTGGGGTTACCGGGGTTACCCAACTTACGGGCCCTTAGTTCATTGGACCCTGGGAGAGTTCAAGGTCTTGGTCCCTGAGAAGAGCGGCTCGCATCTCATCGGCCAAAAGGGCGAGCGCGTGAAACTGCTGTGCCAGGCCGCTGCCCCGGGTCGGGGCTTCTGTGGCCAGCTTGGTGCGTGGAAAAAACTAGGAATCACTATGGTAAACCAGCAAAGATCCGTGTTTTTTGCGAGAAAAATGAGGATTTAGCCAAGACAAATCATGATTTCACCAGAGAAAATGATGATTTGTTGCAAGATATGGGGGGGATTTATAGTCTGTTTATAGTATATGTTGATGGTTAAGTTGGATTATTTGCCCAGGATGTCGCGAACCGTGCAGGAGACAAAATGCGACATCCGGGTTGGCCAGGACGACTGGGAATGCACCGGATGGTCAATGGCCTGCTGGTGTATATTTATATATAATTATGCATATATATATACATATATATATACATATATATATATATACCAGGATGTACAAACGGGTCTCAATTAGGCACCCCTTAAGGGGGGTAACCATTAGGCACCCCTTAATTTTTGAGGTTCCAAACTAAAAGATAATGAGGGATTCATAGTAATAAGTGCATTTTTCTTCGATTTCCCCACGTTTGCTTCCAGAAATGCGTGTCATTTCGTGTCATTGCCGTGTCGTGTCGGTCATAAGTGGTCACGAGTTTTTTTTGAAAAATCAAGAAAAACATGCGTGTCATTGCGTGTCACTGCCGTGTCGTGTCGGTCGGTAGGGGGTGTCCAATAAGCACCCCTTAGGCAAACGGGTGTCTAATAAGCACCCCTTAAAAACGTGTCGGGTGCTTTTTGAACAACCCCTGCGCGTGTCATTTCGTGTCGATTTTGACTAATTTTATTGAAATTTGGGAACATTTTACATCCGACGCGAAAAGAAACACATGCATTTCTTCTCGCCAAATATGAAATCGGGTGCACCACAGATGCCACGCGGGTGGGATTGGAAGATTTTGGGTTGGAACTCATCATTTTCTGGTGTGCCATCTCCATGAACGCTAAGGGGTGTCCATTAGGCACCCCTTAAGAATCTCAATTCTTGAAATTCATTAGGCACCCCTTTGAACGTGCTGGTATACATATATAACATATATATATAATGCTCTATGTATGGTATATTTACCTACATTTGGGTGATTTTTAGGGCACATGTTGTTCAATATTCCATACATGGAGCATATGGGTATACATGTACAAGATCTTTTTAGGAATTGTTATAAGTCATGATCCTAATTTATGGACTTTTACATAGCCACATGATTGGAATTCCATCGATGGGGATTGAGAGACCAGCAGAGTTGATACAGCAGATGCATGCTGATGCACTGATAACCACTGATACAGGGCAAAAGATCCTAAGTTGTTGGTTTGGAGTGGTTTTGGCCGCAGCATCGGGATGCTTCTTTTCGAGATCTTTTTTGGGGATTGTGAAGCTAGCTGTTGACTCCATCAGGAAGATTTTTCAACACTGCTAGGTCCTTCCCAGCTTGACAGGTCACACACTTCCAGAATCCCCCAGTCAGCAAGTTTCAATAGACAATATAAGGAGCTCAGTTGCCCCATGAAGTTCCCTGCGAAAAGACGAATTCTACTGTTTGGACATGTCATGATCAAATTGTGATGGCTACACTGGTTGGTGGTTTGGAACATGTTTTATTTTCCATTTCATATATGGGATGTCATCCTTTTCATTGACTTTCATATTTTTCAAGATGGTTAAAACCACCAACTAGCCACATTTTGGTACCAAGGAAAGGCACATTTTTTTTCGTAGTTGATGTGTGGATCCCAAGTAACGCCTTGATCCTACTCCCCTTTGATGGAGTAACTGACGAATGTTCGATCACCGGGTCAATTCTCAGTTCCAAAGAAAGGTTCAGGGCATATCCAGTACATGTTCCAAACACGGTTATATAAATTTATATACATTTGTTCAACAAAAAGTCTAGTCAGAAAACTCCCGAGTAGCAGACTAGCCGCTGACAGCTAATAATAACACAAGTAACTAATGGAGTTAATCACCCTCCGGCAATCAAACATCGCTTGCTGGTATTCATGTTTCCATTTTTGGGCATTTCTTGGCCAGCCACGTTTGATGACACCGGAGGGTAGGACGCATTATAGTTTCTGACACTCCATAACCACTAACAGCTGGAGCCACGTTTGACTACCAGAGGGGACCCATAATTGAGAAGGAGTATAGTTGATAATCCCATCATAAGTGATCTATTAAAATTATCTCAATATGTACATTATAATATATACTGGTTGGTGGTTTGGAACATGTTTTTGATTTTTCCATATATTGATTATTGGGAATTTCATCATCCCAACTGTTTTGAACATATTTTTTCAGAGGGGTAGGTCAACCACCAAGCAGTATATATATAATATAATCCCATCATACAAGCATCATATCATCACTATAACATTGGTATTATAGCCACTGTTATTATCACTATAACATTGGTATACAATCACTATAACATTGGTATTATAACCATGATGAAAGATGATTATCCCATGACTGCAGCATCCCCAGGGGGCCCCAGGGCCCCAGGGCGGGCCCCAGGACCGTGTTTCGGGTTTGGGCGAGCAGAAGAAGGTCCGCATCAGTGGCAGCTCTGCGGCGGACGCCGCGGGCGCCATTTGGAGGTGATCCACCGGTTGGGAGGTTTGGGATGGAGTGGTGGATGAATGGGTGAATAATATGTGGATTGTTTGGTGAATTGTTTGGTGAATTGTTTGGTGAATTGTTTGGTGAATTTTGGAGACTTGAACCTGAATTTTAATTGGATTTGAATTGATTTGGATGAATCTGGGTGAATTTTGGAGGATTTCGGAAGGGCAAAAAAATGCAAACATGTGGAAGAATGGGGATGAAAGCAAGATAACCATTGAGGCGTTAGGGAATTGGGTATATTTGTTCTAACATCCATCTATATTTGACGGGGAAAAGAAGTTTTCCGATTCAGATTTATGCCTTGAACACCAAAGTTCTAGGTTGAATCCACCCATTTTCCGTGGTGATGTTATTTTGCTATTAGATATGTGTCATTTGGGAATGCAATTCATGTTTCCCATGTTTTTGGTATAGTTTATCGATGTTTAAAGGCTGAATTATATTAAAAACAACATGTATATATATATAGTTCACTCAGATTATCCCCTATGCGTTGTTGGTTTCAAAATTTACCAAACACCAATCATGACTTCGCCAGGCTGATGGAAGTCTTGGGCGAGCTGGTGGCAGGCCAGAACCCACTTTTTGCAGCACACCTGGTGCTTGAAAGATGTGTGTTTTATATGTTTGTATATGTCTACATTATACTATACATATATGCTATATCATATACATATTTTATATATATATATATTCTATATATGTATCATTGAATATACATTATATATATATATATATTGCATATATTCTATATAATATCCAATGACACAATATATAAATGATATTAGTGCTCCTTAAATAGCCTCAATTCCAGGCGGTGTTTGGGCTCCAAAAAGCTCAAAATTTTCACAAGTCTCAGTTTAGGTGTTTGGAGCTGTAGTGTTGGGTCAGGATAATTATTGGTACCTACCCTCTGGTAATTTAACATAGCTATTGAAAATACCCCATGGAAATAGTGGACTTACCCATTGAAAATGGCGGATCTTTCCATAGCTATGTTAAATTACCAGTGGGTAACTATGGATAGTTATTTGCAATTACCTATGGATGATTCTTGGTAATTAAAAGCTATGAATTGCTGCTTTGGGGGTTATTGGTACATGCGGCCCACTTCTATAAACCCACCTTTAAAGTGTAGGTATACACCATGATTTGAAAGGCAAGATCTGAAAAAGGTCATGTTTTTAAGGGTTATATTTAGGGTTATGAATCAATATAAAACGATATTGCGTTGATCAACCAAATAAACATTTCTTCAATCTCCTGGCAGTTTAAATTAGCCGATTTAGGAGTTGTGAAGTGCCTGTGTTATGGGTTTAGTGACCTTAAAGCAAAAATCGTAGGTTACTATGGTCACTTTTGAAAGTCCTGAACCGCAGCAGTAATTGTCAAAACATGATAGTAGGATCACATGTCGTTCGACAGGTATCAATGAAGGATCATTAATGCAATAACTTCATATAGCTAGCTGGGTCAAAACGATTCAAAACCAAGCCGAAAACATTTTGGTTCATCCGCAATGGCTAATGTGGTTTATCCTGTTTGTTCCAATCGGACGGTGGCAGCAACTTTCTGTCATTGACCAGCTCATGTTGGTGAACAGAATTCAACTATATAGGTACATTACAGAACCAAATAGCAGGTAACCAGTTAAAAGGGTGCATTTGCTAAGCCTGTTGCTAATCCATCCAGATTGTTGGCTAGAAACTATTCCAACTATGTATCCAACTAATATGTTTTGTTTCCCACTATGCTCAGTTTGATGGTATTTGACACTTAACTCAGCCACATCGATGGAATTTGATGGTAATTCACAGTATTATTGATTGCAAGAAACTATTGATTCAGGTATTGCATTATATGCATATCATGAATCCCATCATATACCATTGATATCCCAAAGACCCTCAACAACATGTTGGAACATGTTCGAGATCCCCAAATCAGGTTAGAGATTTTAATTCAACGAGATTGGTTATATTGGATGCTTAGAACATCCATCAACATCGATCAACATCTGTCCTTTCAACGGCCTAAAATAGGGACCTAAATTGGAGGTACCTACCATTTTGTTCTGGCCTACGACACAAATTCAGCAAATATCACCAGAAACTTATTGCCTGAAAAATGGTATTTGGTACTGTCCTGAAATTCCCAGTGATTGTATGTTTTATTTCATTAAAAGTACCTAGAATTGTTGTAACAATTATTAACCATCATGAATCATGTTATATTGTACAGTATATATGTCATTCTTATGTTGGGCATGTCATTGTCAGTGATCATGAATATTTAGTATATTATACAGTTTATCACATTCTTCTTCTCATTTATTATTACAATCATTACAATTGTTATTACAGTAATAATAGTCGCGATCACTAAAACAGCAGTGCTAATAATATGATTAGAAACTATTAGCAGTATAACACAACAATAGCAATACTGTACTAAGCACCATTATCATTTATAGCAACAATTCAAAACACACGATGATTACCATGGCATGTCCGGCTTGGCAGGTGGTGTCCTGAAGTCTGATCACTTTGATCTCAGAAGCGGATCCCTGGCATTCCCGCAGCGAAGGGATCAGAAAGAGGTCGCGGGGATGGAGAGTCGACGTCTTCGAAATGGGTTTTTTGGGGCCCGGCTTCGGATCGGTGAGAGTTTGAAGTATGTTGAAATAAATGGGTGGTGTATGGTTGACATGCTAAAACTAGGTGAATTCCATTGAATTTAAGACTGATCCCTGAAATGAATGATGTGTCGTAGCTGTTTTTTTTCAGGGATCCACCAGTCAAGTCTTGCCACGTGGGCCCCCGAACGATCGGGAAGTTGCAAAAAAAAGGCTACAAGAAAGGTTAACTCAGGTTTATGTTAGATAAATCTATCGTCACAACATATGTTATAATCATTTATAATCCATGGCTATAAATGTATCAACCTGAAGTAACATCACTTTGGTGCCCATCCGACTTACCAGGGGTCCACGGCAGGTGGCCATCCGCTTGTTAATTGCCAAAGAAGAGGCTGCCTGGATCCTCGGGAAGCGAGGCACGGCGGGCTGGGGATGGAGGACTGGATGCATTTAGGTAGGTACCCTCTGGTCTGAAAATGGGGATAAGAATAATAACGAGAATTAACAAACATAATAGTAATAACAAACATAATTAAAAACAAATAGTAATAACAAACATAATTAAGAACAAATAATTAAAAACAAATAGTAATAACAATTTTGTTTAACAATAATAGTAATAACAAACATATATAATCAAAAAATAACTTCAAACATAATACCCTCTGGCAATGACTAACGGTTTGCGAACTTGAAAATGGCCATAGAAATAGTTGATTTTCCCATTAATAGCATGGTGATTTTCCGCAAACTGTTAGTTTACCAGAGGGTAGGTACTTCAGTTTGAAAGGTCTGAAAATGGGGGATATACCGATAAGACCATCATAAACTTGCTACAGATGTTTTCCTTCATTTAAGGACGATGATTTTCAGCAGTAACATTTCTTCGGGGCTTATGTTCATAAAAAAAGCACGGTGGCTTCTGATTTTCAACATGGTCAGGGATTATTATGTTTTTGTTTTTTGTGTGTGGCCCGTATGCTTGGGTCTTTGGGACTTTGGTACTGTGGGCCTCAAGGTTGTAGGATTCCAAGACAGAATCATGGAATAAGTCGATGTCGCCACAAAGGTTGAAACGTGGGATAGTATTGCGCAGACTTTAGAAAGGATCAGGAGCAGACAATTTGGGAAGTTTTAGATAGCTTTTGTCTGTGTGTTGCACCACAAATCATCCCAGCTGGATCCGATATATCTCCATTAATATAACTCATGCTAAGTCATGGGAATCATTTGTTTGGTGATGATGGTGATATACAGTTATGGCCCAACTAACAGTTCTAAATGATTTAATGATTTATAGATAGGTCCTATAACAATAAGGTTATTGATCAACATGTATCATGAAATAAGCCAGTTATACCTGTCAGTTTGGCTATAACATGCCACAAAACATCCTATAACATGCTATAAGTGTTATAACATCCTATAACATGCTATAAGCCAGTTATACCATCATATGAACGATGGTTTCATCCGCAAAAAACAAAAAGCGCAAGGCAACAAGATCGCTCGCCTCAGAGATTGGGCGAAGGCCATTCGATCCAGCCGTGTCAGATCGAATCGCTGTGAAATCTGGGTTGACTGATCTACTTACATAGAAATACTGGATAGATATATAGGTATAGATATCTAGATATCATATATATATATGTATAATAGATTTGATATAGATTATAGATATATAAATAATATAGTTTAACTTAAATGATAACTGAACATAATTAGATGATATGAGATGCGTGAAAGTAAACCAAGGAACACAGCTGGGGGGCACCATCCAGTGACCGCGAAGACCAATGTGCAGCGTCAGCAAGAATTGCAGTATGTCTTCAACGTAGGAATTGTCTTTGGATTATGGGGAATTGGCCAGCACTAGTCTCAGAAAATCGTAACTGCTTCAATATAGTCAAGTGTTCCATAGATGATTGAAAGGAGAAATCCCGGAAGTGAATATATGCTGTTCTCTGTTTACAGAAGTATTCTAAACCGACCAGAAAAATGCTTTCCCGAATTAATTGATTTTCCTCGAGTTTGACATTTGCTTGTTAGGAATGATTCACTCAATCTCTCTTCTAGAAAAAATTACACAAAACCACCAATATGCGACGCGCACCTCAAGCCAGCAGCTGCTGTGAACACATGGAAGTTCCCCGGATGAAGGACGGTTGAATTCTGAATACATTCGAATTATTCACCTGCTCTTCCTTTTTCCTCCCATTATTGTCAAGACGTGGATTCCCGTTGCTTCCATGATTAGTGTGCATCATGGGTTTACCGTACTTGTTACGAGTTCGTTGTGTGCGTACTCACCCTGGCGTCCTTCTGTCCATATTGTAATTTGATGTGACTGGGGTTATGTGCAGCCGGTTGGCTGGACACCCCAAGATGTCCAATTCATGATGCCGTGTAGTTTTATTCATATCGGTATTGAGTTAAGTTATGGATGAAACACAATGACAACCACATTTTGACGCATTTGACCCACTATTTTATTTTTCTGGTCGAATTACCCTCTGGTTATTTAACATAGCCATGGAAAATGGCCCATTTATAGATGGTTTACACTCTGGTAAACTAACGTGATGTACTTTTTCCGCGTATAACGATAGGTTTTTCCACGTTAGGTATGTGTAAAATGGCCATATCCCGATGATAGCCACGTTAGTTGCGTCCTCCTTTTGATAAATCTATGTTATACGTGCGGTGGAGAACGGGATGATAGCCACGTTAGTGGGATTCCTTCCATGTTGGAAACCTTGAATGGTGTAAAATGATAGCCACGTTAGTGGGCTTCCTTCCTTGTTGGAAAGTTTGAATGGTGTAAAATGATAGCCACGTTAGTGGGCTTCCTTCCATGTTGAAAACCCTGAGTGCTGTAAAATGATAGCCACGTGAGTGGGCTTCCTTCCTTGTTGGAAACCTTGAATGGTGTAAAATGATAGCCACGTTAGTGGGCTTCCTTCCATGTTGTAACCTTTGAGCTGTAGAATGATAGCCACGTTAGTTGGTTTTCCTTGGCCAGGGTCTCTGGGGAACATGCTGGTCTGGGAGACCCAAGTGATAGTCACGTTAGTGCTGTAAAATTCGAAAACGCAGAGTTACGTTAAATTACCGGAGGGTACCTATTAAAAATGATGATTTTCCATGGCTATGTTAAATAACCAGATGGTAATTCACATCTATAGTTGTCATCTCGTGTTGATATATGTCTTCTCGTGTTCAAACACGATTCACCTGGCGGTCCATCTCGAAAGTATTCCAATTGAGCCATGAATTGTATACCCTTGTTGATTTGTTCATACAGGGACTTACCCTCTGGTAATTTAACATAACTATGGAAAATCACCATTTTTAATAGGAAAATCCACTATAAATGGCCATTTTCAATAGCTATGTTAGTTTACCAGAGGGTATAAATACTAGCTAATTTGTTGGGTATTACTTCCATGATAACCCATGGTTAGTAGAGAAACCTCTCAATCAAGCAATAGTTCATGAGATGGAAAAACGGGGTATGTTTAATGGATCCACTTTGACTTGCAGAAAAAAAAACTGGACAGCATGAAATTGGAGCTTTGAAAAGAAGACCACCGATAAAATATTGACATATGCAGATGATAATCAAATATTGGCAAATTATTTTCATTGACATAGCCTGACAATAGATTGTATGTACACACATCCATTATGTTCATATATATATACATATATATATATATATAATATATATATATATATATATGATAGAAATTAACATATACTTCTATGTATAACTGAAATTAACATACTTCTATTTGCCAAGTAATTATAGATAGACTAGATAGAACATCACAGTAATATATGCAACTTCGACACCCGGTCGTGTTGTGTTTCCTTTAAAGGCGACGTTTCTCCAGACACCAGGCGACGTTTCTCCATGGCGTTGCTCACAGGTGAACATGATCGACGCCGAGAGTCCACCCTTCGACGAGAGTGAGCGCGTAGTGGAGATCTCCACCGCGCAGTTGGACTCGCGAGTGAAAGTGGTGCAAATGGCAGGGGATCCTCAGAGATTTATGGTGGTTTAATGGTGATCTAATGGGAATTTATGATGGTTTAATGGGGATTTCATGGGAATTTATGGTGGTTTAATGTTTAATGGGATCTGATCTAATGAGATTTTTCATGATATATACCCTCTGGTATTTTAACTTGTGGACCCTGAAAATCAGCAATAAAATTAATGGAAACTAGTCTTCCAACCCCGATGACTGCCAGGGTCTATGTTGATTTACCAGAGGATATCCTCCAAAATTATAGGACTCATATGATCTAGAATGGGACTAAACTGATATAGAATAAATATAGAGATATAACTGTAACTGATACTTGTCATAATTATATATACTGAAACTATAATAATGGATAATATATAGGACTATAAATATATAATGGGAATCTAAATATGATATATAGAGATAGAACTGATATGGTATGGATGATAATAGGGATATGATTCGATTGTTAGTTTTATAATTTGGATCATAAATGATTTTAATGGTTCATGATGATATATAATAGTGTTAAGATATACAGTGGGTATCCTCAATGTATAGGACTATCAATATATATCATGCATGGAGATATAGCTTATATGATAGTTATATGGGACTATCAATACATAATGGGACTAATTTAATAGAACATATAAAAATATAACTGATACGATAGTGATATAATATGGATGATAACGGAGTTCCATATCAGTGATTCGATACCCATGATATATAGATAAGTATTAAATATCAGTAGTGGTCTATAAAGTCTATAATGACAAATGTAACTAATGACTAATATATCCTCATTATAATATAGTCCCCAATTACAATGATATTATCTCAGAGATAGAAATGGGGGCTTCAATGTGGGCAATGGGGAGACCATGGGACAAAAACATTGGCATATAACTTACAATTCAATGATGGTTAATAGATATAGTGGATATCCTCCATGGGGATAGAAATTGATATTGAATATGCTTCAATATATTACCGATATAAAAGGATATATATATATAGCTGATAAATATATTTGAATATAAAGACATTCAACATGGCATAGAATGGCGAGTGACAACGGGAATTCAGGGCCTCAGCTTGGGAGGTGGTATCCTCAATCATTTACCAGAAGACCGGTATTTTCCATGGCAAAGAATTCATTTAACAGAAGGTAAAATATCTAAATCTTCCATATGATTTCGCATTGAAATTTGCGCACAAAAAAGGGGGATTTCCATATGTGACATTAACGAACCTCTGCTGGATGTTGTTTGGGAAGGAGTAACTGACTTTGGGACTTTGAAGAACTGGGAGATCCTCAACCAACTGAGCACCGAGGTTCTGGAAGATTTGGAGTCAAGACAGGAGGTGCGGTCACTGACACTGAGACAGGGGGCGCCCTTGGGGACGGATCGCACGTTTAGAAAAGCCTGGATCTATTCGGAGGATATGTTTCATTGTTTGGTAATTTTTGTGTGTTGGTGTTTGTTGTTGATTATTGTGTTGTTATTGTTGCTATTGCTGCTGCTGTAGTTGTTTCTATGTGTTCTTTCTCTTGTTATTGTTGTTGTTTACGTTTTTCTTCTTCTTTTTTTTATTATTCTTGTTTTTGTTTTTGTTGTGATTCAACCAGTGTTTGTTGGTTGAATTTCAAGCTTTGCTAGCTATCTCCCCACAATAAGCTTTTGAATGGACTGATGGACTACCATTTGCTTGGGACATTGTTTGTTGTCCTCAAGACAAGCAAGCAGATATGTTGTTGATTATTATTGTTCAACTCGTTATTACAACCTAGTGCTAGTACATGCTGCTACTATTTGCTACTTATGTCAGTATTGTCTATGTTACTCCATTCGACTTAGACTGCAAATACTCTTTATGCTCCGTATGTTTTAATGAACTATATTGTTTATGATAGTAGTGGTGATGACAGTGATGATAACCTATAATCATAATGCGGATGATCGGATGATTTTTCTGATAATATCATAAGCAATCAGAATAATTTCAATTATCGTCATGATGATTATGATAATGATAAACACAACATATAGATGATGAGCAAAAACAAACAGATAAGTCCGCACGTCTCTCCAAAAAACAGGCTTGCGCCAACCTACTGTAGGTACATCATTGCCACAAAACGGTGGACATTGATGCTTTTACGTCTATATTTAGATTATTTAGCACAAAAAAATCCTCCTTGTATCTCGGGTCTTGGGAGCACCCCTGGAAAAGATCAACTGTTGATTGGTGATGTTTCTATTTTGGTGTTTGAGACGATTATTACCGTACCTGGTTTATTGGGGATCAATGTTGCCTAACCATGCCTAAGCCATGATGGGCGGACTCCCAAACAGGGTCGATTTTTTCAGGTGGGAGAATGATGGCATCTTCACATATCTCAACCATCGATTCATATCAGTTAGTTCAAGTTAGTTCCATCAATTTTCCAGAACGGATCAATGATCTTTGTCTTCAGTTATTGATGGTTGTTGACTACTCTCCAGTAAATCAACATAGACCCTGAAAATGGCATGTGTGTAGCGGAAAGTCATTTTACAACCCCCGTAGCTGGCAGGGTCTATGTTAATTCATTGGGGTGGCATCCCCATTAGAACCCAATCAATCCCCATTGAATCCCCATTAGATCCCAATTGAATTCCCATGAAATCCCCATGAAGTCCCGAAAAATCCCATCCCCCAATCCCCCAATCCCAGGAGAAAATTTCCAACTCTTCCAGTCCTTCCCTGTCCTTCCCTCATTCCAGGCGTCTGAGAAGCTTCGTTTGCTGGTCCCCACGGATCACTTTGGCTCGGTGGGGACCCGGGTTGTTCAGCCACGGTGCTGGCGATGGAGGATCAAAGCATCAGAAATGGTGGTTGACCACCGAAAAAGGTGATGACTGGGGGTTTATGATGGTCGTTTATACCACCTTTTTATGGTGGTTTGTTTATACCACCTATTTAATCATCTAATGATGGTTCATTCTTGTTTTACACATATTACAACTTGGGATTCTAAGCAACTGGAATTGAGGATTTAAGCGACGAGCATGGGTAAATGTTCAACCAACAGATCTGATGTTCAACGGATTGGGAAAAGAGATGCAGGAAACCACGTGTTTTTTGTTCCTCACACAAAGGTTTTCTTGCAATGTTTTTTTTTTTATTTTATTTTTATGTTTTAATGGGGTGAGCTTAAATATGGTACCATGGCTGTGTGTTGATAATGCTAGTTCAACAGCCACCAATGTTTGGCCATGGGAGACTGGAAATCATAGCCACTTTGTTTGGGGGACGGAATGCAGGACACAACGTGGTCAAAGCATTGAAAAGTGATGTGCTAACATGTAGGAGAAACATGGAGAAACCAAGATTGAGGTTGTGTAACCAGCACCCAAATGGACGTGTTGTACCAACCAAACACTGTTGGGGTCCAGTCCGATATTGATCCAATGTCATTGCACTGGTATCCGACCATACCCGCTGGCAATTCGACATAGCTATGGAACATCAACATTTTCAATATAGGTAAATTTTCTGAATCTATAAAATGGACCATTTTCCAGTTCGCCATGTACCAAATTACCAGATGGAATATGGCTTGCGAAATGGACCATATTATGAAATGGACCATTATAGTTGGTATGGTTCCTATTTTTATCGCTACCAGTATATAAAAAATGAACATTTTTTTATCGCTATCATATAGATGGTATGGTTCATTTTATAGCATGTTTTTTTTCCTGGTTTGTACATGTTCCTACCAGTACGAGTTGCAAGTGACAGCGATAGGTGGTTTCGTCTTTTCGTCCCCAATCACGGAATGCCGGTTCCATAGAACCATTTGACCCAACCATTCTGCCAATCATATCCCTTTATATGCCATATTTTTGCAATATATTGTGTATATATATATTACTGTATCATATATTATCATACATTATAATTATCATATATTATCATCATATATTATCGTATATTATCATATACCACCATATGTTATCATATGTTATCATATGTTTTAATTTGTTTTAATTTGTTATCATTTATTACCATATATTATCATCATATATTATCGTATATTATCATACATTATAATATTGTCATCATATATTATCATCATATATTATCATATGTTATCATATATTATCATATGTTATCATTTGTTATCATATGTTTTCATTTGTTATCATATGTTTTCATTTGTTATCATATGTGTTCATTTGTTATCATATATCATCATATATCATCATATTATACCTTTATGCCAATATAATAGTTTATATATATATACTCTATGAGGTATATCCCATCCCATCCCCAGCGCACCTTTCACAGCGCCAAAGTGCCGTCAGGTCATGGGCCATCGGGGCGAAACATTGCGCAGCATCATCCAGAGCAGTAGGGCCTCGGTGCCGTGGAGCCCTGGGCCAGGGCCAGGGCTGGCCAGGGCCATGGGACGGCTGGGTAAAACACATCATGCCATGCCCAACGAGCTAAAGATATAACTATGATATGAAACTAGTATATAACTATAATACATAACATGGAGACTATTTATAGTTTGTGGGATATATAACTATAAAACTATGATATTATATAACTATATAGCTATATGATATCTGTTAAATTTCACGAGGTCTTGGGGTTTTGGGATTTTTAGGGTATATTGGGTTTCAAAGTCAAAATGCATCATTTCGAGCAACCTGCGCGCAGAAGGGTCGTCAGGAAAAGTGCTGAATGTTGTGATTTTTGTTGAATCAGTGGTCCACAGGTCCAACTGGCGTTCCAGAAAGAAACAGTCGGAAACAGTCGGAAACAGTCGGAAACAGTCGGGAGCGGCCCGGCGTGATCATGCCAAAATTGTCAATCCGCCATTTTTTTGCAAAAAAAACTTTCCGCGCAATCCCACTTTTTTTTTGAAAGTGCAACGGGAAACAGTTGGAAACAGTTGGGGCTCGTACCTTTGACTCGGCAAAAAAAAAGCTATTTAAAACCATTTAAGGTTCATTTTCTTTATAAACTGGCTTTAAATAGCTCTTTTTTTGCCGAGTCAAAGGTACGAGCCCCAACTGTTTCCAACTGTTTCCCGTTGCACTTTCAAAAAAAAAATGGGATTGCGCGGAAAGTTTTTTTTTTGCAAAAAAATGGCGGATTGACAATTTTGGCATGATCACGCCGGACTGTTTCCGACTGTTTCCGACTGTTTCCGACTGTTTCCGACTGTTTCAGTTTCTCTGGAACGCCAGTTGGACCTGTGGACCACTGATTCAACAAAAATCACAACATTCAACACTTTTCCTGACGACCCTTCTGCGCGCAGGTTGCTCGAAATGATGCATTTTGACTTTGAAACCCAATATACCCTAAAAATCCCAAAACCCCAAGACCTCGTGAAATTCAATAATGATATCATATAACTATGTGTGATATATAGCTTGGATATACGTGTGTGATCACCATAACTGTATATCAACACCATGCCAGCTTGGAGAATAAAAACAAACACCAGTATCACTCAGGGAAATCAATTTTTTTGGGTGATATATGATGTTGATAATTATAATTATACAGTTATGGTCCAACTAACACTTATATATAAACGAGATGAAATAACTCCTATAACTAGTTGGTTATATATCATGAAACAAGGCAGTTATAACTATTAGTTGGGCTATAGCTGTGGGATATAACTGGGATTAGTTATGGGTAATGACCTAGGTACTAAACAGTTAACATCAGTTAACCATGGCCCATCCAAGTAAAGATTGTAAAGGTCAGAAATAGGCCAGGACAAGCCATGAAAAAAAATGGCGGTTTTGACCATGTTGTAGTCCTACAATGATTACTTTCGAATACTTTCGATACGAATGCTGGCGACTGTTGGTTGTTCACCGACGTACAAAAACTCTCCCACGGAATGCTGGCGGTTCATCAGCCATCTGAAAGCGTGATTTTTTATACGTCACTGCTGATGGTTAGTACTGGAAATCACACCCAAGTGGTTTTTTCAGGTGTAGACTCCGTATATATATATATATATATATATCCCATAGGATCCATGTATGGTATATATGCTAACATTTGGGGTATATTGATGGTAAATGTTACCATATATACCATACATGGATCCTATGGGTATATACAAGTATATTATATAAATATGTTTCTTGCGACACATCGCACTGCACACCGCAGTTTGGTTCACTGGAAGGCACCACGGTGCCACGGCGCCGCGGCACCGGCGCAACGGGGCTGCACGCTCCACAAGTGATTCACGCAGCGCGCTAGGTTAAACTCGCTGCGGGAACGCATGGCATGTGCGGTCCGTGGACAAGGTCCAGAGAGCATCTTGATTGGAAGCCTTCCAGAATTGGATGAAGGGAACGGGCAGTGGAAAAACGTAAACTTACCAAACCAATCCAATGAAACTCCTCGCGTATGAGGACCTTGCAAGGGGGACCCAGATTTTCTTTGACCTTCCCTTTGTTTCAGGAAATTATTTTGAGACATAGCCACAGGAACAGACAACATGACCTGTAGTTCATTCCAATCAGCATCAGGAGATGATACATGGGAATACAATCAGAAGCGAATGTGCAAAATGTCAATGGATTGGTCTTGTTGGGAAAATCTGAGCTGGAAACCTACTTAAATTTCCCTAAGATTGTCCATCCATTTCTGACTTAAGTCACATCTGTCACTTAAGTGTCCCAGGATTTTTTTCAATCACCAGTTTTCTGCAGCCATCAGTACATGATGAATCCCATTCTGACAAAACATCATAGAAACCAGTTCGCCATGTAAGAAATTACCATACAAAGGGTAGATCAAGCAAACTGAGTAGCTGGAAATCCCCAGGAAATATCCAGTTTTCTATCACCAGGAAATCACTAATCAGCTACCATTCCCTCTTTAAATAAATAAATAGCTAAGAAAAAAACATGAATTTACTTGACTATTGATTTGTTTTGAATGTAGTGGGATTTTGATGTTCCATCATGTCATTTGCCACGATTTCCGTAGGATTTGTAGCAACTACTATTTTTGTTGCTGTTTGCTACATGGGTTTGTCATGGGGCGCCTCTAAATCCACCGCATTGTGGTTTCCTCAAACGGAGGGTGCCCCCAAATCATCCAGTTTTTTTTTAATGTTTTTTTCATGAAATAAACCATCCATTTTGTGGTGCCAGCCCAACTAACGGTTATAACTAGCTTGTTTCATGTTTTATAACCAACTAGTTGCCAACGTCTCTGCAGGGCGCCTGGGTGTTCTGTTGTTTCGTTGATGATGTTCCGGGCTGGGGTGGGGTTGGATGTTAACGTTGATGTACATGTTGCATTGATGATGTTACATTGATGGTGTTTCGTTGATGATGGTACGTTCATGATTTACCTTGTTGGAAATGCGTTGTGTGAGATATGATGTAGTCATGCGGAGGCTTTGAAATCGGTTACCTTCGAATGATTTGACTGGAGCAAACGGTATGGCAAAGGATGTGGTGCAGAACAAACATGCGAGGAAACAATTCACAGAAGCTGGCTGCCATGAGCAACTTGTTCCATGGCTAGAAGTAGTTTTTGGAAAGGGAAAAAAAGGGCCTGCACCCCTCGATCCCCAGTTACAAAAAATTGGTCACAGAGACCCGTAAAACCACCAGGCGCCTCTCAGCGCCGTTCCCAACTAGTTATGGGAGCTATTGCATCCCATTTAAAACTGTTGGTTGGGCCACCACTGCCACAAACTGCAATCATAGCTCAACCCAACGGTGACATTCTTCGAGATTCTAGGCCACTTCGCAAACGGTGCCCCGTTGACGCACAACAAGATGCGTCAGCCTCTTCCAGTTCTGGCTGAGGCGCGGCTGGATTTAGGAGTGGGATTTCACCCGCCACCCCCACCGTGGGTGAAAAAACCAAAGTGAATGAAGATTTAATGTAAACCCTGGATTAATAAACCCCTAGGTTGTTTAATTGGGAGGGTACCAAGTAAGTATTATTAGACTATGACTATTGGAGGAATACCCCCTAATTAATAAACCATGGTTTATTAATCCGGGGTTGACATTAAACATGAAACATGTGGAGTTACTAAAAAAAAGTTGTTGTTTTCCAAGGTTGGGTTTTTTCTCCATATTTTGACCATCAAAGATTGGATGGCAAACCACTAAAAGATTGGGATTATCTAGACTGGGAAAACCAACCGGTTGAGTCACTTGGTTGGCCGGCAAAATATGAGGTTTTGAACTTTGAACCAGTAGAGAGTGATATTTCATTTTGAAAGAATGGGTAAATGTCGGCAAAGGGTAGTTTTTTTTTACCTCGAATTGTTTTCCGTTGGTGATTGTTGATGAAAAATCCGAATGAATAAATGAGTAAATCCTTACATTCACTAGAGTCACTGAAATTACAAAAACAAATCCGAATGATTAATCCAACTAATCCAAAGATGTGGGGAAAATCCTGGGTAATCGAGGATGCCAGGAGTGCTCCGTTCCCGGCCTTTTCCCGCCTCCACAATGGCGATTTCACAGAAAAAAGATCATGGAATTGCGGGAAAAATCATGCTATCACCCTAACATATATCATTTACCCTCCGGTAATTTAACATAACTATGGAAAATCACCATTTTTCATGGGAAAATCCACTATAAATGGCAATTTTCAATAGCTATGTTAATTTACCAGATGGTATTCTCATTTATCATGGTACCAGAACAGATGAACAGCTCTAGTAGATGATTTTCTAGGTTATTTTTGGCAGCGCTCGGGGTCTCGGGCTGTTGAATGTTCCTCCGGATACTTGGCAACTCAGCTGCCTTCTCAACATCAATGTATTACCCCATGAGACAGATTGGCACAATATATAATTACAGATAGAATGCAATAAACATAAAATAGAGTATTCAGAATTATTTACGATATTTTACAATATTATGAATCAATATTGTAATAATATATATAAATGAATATTTAGATTTACAGGACACCTCCCCACACTGTCGACGAGGATGCGATGTTTCCATTGCTTCCCCCAGAGCCGCGTTTCGCCTGGGATCCTGTGGAGACTCGGACGGCAGACGACGCCATCGAGGATCTCTTGTTGGTGTTGGCCCGCGCCGGACTGACGCCCTTGGCGGTTCATTGCACCTGGGACGCCGACGGGACCTGGGACGGGATGATTCTTTTTTGGGAGGATTACTGTATCATGGGGATCATGGGGATTGGGGGACTGTGATGAGTGAATGATGGTTTTTTCCGGTGTTTTTTGTGGAGAGTTTTTTGAGTTTTGCGGGGCCAATCGGCCAATCTAGTTCGCCAACTTTGGGGGGAACATCACAACATATCGCAACCATCGGCGGAGCATGGCTTTGTATCTCGTTTTGCAGCGAATATACTCACTCTGCATCTACTGAAATCATTCAGCCAAATATGTGATACACAAAAACCATGGCTGAATGACTTCACGTAGTGATTCTTGCAGTAATTAGTAATAGTTTAGTTTATTAAGTTGGTTGCAGTACCCTAAAAGAATCAGTCTATACTCAATATATTGTTTGGGCATGGTTTTGGGGAGCCATTTGAATCCCTGGAGGATTTTATCTAGCTGTGGATGACCCAACAGCCCAATATCGAAGCTACCCGGACTTCAAAGATGGCAACAAAACATAGCAAAACATCTTATCTTGATCTATATTGTGCGTTGTTATGTTTGTAGCATTTTTGTCTATAAGATCTAAACGTCTATTTCTGTATATAGCTAGATATGGCCACATCCCCGGCTGCATGACTTGAATGATTTTCCTGGCGACAGAAACCTCTATGTGTTCCTGGGATGTTCCATTGCCACTTTTGATGACTTATCTCACACGTATTTCACACGGTTAAGAACATGTTTTTTTGTAATACACATTAATATATATATATATTATACTCTTAGATCTGTGAACATAAACCAACTGACAGCCCGGGGAAGACCGGAGGCCGGCCACATTGCATGATTGCTAGAGAGTTTCTAGAAGGACTACATCCTGGTGCAGATGTCAGATCTAAAATGGCCACGTTGGAATATCCCCCCACTTTTGGACAAATCCAAATACTGCATCATTGTTGGTTTGACATAATATGCATACATATGTATATATATATATACATACACATATTTATATATATATATATACACAATTGTGTGAATTATGTGTATATATATATGATACCGTCTCTCGCCTGTATCATATATACATAGCTCATTCTATTTCAATGATGTCCTCGCTATATCACGATTGTTGCTGCTTTTTGAACCTATACAGAAATGTACAGTTGTTTCTACGGCGTTGCATGGCTGGCAACCACCAGGTGTGCAGACCTTCGAGGGTCCGTTTCGTTTATCTCAAGCTTTGCGCTTGGTTTTCGGGCTTGCGGTGTCTGTCCGAGAGGACTGGCGTATGACTCAGGGTTTTGCGACCAGGTGAAGGCGAAGTTGGTAAACATAACATCCAAGAACTATGGCTTTATGATGGTTTTTGGTGCAATTATAGCCCTTAACAGTTATAATGAACTGGTTTATAATGATATACATATAGTTACATATACATATATATGTATGTATATATATATATATATAAATATTATAACCTTAGTTCTAGGAGTTATTTTATCCCATTTAAAACTGTTAAGGGCCATAACTGTAGATCACTATATTGATATATGGGTTTTGTTACTGGGACTTTTAAAACTAACAAACATCACTTTGGGGGGCCAACAAAAACGAACGTAGCTATTTTGAACTACAGGGTATAGTGGTGATCCATTGAATCATGTATAGTTGACACCAGAATGGCTAATAGCCTTTCCCTGTTGCGTTGCTTGAGAAGATGCGTTTGGACAGTTCTCTTCTCATCATCAACATGGATATCCTCATGTTTGCAGCTTCAGCCTCCATATTGTTCCAAAATCTCCTAGCTCCAGTATGATGGAACGCTTTAAAACTGGCTACCAATGCAGGACATTACATATTCCTTTTTCTGGTGGTTTTGAAATATCACCTAAAATGTTGGTCAAATAGTGTTTGCTCTTTGAAACAGGTGATGTTCATTTGTAGTGGACATCGATAGACCATGTTCAATCCGTCAAGATTTGACGATGATCCAACTTCAGTAAATAAATTATATAACTATAATTAACTATACGCATCCCTAGATCCCATTGGAACTCCCTGTTTTGGAGGATATGAGCCAGCACATCGAGGGTCAATCATCCACAATATAGGTCACGTCCATTCCAAGTATGAATGTTTGCATACATGTACGTATGTATTATTCACACATTCATACATTCATGAATTCACACATAAATACATAAATACATATTTGATCTACATGTGTGTGTATAATTGTGTACACATGTACAGTTTTTTTCATAAATAGTACATATACATATATACCATATATAAATAGACATATATATATGTATATATGTATATACATGTAGAGTATATAATCTATGTAAAGCCTACATCAAGTCCACACCAGGAGCAATGGAAGCCTGGTGCTTCAAAGTGGCTCCCCTCGTCGATTGCGCGCCGCTCCCGACAGTCGCTTCCAGGGCTTCCACGCGGGCGCCTTGGTGAAAATCACCGATGCCGACCACATAGAAATAGTTGATTTACCCATTAAAAAGGTTGATGTTCCATAATTAGTTATGTTAGTTTATTAGAGGGTATGGCTATGGGATGGAATATCTCCGAAATCACTGGTTGGTTATCATCAGAATAGCATTTTTTGGTGACAAAAATGATGTTGATATACAGTTATGGAATAGTTATGAGATGAAATATCTCCGAAATCACTAGTTGGTTCTCATGAAATAAGCCAGTTATAACTGTTAGTTGGGCCATAGCTGTACTTGGGAGCAACCATGAAGTTAAACCATGACATTTAATGGGCTTCGATGTTTTGATAAGCCTTTTGATGACATTTTTATGATATTTAATGGGACTCAAAGGCCATGCGATGATAACCCATACCCAAAGACACTTATATCCCAGTTCCTAATCAGTTGACTAGTTTCATGGCCCGTCTGAGTATTGGGATGAACAGGCTGGGGTTTCACATTTCACACATGAGGATTGAACCATCAACTACCCTCTGATAATTTAACGGTTTGCTATTGAACATGGCCAATTTATAGTTGATTTACCTAATAAAGATGCTGATTTTCCATATTTATGTTAGTTTACCAGAGGGTATGTGGGTTCGTTTGATAGTGTGCCCCGATTTATCAATTGGATTATCAAAAAAGTGTCCCCGAAAAAGTAGAAACCGCACGAGGCGGGTGGCGGAAGTTTCCAGCAATGTTATACTATAGGATTGAAAGACAAGTTTGCCTAGAGGAGTTGCAGCGAAGCCTCACATCTTCTCAACTCTGCTCTGCGAATTCGTCCTCATCTTGGCTCACCCCTTTTCAACTGTGGCCCCCACTTCTCAGCTCTTGAGAATTCTTCTCACAACTTCTCAACTGTTCTCATGTGTTTCCATCTCTTCCAACCTCAGCTCACCTCTTTTCACCTCGTCCTAACTCTTCTCAACTCTTCTCAACGAATCTCACCGCTGCCCACCTCTTCTCAAATCTTCTCAACTTGTCTTAGCTCTTTTCACCTCTTGCCACCTCTTGTCAACTCTTCCCACGTCTTCTCCTGTCTGCTCAACTCATCTCACCTCTTCTCAGATTATGTCAACTATTCTCACCTCTTGTCAACTCTTCTCACCTCTTCCCACATAGAGATGCTTTACACACATAAGCTTTTACACAGAGAAACTTTTACACAAAAACTCTTGCAGTGCGATAGTATGTATGTCGTTTTTTTGGTGCAACAAGATATGGTTTAACTTTTACACAGATGGATTTTGGCGCCATGACAAGGCCTAAGCCGCCCTGATGTTTGTCAATACATAGGATTACTGATTACATGAGCATTGTTTGCATGTGATTAAATTTACACAACAGAAAAGTGCATGATACTGTGAGTTGCGTATGCTAATCATGTGTGTCTTGCAGCATAGGCTGCGAAGCCCCGGGGCGCAAACACTTGTAGAGTTTTGGGCCTAGGCAAGATTGCGTAGTGGTTGATTTAAAGCGTCTGACCTATTGCCTGTGCCAGCAAGGAAGCTTGCGTAGGCTCTCGGGCAAGTGTTTCTTCCACAGTTCTTCCTTGTAGAATCACTTCCGCATGACGTAGGCCGACGTACAATCATGGGACGCCAGCAAAATCACCTTCAAACCTCTAAACTTTAATAGGGAAAACAGTGATAAAACATCATGTTTTGGGTCTGCTAGTTTCAGACAGACCTTTAAGACTGGCTGCCGTTTACCAATCAACAACTCAATGTGAATGTGATTTCACCCGCTGAAAATGGAATATCCCGGAAGCGTTGCTGTTGTGGCGCTTTACTTCCATGCTTCATATAATTTTCCTCCATGGTGGCATGCCCCTTCTTGACGAGCCAGGGACCCACAGGGGGGGGGACCGTTTCGCAAACGGAGCCAGGAACGTGGTAAAGTCAGTGAACAAGGTCAGCCCGTTCGCTTCCTGCCAAGAG